CAAAGAAGGCTCTGGCGACGGCGAGCGCTGCTCTTTCTCCCCCTTCTTGTGCAAAAGCCCTATCTTTTTCTTAAACATATTCCTACCATTCATTTTCCTGTCTACGGATTATAATATTTAGACGTCATACGACACCCGTGCACCAGAAGACTAGAAGGTCGAGTTGGCCAGCAAGCTGGCAGCGCTCCTGGCGTCCAGGTGGGCGAGCTGGTCGGCAGGTTCATTTCCCAGCGATGACTCTGCCGTCAATGGGTCGCTCAATTCTGTTTCAAACTTCTTTTTTGGCCGCGAGTTCCATGGGTCTGAAGAGTCTTTTGAGGCAGGCTCGCTCCTCACGCTTTGCAGCATGCTCTCGCGGCCAAGTCTACTAAGAGACTCGGTTGGGTGAATCAGCTTGTTGATGTTGAGAAGATGGAGTTTCTTGCGCTGTTGTTGTATTTGTTGCTGAGCAAGAGTCTTGAAAGTTTTTTTGGTCAGATCAGTCAAGTACACCAAAAAGTCCTCGGCCTCGATCAGCATTTCGTACGTAGTTCTTTTCACTTGGTACCTTAGGTCCTTCTCGTAATTGCTGGCCATTTCCAAGGCGCGGATGGCCTCGTCGACTTTCACTGGGTCGATGATGGATTTGGTTTTCAGTCTTGCAATTATGGAATGGCGTTTTTTAGTGGTTTCCTCTGCATTTAGAAGCTCGCGCATCAGCAGATGGCGGTTTGTCAGAGACTCTTTGATGTTATAGCAGTCGTCTGTCAGCAATTGAAAGAATTCGGTCAGATTCGCTGTCAAGCTCACACCTTGCACCAGATCCATCTCGTTGTACAGTTGCATCACTTTGTTCAGCTTGGCCCACATTTTGGCCATTTCGGGGCTTTCCTCAAGAGCTTGGAGCCCTGCGAGCTTGTTGTAGAAATCAGAGGTCACGAGCCAGGACGATTTCTGTAGTCTCAACAACTTGTCCAGTTTCTCAACCAGTCTCTGCGCGCTCACATAAACGCTCTTGATCATTGGCCTATAAGCTGCCAATTCGTGAGATGCATCGTATGGCGGCTGGAATTGCTTCAATGTGCGCCGTTTCAGGCCGGTGGCCATCACAGAGCTGTTGTTGGGTTTGGTTTTCGAGGGCGTGTAACTGAAGTCGTTCTGGTCCAAAAACAGCACAAACTCCTGGTTGCGGATCAAAATTGGGTTGCTGCAAACTCTATTAAGCCATTGCTGCACCGAAGACTGCAGCGTGGCCACAAACTCGGGCGACCCGGCGTTGTAGAGGGCAGGAATAGTAGGCAGGGCAGGCACAAACACCTCAATGTTGTTGTATATCAAATACCGATAGATTGCCTCGAGTTCTCTGTAGGATCTTCTCACGTCTTTGTAGACAGATTTTCTGAACCCTGGGATATTCTTCACCGAGGCATTCAGAACAAAGACCGGGTTCTTGGCCATTTCGGCACCGTTATTGCCGATTTCCACTACCTTGATACTCAGCTCAAACGAGTTTCTGTTGAGTCGCTCGGGCAAGTATCTTTTTAAATCGTTGTCGGTGGGTTTTGGATGGAAAGGAGAGTCTTGTTCTTTGGGCTGCGCTTCTATGTCCTTGTCCGACGAAGACGCAGTCGTCGGCTGGACTGGGTCAGCAGTCTGCTGCTCCTGGGACTGTATAATCACGCTGCTCTCGGCAAACGGGTTATTATCGAAATCATCGGGCTCGTAAGGCACGGCAGACGTCATTTGCACGGTGATGCAAGCAAATTTATTTTCATTTTATCTTCGACGCGACGATATCTTTTTCCGTTACAAATTCTCTTTCTCATGTTTGGCTTGGGAACGTTATTTTATTGTAAGTACCACCCTCACAATTGTCTAACACATCAGTTATTCTGTTCACAGTAAACGGAATTGCTGTTCTGAGCGAAGACCGGTTTTTGAACAGGATTGGATGGAGCACATCATCCTCTGCTGACAACGCATACCTCGCATCGTCGCCAGTAGACGGATCGATCGACTCAATCAAGTCAAGGCTCGTGAATCTGATCGGTGCCACAAGAACGCTGCTTCGATTCCCTCTAATTATCATAAACGTTGTGGTTATTTTGTACGAATTGGTGTTGGGCTGATATGATTAATAAATTTACTCTATTTATGATGCTGGCGCTCACTATCTTTGTCGGCGAAGAAACGGTCAAGAATATCACACTTGTGGGCGCTCCAATTGTAGATAAAACTATCCCCGCCAACGCTTGCGCCATACTGCAATTTTTTGAACATCAGTATGGTGTCGTAGATCAGAATGTATTGTCTCAGGTTTTGCACCATCGACACTCTTTGAGATCGGAAATTCGATATGACTTCGTACACCACATCGGTATCCTCGTTGCCTTTTTCAGGGTTGTTCACCATAACATCGATCACTGAGTCGATTGTGCAGAAACAACCCGTCCGGCCACACCCTGCAGAGCAGTGGACCAAGACTGGGGCTGCTTCCATCTGTGTGCGAGAGAGAACGAATCTCTTGAAAGCCACCAGCGATATTAAATCATACGAGCTAATCAACGCTCCGTAATCTGGCCACGAAAGAATTTGGATTTGGATTACCTCGTGTTCTGGCTTGTTACCAATTTTCAGTCGTAGTCTTCTGGCGACGGTCTCGCACTGCGAATTATCTGTGAGTTTGAAATCGGTGATCTCCTCCAGTTGGTCAACTTTAATGAATATTCCGTTCGAAGAGTATGTGCCTGGAAGCCAGTATGGAGCACACTTTTCAACTTCATTCTCTTTTTGGGCAGTTAGGGACAGGATAAGTGGTACTTTATGGTCAAAAATGACTTTCCAAAAGTCTCCTATAGTTTCTTCCAAAGGTCCCTGAGCTGCAATGTAGCGCAGTTGAGAACCAGGGTAGCTCAAGTAGGAAGCATTGATGTAAGACTCGTCTTGGTCCAATTCCTCGTCGTCAGCGTCATATTTTTGAATCTTGACTCTAGCGTGCTCGTAAGGAAAGATATCCTTGTAACGGTTTTTTCTGCCAAGCTCCACTCCTGCAGAGAAGCACGGAGTCTCAGGGCTTGGCGTAGTCACACTAGAGTGCCTGGAAAGAGCCTGATTGAGGCGTTCGACTTCCTGAGACTGCAACTCATTGAATTTATGTGACAGGACGGAGGCGCCTGAGTCTGAACCAATGACGTTACTGAGCCAAGTTGGAAGAATCTTCATGTCGGGAGACGTAATGCTAGTCGAGAGATGCATGGACATGTCGGGTCTGGTGGTCAGAAACTCCTCATGTTGTCTAGATTTGAAAAATGGCTTGCCAGCGGTATCAGGGAGCATAAAGTTAGCAAGGCCGTGCGACATAGGAGATTTGTCATTGAAAAAGCGTTGTTTCTTTGCGGACGCTGCATTGGAGGAGTTGGAGGATGATGGGGATGGAAGCGTAACGGTGACTCTGGGAGGTGGGGCAGATTTTTCCGGACTAGGTATCATCATGACTTTAGGCTTGGAAGTAGACGTGCCAGACTCGACATGAGAAGGATACTGTTCCTGGAACCTGGAAAAGCCTCCCTTCAGCACGTATATGGGTGCGCTCCAAGTGGCAGACGAGGCAAATTTGGCTGCCAAATTGCTCACTGAAAGCGAGGCGGATTGGGTCGAATCCGTGGAATTATCGTAAAAAATTAAAAGCGGTAAGTTATCCCGTTCCCTTTTCAAGTAGTTGGTGAACAGTGCTTTTTCATCCGACGTGAGGGTCGCTATGCATCTGTCCAAAGTGAAGGTGGCTCTTTTAAGCAGTGTTGAAGGCAGGCACAGGTTGACTGCGCCGATGATGTGCGATTTGCAATAGTCTTGGAAAGGTCTGACGTCAACAACCAATAGATTAGGTAATCCATCGTCGCTCACGACGCCTCGCCAATTCTCAATGTGTCGAAAAGACTCCTCAACAGAAATCAAAGAGCATCCTTTCGGTAGCGGAAATTTGACGTCTTTGAACCTGCTTGGTCTAGGGGAGCCCGGCTCTGTGTTGGAAAGAAATTTTTTTAGCGTGAGTGCTGGCGGTAGGGTATATGTAGAACCATTGGCACTTGTAGATGTGCGTCCGTCGCCCATGTCTGTTGCGTTGGCTGAGGTGTCTTTTGGGTTGAATTTTTGCTGACCAGGAGAAAACCTGGTCATGTGGAAAGCCTCGCTTTTTGTTGAACGGTGGCATTTGGTCTTCACCGGGGTTGGCTGCTGTGACTGTGACTTGTGCTTATCTTCCTCCTCTTCTTCCTCTTCCTCGTTTATCTTGAGCGACATCAGCTGGGAGGGTTCAAATAAGGTCTCTGTGCTGGCAATGGAGAGGTTTCGCCCATCAGAAGGGTGCACCGCATCGTTGGCGGAATCGACGAGCGTGGAGTCTGAGGTCAGCGAGGATATCGAATTGGCACATTTTTGGTGGTCCTTGACAGACTGTTTGTGGTTCTCATTCACCGGTGCCAAGGGCATTGATGCTGGGTTCTGTTTCGTCTGCGTTGAGAACTTGAAGTATTGCGAAAAATAATCTATGTCGTGTGTTTGTTTATCCTTCGTGGAAACGGGGTTCGGCGTGTTGCTCAGAGAAGACATATAAAGCAGCAGCTCATACGATCTTTGATATATAAAATGGGATCTTGTAATATAGTTTGATGCGTCACTTTGCTAAATATAATTTCAAAGGCGAAAAAAAAAGAAAGAGCCCTAGAAAAGTTTAAACAAGCCTAGCCTTTCGTTTAACGGATATATTAAACCTTCCTCCTTTGCCAGAGCACTGAAAATAAAATTTTTGAGTAATGTCATTGCGCATTCACATGGCGACCAAATAGTTCCCCCTGCGCTATTTTTACTGATCACGGGCCAGACCTGCCATTGAAATCTAACAGCCGCCCAAAATAGAATCACCGGTCCACAGCCCAGTGCCATCTCTACACCACTTCCCTTATTTTTTTATTTTCTTGCCTCTTAAGCTCTAATCATTCCTTAGATGACAGGTGCGCCCTTGTCGACGTCGTCCTCGGTGCCAAATAGCTCGGCCCCGGTGAAGTCGTTGCTGTCCGAGCGGCTGTTGGTGCTGCGTAACAAGTCGCCACCAGATTCCCAGAACTCGGACCTGGCGCACATTCCTCTGCCTTCCTCTCCTACCGATTCCTCTCACAAGGGCTTCCACAGGCTGGGGTTTCCACGGAAAAAGAGTGACAGCAGCGATTCTTTCAGTGACCATAGTGACGACAGGAAAAGCTTGATGAGCATACTCACCCGAGTTCGAAGGATGTCGCGCTCCAGCTCTGATGAAGCTGATCCCGAGACGAAACCTTTTCCCAAGATACAACCCGCAACACACTCGAAATTGGAGTACCACGAGGAGGAGACATTTACAACTCCATTGGACAGGAAGTCAATTCCTCGAGCGCTCATCGATCAGGGGATTGAAATGCTCAGAGTGACGCATAAGAAGAAGATCAAACGGTGTTTTCGTTTGAATTTGGACAACAATCATCTGATCTGGAACAATAAAGCCTCGTCTTTTCTCGAAATTGATAAGATCAAGGCGATCAGGACTGGTGTCGAGGCCAAGAATTACAGGGAGGAGTTTAAAGTATCATCAGATTACGAAGATCTGTGGATAACAATCATCTACTACAAAGACTCCAAGTCCAACAATATCAAAGCCTTGCACGTGATTGCCCCCGCAAGGCACGAATACGATACTTTTGTCACCACGTTGCGCAACCTTGTATACTTCAAACGGCAGATGGACAGTATCAGTGAACTATTCACTGACCTGCACTGGAACAACAAAAACTCCGAAAGCGAGCATCTTTCTTTTGACGGCGTCCGCAGATTGATGTCAAAGCTTCATATCCATGCAAGTCCCGAGTATCTCGAGAATCTCTTCCGCATGGCTGATTCGGAAGCAAAGGGGCATCTGAATTTCCAAGACTTCAAGAAGTTTGTCCGTTTGCTTCGAGACCGCAAGGAATTGAGGGCTATATTTGATCAACAAGCCAGAGCCATTTCTGGAAAATTGTCCTTCGAGGAATTCTGCAATTTTCTCGTCGAGGTGCAAAAAGAAAATATCTCCTGCTCACAGGCAGAGCAGATATTTCATCGCTTCTCCAAAACAAAATTGTATCTCGACTACGACGAGTTTGCAAGTTTTCTCACAAGTTCGTATTCAAAACCATACGTCAACATTCAAGAGGACTACTCATACCCGCTCAATGAGTATTTTATCTCTTCATCTCACAATACCTATTTATTGGGAAGACAAGTCAATGGAACCGCATCCATTGAAGGCTACATTAGGGCATTACAACGAGGCTGTCGTTGCATTGAAATTGATCTCTGGGATGGCGAAAAAGGACCAGTTGTAACTCACGGCCGCACTTTCTCCAGCTCCATTGAATTTCAGCTGGTTGTGGAAACGATCCGGAAGTACTCTTTTATCACATCGCCTTATCCTGTCATATTATCGCTTGAGGTTCGTTGCAATGCTGAGAATCAGCTTCAGGCTGCCAATATCCTTAAAGATGTTTTACAGGACCGCCTGCTAGAGTATCCAGTCAAATCACCCTTCGAAACACTGCCGTCGCCCGCGCAATTGAAACATAAAATTTTAGTGAAAGTGAAGAAGTCCACAGGCGATGCAGGAAGCCTTGAAAGTATGTCTTCGTCATTGTCTTCGTTTAGCGAAGACAGTAGTACAATCACAAAGATTGTTCCCAAGAAACGAAGTACCATCAAAATCTCCCAGGAGCTGGGCAACCTCGGAATCTACGTGATTGGAATTAAATTTCGAAATTTCTCTCTCCCCGAGTCCAAAACATTCAACCACTGTTTTTCCTTCAGTGACAAGACATTAGTCAAAATGGCAAGGGAGGAAGCTAAGTTTTCCGCTATTATAAAGCACAACAGGAGGTTTCTCATGAGGATTTATCCATCCATTTATCGCTTCAGTTCCAATAATTTCAATCCCTTCTTTTTTTGGGAGCTAGGATGCCAGTTGGTTGCAACAAACTGGCAGATTTACGATGTGGGGCAGCAGATTAACGAGACGCTTTTTAATATAGGAACAAGTTCCGGCTATGTTCTCAAACCATCCTGCCTGCGGATCAGGAACCCAAAATTGCAGAATATTGATCCATTGGGCTGTTTAAAATTTGATCAGAGTCGGCGCCTTAGCATCGACCTCATTTCGGGGCAACAACTTCCCAAACCAAAGGACATAAAATCGGATTTTTTCGATCCTTTCTTAGAGCTCGAGATATATTGTGCAGAGGTATTGGATGCGAATGTCAGCTCCACGACTGGGAAGCCGGGAACGGTTCTCAAAATGGAGTCCTCAAGTCACCAAAAGTCTCTGGTTGAGAAACTGATCAAACTAAGCGAGCCCTCTGTCGTGTTCAGGACAGCTCCAGTACCGCAAAACGGATTTAATCCTGTCTGGAACCAGCGATGCTCTGCAACATACCTCACTAACGACATTGATTATGTTTTTCTGCGGTTTCTGGTCAAGTGCACCAATGATAGCTCTGAAAAACTGATTGGAACGCACACTTGCAAGCTCGATTACTTGAAACAGGGCTACAGACACCTTCCCTTGTACGATCAGCAAGGCGAGGAATTTATTTATTCGACACTGTTTATTAAAGTGGACTATGGGGACAAAAATAATTAGAAAAAAGACATGATGTCATCCTCCTTGTCCTCCTTGCCGGTAGCCGTGGATCTTTCCTTGCCTGCTCGCAATTCACGTCTGATTTCCGGTCCAATCTCGCGGTGGCCCCGTTGTCTGACAACTTCCATGAGGAAATCGCGCTGATCCTCGGTGATGTCGTTTTTGTACCGTTGTGCGAATGCCAGAAACGCTTTGTGCCAGACGAGCGGCATCGGAGAAGCGTCCCTGATCTGTCTCTGCTCGGTTATCTCTGTGTCGTCGTCTAGAATGATGTCGCTTCTTGTTTCTTCCGTGATCACACGGAAACGCATGAAATAGAACACCAGGTCGTCGATGGTTTGGTATGGTAATGCGTACTTTTTCTCGATGAGAATTCTAATGAACACGGTCGTTGCTGGGTTGAAGTCTTTTTGCAAAAGCCATGAGAGCGCGACAGCAGAGTGTTGGACGGGAATCGAGCACTTAGTTAAGATTGACCCCACGATCATTGCCTCTCTTGTTGTGCATCCGTCTTCAATCAATGGGAACAGGAATCCACGGAAAAATGCGGCAGGCTTATATAACGATTTTTTTAATGAACGATAAAGGTGATAATTCAGCTTGTGCTCCTCGCTTTCCTCAATATCTTGTCTGACTTTCGGATAAAGAACCAAATTAACAAACCTCTCTGCTTTACTGGCCGTCAGATTAGAAACAAACAATCTGGTGGCCTCGTAGGTCACCTGCGGGGTCCATGCTTCAGGATTTGTCACGAATATCAAATCCTCCCAGTTCTTGATGCTAGGAAGCACTTTGAAAAGTTTCGGCAACTTTCCGTGTCTCCACACATGTAAACTCTGACCGACCTTCTCATATGCCTCTATAACTCTTGGTGGAAGGAAAACTTTGTCCTGTGGTTTCTCTGTCTGTTCCGCCTTCTGCTGCTGGGTTTCTTGTAATTTTGACATCACTTTGTCAGCGAGATTGAAGCTGCCAAAGGCATTATTTTCTGACTTGAAGTATGATTCAAACAATTTCGCGTCTTGCTCGTCTACTTCTTCAACCTCCTCGTCGTAGTATTCGTTTTCATCGTCGTCGGACATCGCTTCGTAGACTGCGTCGTCGTCCGATTCATCAGATTCGTGCGCAATCATTTGAAACCTCGGTCTTTCTGAGACTTCTAGACGGTTTTCCTCAAGGGCTATTTCTTCTTGCTGTTCTCTTGCAAGCTTCAGGACCTTTCTGGAAGACGCAGCATCCAGGACGAAATCGTCCTCCGCATCCTCTTCGACTGTCTTGTCGTGCTTCAGGCGCTTTCCCACCTTCAAATGGCCCGTTTCAGTGATATCCTTATACAACGGCTTATGCCGCATCTTATCTTTGGCGTCCTTGGTGCTGATCTTACCCATAATGGTAGAGTGAAAAATGTTTAAAAAAATTTATAAAAAAATTTAATTAGGAAATAATAAAACGAATTTGCCGTGGCAGAAATACTAACGTTTGATTTCAGTTATTTTTTTTTTAGTTTCCAGTTGTATATTCATTATGGTGGCTCTGAAAAGATCAAGCGAGACACAGGTCAATGGAACCAAACGTAGTTCGTCAGAGGGCCCAATTGACGCCAAGAGGGCAAAAACGTCGCACTCTTTCCAAGCCTTGAGAGCCTCGAGATTGAAGACAATCAACACGATTCCTGTCCCTAAAACTGATTTGCTCGATGTCTTTGTGTGGGGTTCGGGATCTATGTGCGAGCTAGGTCTTGGACCAGCTGCCAGCACAAAAGAGGTCAAGAGGCCGAGGCTGAACCCTTTCTTGAAGAAAGAAGAGGTCGGAATTGTCGATCTTGCTGTGGGGGGAATGCACACTCTAGCCCTAGATCACCGGAATCAAGTCTGGTCGTGGGGAGGAAATGACTCCGGGGTTCTAGGAAGAGACACTGCTAAATCTGGTGCCGAGCAGCTAAAGGACGCCGACGCCGATAGTGAAGACGAAGACGGTGAATTGAATCCTTTGGAATCGACACCTGCTGTCGTGGAAGGTTTGCCAAAGGACAAAAAAATTGTGCAGCTAGCCGCCACCGACAACTTGTCCGCTGCCTTGTACGAGACGGGTGAAGTTTACGCCTGGGGAACATTCAGATGCAACGAGGGAATTTTGGGATTCAACAAATCTGTCAAGATCCAACGAACCCCCGTGAAGATTCCCGATTTCGAGAACATTGTCCAATTGGCTGCCGGAAAAGACCATTTGCTAGGTCTGGACACCAAGGGAGTTGTGTATGCATGGGGTAACGGACAGCAGTACCAGCTGGGAAGAAAGATCTTGGAGAGAACCAGAATGACGTCTCTGGAGCCACGCTCCTTTGGACTGAAAAATGTCAAAGCTATTGGCTCAGGAGAATTTCACTCGTTTGCCATAACCACTGATGGTAGGGTTCTGAGCTGGGGACTGAACCAATACGGTCAGTGTGGAATCCACGTTAACATTGAGGATGGGGCTGTCGTTTCAAAACCGACCGAAATTGAGGAGCTGACGGGTAAGGACATTGTTTATGTGACAGGTGGAGAACACCACTCGTTGGCTCTATCGTCTTCTGGTGAAGTTTACACTTTTGGCCGATTTGACATGAAAGAGATCGGCATCAAGAAGGAGAAGCTCCCAAAAGACGGTGTGATCACCGACGAACATGGCAATGTCAGATCTCTTCCTGTTGCCACAAAACTGACCACTCTTCCTAAATGTAAGGCTGTTGCTGCTGGCTCTCACCATTCGATTGCTGTCACTGAGGACGGTATTGCTTTTTCGTGGGGATTTGCAGACACCTATGCGCTTGGACTTGGAAACTTGGATGAGGACGTTGCTACGCCTACCAGAATCAACAACACCGCCACCAGAGACCACAATATTGTGATAGTGGGCTGTGGCGGACAGTTCAGTGTCAGCGCCGGTACGAAGATCTCGGAAGAGGAGGCCAGAAAGAGAGCAGAAAAAATAGAGGAGTTCGAAAAATCTTTAGATTAGATGTATCATATTATGTATTTTACAGGCATCGTTGGTTGTTCCTGCTTATTCCATCTGCTCGTCTAAGCGCACGCACAGACCGTGTTCTCTCATGTAGTCCTTGACCTGTTTGACAGTGTATTCGCCGCGGTGGAACATGCCAGCTCCCAAAGCAGCATCAACGGAGGTGTTTTTGAAAACCTGCTCGAAGTGTTCGGGTTTTCCTGCTCCACTGGAAGCTATCACGGGAATCGACACTGCACTTTTAATGTGGTTGATCAGCTCGAAATCGTATCCGGAATTTGTTCCGTCTTTATCTATGCAGTTGAGTAGCACCTCTCCAGCTCCCAATTTTTCACACGCCTGGCAGAGTTCGTAGGCACCTAGCTCATGGACTTTACGGCCTCCCTGCGATGTGACCTGGTAATAGCAGTATTTTTCTCCATGAGGCCCTGGAAATTTAGTCTCAATGCATTTGTGATTGCACTTGGTAGGATCAGCAATGTACTTTCTTTTTGGATCGACGGAAATCACAACAGCCTGAATTCCATATGCTCTGGATATCGTCTCGATTGGGGTCGTGCCGGTGCATTTGCCGCCATTGGCATAGAAGTCCTCGGCTGCACTCACTGCGTCAGAACCTATCGAAACCTTGTCTGCTCCGGCACGGAAATACAGCTTGGCCACTTCCAAAGCAGGGATGCGAGTCCCGTCCGGGTCTACCACGTCCTTAATTCCTCCCCCAACTGTGAGGGGAACAAAACAGGTCCTGGCCGCTAGTCTCAGCACTTCGAGCATAGGAGCGTCTTTCACTGGAGAGTTTCTAAACGATGTGATATTGAGGAACGTCACCTCGTCTGCGCCCTGGCGATAGTACTTTTCGGCCATCTCCACCGGCTTCCCCAGGTTTCGCACGTCTCCGCCATCACTTTTTTCGCGGACATCGTACTGATCTCCCTTGGTGACAACGAGATCACCATTATCATTAGTTCTGACGTCCAAACAAGCAATCACACGACGTGTGAGACCCGTAGGGGTCTTCTCAACATCATCAAGAGCCCTGTTCACAATAGTAGTATTTTTTTCCTGCTTCAAAAACGACTCGATCAACCGGAGCCCAGCAGCTCCTGACTTTTCTGGGTGGAACTGCGTAGCAAAAATATTATTCTTCACCACAGCGGCAATAAAAGTCTCCGACCCGTACGTCGCCACGGCCAAAGTCCAGCCCTCGTTTTGCAACCGGTCGATATCCTCGCTGCTGACGACTCCTGCGTAAGAATGGACAAAATAGAATCTGGAGCCCGGATCCATGGCATACAGTGTCTTGCCGTCCTCTGAACCCAAAACACGAACACAGTTCCATCCAATCTCTGGCACAGACTTGTCTGACTCGTCAAATCGGCCGAGATCAAGATCCACAAGCCCCAGACCCTGTACTTCTGGGCTCTCTTCGGACCGTTTAAAGAATGTCTGTAACCCAACACAGATCCCCATGAGTGGGCGGCCACTGTCTATGTACTCTATCAGAGGCTCCACAAACCCACGCGCACGCAGCTCGCGAACGAAATGGCCAAAGTTGCCAACTCCAGGGAGGATCAACTTCTGGACATGCCTCAAAGAGCCGTCTTCTAAACGTCTAATAAACTCCACCTCATATCCCAGGTGCTCGATGGCGTTCTGCAGTGAGCGCAGGTTCCCACTTTCGAGATCGATCACATGGACAACCTCCTTTGTCATTGCCGGATACCAATATTTGCAAGATGACTAAATCTTAAAAAACCTGAAAAATTATACAGTCGTGTACAAAATCTATTTTAGGGTCCGGCGAATCTTAACGGCTTCGGCCAGCTCCGTGAGCATTTCCACAGTAGTCTCCCACGACACGCAGCCGTCCGTGACAGAGACACCGTACTTCAGCTGAGACTTGTCCTTAGGAATCGACTGTTTGCCCTCGTTGATGTGAGACTCAATCATAACCCCGATGATTTTATCCTCACCCTTGGCGATTTGTCTGGCCACCTCTTTCGACACTTTCGGCTGGTTTCTGTAGTCCTTGTTGGAGTTTCCGTGAGAGCAATCCACCATCAAAACTCCTCCTGGAGGGAGCTTGGACTTGGCTTCGGCAACAGATGCCTCGTCGTAATTGGTGCCCTTCTTGCCACCTCTCAAAATAATAAAGCAGTTATCGTTTCCCTTGGTAGTGGTGATGGCAGCTAGACCATGCTTGGTGACACCCATGAAATGGTGAGGAGATGCAGCGGCCTGGATGGCGTCGATCGCCACATCCAGAGACCCGTCGGTACCATTCTTGAAACCAATAGGGAAGGACAATCCGGAAGCCAGCTCTCTGTGGAGCTGCGACTCTGTGGTACGGGCTCCAATAGCGCCAAATGACAGAAGGTCTGCGAGGAATTGCGGAGAGATTGTGTCGAGCATCTCAGAACCAATAGGCATTCCCTCGTTGGTTAGCTCCACAAACAGTTTTCTGGAGATCTTGAGACCCTTGTTGATGTTGAAGGTCGTGTCAAGGTCTGGATCATTGATCAGTCCTTTCCATCCCACAGTGGTACGAGGCTTTTCAAGGTAAGCCCGCATGATCACTACCAGTTCGCCAGAAAGCTCATCAGACAGTTTCTTCAGACGTCTGCAGTAATCCATGGCGGCGACCGGGTCATGGAGGGAGCAAGGCCCAACAACAACCAGCAAACGGTCGTCCTGCTGTTTCACCACAGCACTGGCCGCTTTTCTTCCCTTAATAACGGCAGCAAGAGACGCCTTTGTTGGAGGCACCTCCTGCTGAAGAAGAGCAGGAGAAACCAGGGGCTCATAGCCAGCGATTCTGACGTCGTCATATTCTTCAGGAGCAGGAGTGGCCGAGCGAGCTCTTTCAAACTCCAGGAGTTCGTTATCTTTGTGTGATCCGGCTACAGCACTCATTGGAAATAAATGAAAAATATTTTATTCACTGAAAATTTATTTAAATGTGTCATGCATATAAGTGTCGAGAAAAGCACATGGTACAACACCCTTTGGCAAGAGACCGGAAAGGAGGCTGAAATTTGCTACACGGATGGTCCCTTGTACGATAATAAGCTGGTATCCGGTATTGGACTCTCACGCCCTTATTCGGCCCTGCTTACTTAGCACCCCCATTACCATCGTTTGCTACCCTAAATTTCAACGGCTGTGCAGTTTTTCATCTGTCTGCAAAAAGATCATCTCGTATTCTGCACCTTTGTTTTATAAGTTCCCGCATATTTCTCAATGGTCTCTTCAGACTCGGTGTTTGACATCTCTGATGACATAGAGCTACACAGAATTGTTAAATCTCGCTCCAACAGTTCGCAGGAATCCACGGAACTGGGGAGCCAGTTCTCACATCTGAACAACGAGGCCCCTCTGCGCTCTTCGAAATCTAAGTTCAAAGCCTTTCTAGAGGGCCTTTGGCATGGTCCGGCGCATCCGGTGGATGATCCGCCTTATATCAAGAGCCCTTATGCGCAACAGTTCGAAAACTTTCCCTCCCGAATTTCCAACTCCTTTCCTACCAAGATCAAGCTCCCCTTCATCCTTTTATACTACGCTTTTTGGCTAGTGATATTGCAGCAGGCTCTTTCGTCTTACTTGACGGAGCAGCCAGCTTATCAAGATGAGTCCTCCGGCGAATCAATGGATATTATTAGTATTTCTTGCCGTGGAGAGCCGTCGATATGGAAGGGCAAAAATCAGCGGTGCGGGCTTGCAGGAGCAAAGTGCGCGCCTTTCAGTGATAGAGAAATTGTTCTGCGGTGTCCGGCGCTGTGCGATTCTGAATCTATCACATACTCTTCAATTCCGGTTGGAGATCAGAATATCAAGTACCGAAGCTTCATGATAGGTGGAGGCAGGAGCAAAACCCTCGAAAATGACACCCTCTCTTATCCCTATCGTGCGGACTCTTTTCCATGTGGAGCAGCCCTTCACGCCGGCTTGGTCTCGCCCTATTTTGGCGGCTGTGCCAAAATCAGATTCGTTGGACCGCAGCCAGAGTTCCCTGCTAGAGATGGGTCCATAGGTTTTGACAGCTTTTTCCCAGCATCTTATCAGTTTGTGAAAACTCCAAAGTGCCACAACTGCTACGATCCACGAGTTCTTGTTGCCTTTATCAACATTCTGTTGGGTTTGCCGGTGATTTACATGTCAACCAGCGGGAGCCTGGCCTATTGGACAATTTGCATCAGTGGATTTTGGACAATCATTCTCACATTTGATCCACCGCTTGTGGTGAAACCCCAGGACCCGGAGTCTCTGGCCACGCTCATTTCGCTCGGTTTTGAAAGACTGCTGCCATTGTGCTTCATCCTCTATGTCGTCTGGAAAGCTGCCTGTCAAACAACCCTCAGTCACCCGTCATCGCCCATCTGCAAAACTCTGATATGGTACCCGCTGTTTTGGGTCGGAATGCTCAACAACGTCACATTCGACAGGCTTCCTGTAGACCGGCTCACCATAACGGACATCCTTACACAGCCAGGGTCGATTTTTGCAACGCTGGGCATTGCCATGACCATAGCCGTCGGCGTGGTTGTCCAGGCGTACCACTTGTGGAAGGCCGGCAAGTTTCAGATGTACCTCAAGCTGTATCTTGGCTTTATTGGAGCTCTGACGGTGCTGGGAAGTCTTTCTGGTCTGAACCTCAGAATCCATCACTATATCCTGGCTCTGCTCCTTATTCCAGGAACTAACACCAAAGGTATGACTGCAATGTTGTTCCAGGGTGTCTTGCTTGGTCTGTTGGTGAACGGGGTTTCACGGTGGGGACTCGCATCGATCGAGGAGACCGACAGATCACTGCGACGGTCTGATCCTACAGGAGAGATCAAGCCTCCGGAGTTTCTGGGGTACGAGCGCTCGAACTCCAGTGTTTCCTGGCAGATCCGCGAAACAGATAATCCGGTAATGATCAACGGCGAGTTTATCTCGCCTCACGACAAACTTAATCGGTACTCGCTCCTCATCAACGACATAGAGTGGTACAACGGTCCGAATAGCTCTGTGAGCCTGGAGGCCCTTGCTGCCGAGAACGACCAGTTCGCTGAGCTGCTGGGATACGCTTCTAACCATTCGGAGGAACAGAAACTGTACCTAAGAGTGGGCAGGGCTGGAGGTACCAGGAGAAGTGACTACACGAATGCTGCGGTTTTGAAATATCCGTCTGGAGAGTTTGTGCCTCCTAAACCAGGTCTCACTAAATAAATTATTATACACGGCGACTAGTTTTATTATAGGCCGAGATGAAGGACAGCTTTTTGACGATGTCGAGATCTGGGCCGGTCAACTTGAGAGATCCGTAGTTGGACAACTTCTCCCTAATGGTGGTTGGCTTTAAATCCCCAAGATCAAAGATCTTGAGCTTGAACTTCACATCCGGCTTGGTATGACTCAGGTGAGCAAAAAGATACGACGCTGTCGATTGAGGGATGGGAGTGGTCACCAATGAGGGAGGCAGAACTTTGATGCTGATCGCCTTGAACTCAAATGTGTCTTTATATGCGGAGTACAAGGCGGCCAGTTCTATCGGCGGAAATGCAAGAACGCTCCTGTTGTTGGAAGTTGTACCTTCCGCTAGGACAAATAGCACGTTATTTTTTAATTTGAACAGGTCCACCGCGTCGGCAGCTTGTGTGGAGACTTCAGGTTGAGCTAGAGCAAAGCTGAAGGTTTCGAAAAAACCGTTCAGTTTCCTGAGATTTCCCCTGCTGTCTGCGGTAAGGAAAATGCAGTTATTCGTTTTGCTCACCAGGTACAGGACAAGACAGTCCAACGGAGAAGAAAAGTTGACAAACACCAACTGGCTACTGTCGGGCCGCTTCAAGTTGATCAGTTTGGTATTGGACTTCTTGACTCCATCAGCTAGAAACTCAATCTCGCTAACATTGAACATCACCAGCAGCAACAACCTGAGTGCCGGCCTGAACAAAAATCCAACAGGCCAGCATAGAGCCGCCAACAAGAACAGAAATACCGACAGAACTGTCTTTAAAAGTGCCATCACGGGACCCAGCACATACTTCACCATCACGGGCCTTTTGGCGGGCGGTATTGGCATAAAGGGAGAGATCCCCGTGCCCTTATCTCTCCAATCGCTAAATTTTTCCATTAAAAAATATTTAACTTATACATAGTCCGGAAATGGAGTTTTCAAAGTATGGCTGATCTCTGGATAGTAATTAGTGAGCTTGACATAGTAGTCGTGGTAGTTCTGCTCAAAGACCTCTGGGTTAATGCACAGCGCGACCAGGAACGTGATGAAACCGGAATTGAACGAGTTGAGCGTCACCTTGGCGATAAATAAGCCCAAGAGCAGCTGCACTATAAATGCCAGAATCACAAACTCCTGAGGCAGACGATCAAACAAGGACGTCGTTTTGTAGAGTAGGTAGAAGAAGCCTCCGCTCGTCAAAGAGATCAGGATAGAGTACAGCGTCAAGGTCGACTCCACCAAACAGTCTGTCACTAGGACTAGCAGACCTCTGAATCTCAGCAGCTCGTAAGTGTCTTTGGACGACGACAGGTAGTCCTTCCCGTAGAGTGCGAGATACGAAAAGGCGAATTTGTTAAACCACTTGATCCAGAACTCTGCCTGGTCTGCAAGCCATTCGAGTATGGAAAATAGACAGATGAGAGCACAGAACAGCAGTCCATTTTGCTCTTCTTCTTCGCGGCCGTATTGTCTGTTGAGAACTTTTTCCTTTCCAAAGGTGATAATCTGTCTGATTGTGCGCGTAATCGGCACGATTATCGATCCAAAACAGATGCTTCCGAACGAGTACGTGATGGCTCTTTTGAACGACCCCCAGGCAGGGTTCCGCGGCTTCACTGCAGACCGGTGGAAGAAGTACCACGACCCATATATTCCACTGATGGTCACGTGAGTCAGATTTTCGAGAACCTCAAATATGTAACAGCCGGTGAATAGCGTGAATAACTCGACAGCAAGGGTGGTGTTGGACACACAAACGTCATTGCCGTTCTCGTGTGGGCAGTTGTCGTCGTCTTGTTTGAGACGATCGTAAGCGATGATTGCGGCGAGCACAAAAAAGCCCAGAGAGCATATGCCCGAAACAATGGAGCTCAAGCATGAAACCACTAGTGTCGAGGGATAATCTGCCATGGTCTCTATGATGATGCGAAACACCAAGCTAGTGAAGGTGAGATTTCTTCTGATCGATGCCAGATACCATATCTGGAAAAATCCCACAAAGAGAACGATTCCTGCTGCTCCTGGTTTCCCCGTTGCAAACAGACTGGTGGCGAGCCCGAACATCACTAGCGGAAGAAGGAAGTAACCTGCGAGGACAAAAAAGAGCGGATAGGCCCACACCAGTACGAGCAGCGCCACGGAGCAGATTATTGGGATCACAAAGGCTGAGACCACGAGAGGCCACAAAGACGGGTTTGCCGCGGCCTGAATTTGATACAAGTACTCATGGCTCGTGACGTTCTTTATGCTGTGGCTAGCCATGACGCCGAATAGTACCAGTGTGGCAAAAAAGATTAAGGTAAACACCTTGTCATGGTATTTGGGCGAAGCAATCTTGAACGACTCCTCGAAACTGTCAGACTCCACGGGCTCCTTAGGTTTTTCAAGAGTGTACTCGTATTCAGGAGGCTCTTCCTCCGACTGGAAATAGGGAGGCGGCAAAAGTCGTGAACTCTCTGACATGGTATTTATTGTCCGGCCCAAAGTTAAGCGTAGCTATCGAAATGATCCAATGTCGTTATTTGAACGGTTGCCTAAATAATAATAAGATTAGAAAATTAATTTCTCGAAATTCTTTTCGTTCAAGCTCTAAAAATTAGAGCAGCTACAACTTAGATCTATGGATCCAACAGCTTCGCGGGTCCAATGCGCGTTCCGATCAGACCAACTGGATCTTCTTGCAGCGTATGCAAATCCGGAATATGGTTTCATGGCCCCGTCGATGCTGGTCGAGGGCCCTTCTTCCTCAGGCAAAACGTACACTCTGCGCAAGTACTTTGAACATTTGCAGCGGAATGGGCAAATACTGTTTTCAGAAATCGAATGCGAATACTGTCTCACGCGCAAAACAATCTTGCACACAATTCTGCGCAATTTGATCAATTTACTCGAACTGAACGTCCAGCAGTCCGCCGAAATGATTGGTAAATGCGATGGACTTGGAACTTTTGTGGAGGTGCTGAAACAGATTGAACACATATACATCAATATGTCCGACGGCGTGCGACATCTGCCCGTGGTGTTTGTGCTCGATCGCGTGGAAAGATTGCTTCCAAATGAAAACCCGTCAGAGCTTTGCACAGCGCTGTCGAGAGCCCATGAACAGAGTTCAGCTCTTGATTTGTTCACGTTTGTCTACGTGGTGAACCGCAGTGACTCGCTAAATATCCAAACTTTGGCCCTGCCTACCATCGCTTTTACATGCTATTCCATTAACCAGATCAAGGACATCTTGCTTGACCGGATAACCGATTCAAGCCCTTCGTTTCTTCCTCCCCTCCAGTTCAAATCCTTTGCTCGACAATTTCTTGATATCATATTAGACACTTACACATCATATTTTGGTACAGATATTGGGCTCATGGTCCCTGTGCTGGCAAAGCTGTGGCCGATTTTCATCAACCCGGTCACTGAGCTCGGGCGCATCCAGAACGGCGTCAATGACGTGCTCACCACTTTTCAGCGGAATAAGTCATTGCTGCAAAGCGAGCAGGGTCTCCTGGACGACCTGGCCAGTGCTGACATTCCGTCGAGCGACCTGCCCAAGAAGACCAAGTACATTTTGATTGCAGCATACCTTGCATCTTACGACGACCCCAAATACGATCTAATTCTGTTCTCGAAACAGAGAGAAGCGCGGTCGAACAGAAAAGTTCGTCATTCCAAGAAAAAAAGCACTAAATCAAGCGACCAGTTGTCTTCTCGGATGCTCTCCCCCCAGGCATTCACGCTCGAGCGGCTGTTGGCTATTTTGCATGCAATATATGACGAGAACTGCGAGGAGCCTTTATTGAACGACGTAGAGCTCTTATCGGAACTAGCCACGCTCTCGACGCTCAAATCTATCATGAAGCTGAAACTAGGGGACACCATCGGAGGCGGCACCAAATGGAAATGCAACGTCAACTGGAGCGTTATCAAGAAGTTCTCGGACGAAGTGGGATTTGAAATAGAAAACTTCCTGATAGATTAGATCTCACCATTCATCTTTCTTCTCTGTTTGTATCGTTCCTCCCACCTTCATTGCGATCTCCTCAATATCGTTATAGTTTTCATTAAAAATGGGGCAAACCGATCTCATTTTTGTGCGAACCCGCTTGAGAACGTTATCATATTTTTCAACGTCGGAATCGTTATTTGTGACTTGTGCTCGGCCGTTCTCAAAGAGAGTGTCAATAAGCATTTGCAACTCGGTCAGACTCTGTAAAATCTTGGGGTACTGTCTAGGTTTACCCTTGTCATCCGTTGTAGCACAGGCGTTGATTTTTTGCTGCGTCTGATGAATCCATATTGCGACTAGTGCTTTATACTGACCGAGGACCAGAAGACGCTGGAAACCGGTCTGGATGCCAAGTTGCTTTCCTTCTAAAAACTGTTGTTTCGAGCCCTCCAGCTGCCCTTCGATGAAACCTTCCTGATAGTACTGGTTCTCAAGGTTCAACAGCGAATCGAAGTCTATGTCTTTTTGTTCGCAGGGCATGGCGATGAATAATTTTTTCAATTTATGTCCGAGATAAAAAGACGGCGCAGACTGAGACAGGTCAAAACAGATGTTTACGGATCCGACTCAGACAGCGAAAACGATGAGAAAAAGACGCTGGACATGGATGCCTTTGGCCAAGAGCTGGAGCTCGATTCGAATGAGAGAGTAGAGGAGGAAGACGATCAGGAAGTCAAACTTGAGGCATTCAACCTTGAACAGGAGACGGAGGAAGGGGTGTTCGATCAAGACGGCAATTATGTGCGGACCAAGGAAGAAAGCGAAGACGAGTACTGGCTAGACGAGGTGAAAAAAGAAGATATAAAGAAAGCTCGTGCAGCCGAATTGCGACAGGAGGAGGAGAGGCGGAAACAGCAAGATGACAAGGCTCGGCGATTGCGGTCTGCCAACGTCAACGAGGTTATAGAGAAACTCTGTGAGCTGATGGAGCCCGCGGAAACTGTGGTCGAATTGCTTCAGCGGCTAAATGGTGAGTCCAGAAGGTTAAGGAAGAAAGGTCAGAAGGAGCATGAAAAATGTGTGCGGGAGCAAATTACGCAAGTGATGAGCGCCGTTGAGGTGCTGGAAGATGGATTTTCAGAAATCTACCAAGTTTCAAGAGAGGAGCTGATGCGAAAGTTGCCCGCTGCCTCGGGCTCTGAACGCAAACGAAAAAGAGAGGACGAAAGTGCCAATGTGTGGTATTATAGATGGCCGGGACAGGAAGAAATATATGGCCCCTATGACTCAGCCACAATGGAAGCATGGCGCGAAACATATTTTATCGATAACCCGGTCGAGTACCGAAAAGGCAATGAACCATTTAGATTGCTCGATGATTCCACAATGTTCCTGTAGTGGATCCCCGTATTTCCGATACGATTACCTAATTAAGAATGCTGTCCGGGGTACAGGAATTGACACCATTTTTTAAATTTCGGTTGCACGGGGCGCACGCCCCGTATCCCCGTGGTCAATTTGGCATCCTGCAGCTTATGATATAAAAGCATGGCATATCCTTGTGATGAGAGTCAAGATGACTCCAAAGTGTATTCTCAACCTCAATACCGCTTCCAGATGTTTTGTTAAACTCCAGGGGACGACAATTCCAACAAAGTCGTTCGCCTCTTTCAGCAGATCGCAATATTCCTACGCTGACAAGTACAACCAGAAAGACATGAACAAAACTCCTGAGTTAAGAGAGACTGTCAGCAATAACGGCGGGGCCGGTCTTGTGGAACATTCTTCTATGACGATTATTAAGAATGCCGGTGACGCTCATCCTTCTTACAACGACCATATCTCTGCTCACAATGGTTTCACGCCGCTTGTGTCGGGCAGCGGCGCAGTCAGTGGACATGGATTTATTTCGACGGGCGATATTCAGGAATAAATGCATGGTTTAGTTTACGAGATTTATATAATGATGAATACGTTCTCATACCGCTTATCTCATAGGTATCTTCTGTCTGGGTAGTCTACCACTTTATCGAATTTCTCGTCGCCCACATATCCTCCTGCCATAGCGTTCAGAACGTGCCTCTTGAACTGGGCAGGGTATTTTGACAAGTCGTTGGCGGCGTCCTTGTTCAGGGGATCGTTGGCATTTGGCTGCAAAAACAGATGCAGAATTCCAGCAAACACCAACTGTAGAGTCAGTGTTGGTTTCCAGTCGTTTCGCAGGATGTTGAGACAAACATGGCCCTCCAGATCGATGTTGGGATGGTATATTTTTTGCAGGCATTTGAATTCTGGAGCTCGATTAGGATAGTCTTCTGGAACCTCGCAGATGAACTTGAATTTGCCGCCCTGGTATAATCCCTCGTTGGGACAGACCTCTAGGTCGATTCTCATTGGATTTGCTTCGTCATACTTGATGTTTATTCCAGGAATTTCCTCGTACTCTTGTAAATCCTTTTTAGCACGGATATATGCCACTGGAACAGACTGTGACACTGGTTTGCTGGCCTGCTCTTTCTGCAGCTTTTTAAGTTTGAGCTGGTGTTAGTGCCTTGAATCCAACTACTTACCATTACAAATATCGTCCTTCTATTTTTCGGTGTAAGGGTTATATATTACTTTATTATTTTGCTATAAACAATCATCAGATCAGACGAGACTATGTCATCCAAGAAAAACTCGTCGAACGGCAAGTCATCGGCCAGTGAGCTGAGGGCGCAATTCAAGGACCTCCAGCAACGGCTTGGAAAAAACTCTGACTCTGCGACAATCGACACGGATTCAGCTACGAGAGGGAGGAAAGTAAGTATCACGTTCCCCTCCAACTAACCATGTAGCGTGATAGTTTAGGTCTTGGGGCACAATCGCTTTCTGAACGGCGTCCGCTATCGGGGAATGATTTTCTAAGTGACCTGAGTGACGGCCTTTTGGTGGAATCTCGTCGACTCAACCATGAAAACACACAATTAAAAGCACAATTATCTGATTTACAAGATAAGTACACCCAAACTTCCCAGCAACTACACAATTTGCAAGTGTTGAACAAGAAACTGAGCGAAAAGGAGGAGGATTCCAGTGAACGAATTTGGGAACTCGAATCACAACTCAGCGATCTGCGAGACAACTCAGTGAAGCTACAGCAGATGTACGAGAAAACGAGCAAGGACAAGTCTTCAAGAGATGTAGAGCTGGAAAGCTTAAGGGCGCAGCTTGAGCTTTATCAGGAAAAGCAAATGGTTCTGGAAAAGGAGACCACAGCTAAACTATCGCAGTTGAATGCTACGATAAAAGAGCTGAAAGAACGCAATTCCGATTTGAACGATGAAAACGACGAGTTGCACCAGAAAGTGCACAAGTTGTCTGTATCAGAGAATAAACGATTAGACGTACCTCCTGCTAATGACGAGAACGCTGAATATGAAAAGTACGACGAGTCGTTGTTGCTCGACCCTTCGCTGTCTCCAATTCGTGAAATATCTCAAAACACAATGCTTGAGTCTGACACGGCCAGTCTACAAAAAGCGCAAAAGACGATTGCCAAGCTGAAACAGGATCTGGCCAAGCTGAAGGCGGAGAAGGATGAGCTGAAGAGAAAGCAGACCAAATCACCGAAAAAATCGACCAGACGTCAATCTGTCGCCGAAAGCGATGAATGGGATGACTTCGACAAAAGCATTGCCGCAAATACCACAGCCAGGGACTCGGAATATTCTAATTTACAGATGCTTGAAGACGAGCTGGGAAATCTTTCGGACGAATACGATGAGATGGAAACTTCGCAAATAAAATACCTGGAAAAATATGCTTCCAAGCATGGACTAAAGCTTGTGCCTGAATCTGGCGACAAGACATCTGACAGATCCATAATTGAGGCCTCTACAGGATACGACATCGTTGCTTTGCCTAATGACGCCAATGTGCACTCTCCAATTGAGCAGCTGAAACAAAGGTGCCATGAGCTTGATATGGTGCCGCTCAAAACAAGAGAGTACGAAGAGCTGGTGAAGAGATCAAATTACGACACTATCGACACGGACAAGCTGGCCAACGTTGGTCTTACAGTTCTTCCTTTGCTTGAGTTCAAAGCACTTGAAGGGAAAGCCAATAAGTTCGAGACTGCAGAGGCTGAAATCAAACAACTTCAAGATCAGCTGGAAAACCCAGGTGCACAATTTATTCACAAAAAGGCCAATGATTTGGGGCTAGCGTCTATTCCTGCTGAAGAGTTTGAAAAGCTAAAGGCTGCATTGAACACCAAAACCATTGAGCTGAATACAGTGCAAGAAAAATTAAGACAGGTTGAAAAGAGATTGGAGACCCAAGTCACGTCACTGGAACAGTTGCAAAGTGGAGCAAAAAACCACAACATGGATCTTTTGCCGGCTGCGGAACACAGAGAGCTGCTTGCAAAGGTCAAGGAACAGCAACAAGATATCGAAGTATTCAAGGGAGCTCTCAAGGCTGCAGAGGACAAGCTTGCCTCTCCAGACGTTTCATATATCAAGGAGATGGCAGCAAAGAAAAATCTGGTCATCTTGACGGTTGAGGAAAACGAAGCGCTCAAAGCTGTGAGCACTCCTGTGAATAGTCCTGTGAAACGGAACATTGACTCTGGAAGTCCAATCAAACGCCCTGCTACTCTGGCGACTGACGGAACTGTCGAGATTGCTGCTGCAGCTTTACGTTCGCTTCAACAAACCGTGGAAAATCCAACCCTTCCATATTTGAGCAGCAAGCTTTCCAACTTGGGCTATAAGGCTCTGTCCATCAATGAGTACGAACTGCTTGTAGCAAAATCTTCTTCCAGTGGGGTTAACGTTTCTCCGCGCAAGCAAAGGGCCCTTGAGTCGGCTGAGACAGTTGAGTCTCTGAAAAGACGGTGTGCGGAACGAGGCTTGGTTGTTTTGTCTAAATCGTCCTATGAAAGCATTCTTGTGTCCTCAAAAAGATCGCTTACCCCGGTCGAGCTGCTTGAAAGAGTTGACAAGTCGGGCATGGTTGCTCTCAAAAAGAAAGACTATCAGGAGCTTTTGGAAACTGTTGGTTCTCTTGGCCCTCAGTTTGAGGAACCAGTGAAGCAAATGAAAAGAGCTGGCCCTCAGCACATTGGGGCTCATCTCAATGAGCTTAAACTGCTTGCCGATCAGCAAGCTAAAGTTTCTGCGTCTTATGACTCGCCGCCTGTTTCGTTCCTTATGCAAAAAGCAAGGGATGCGGGTTACAAACTATTGAGTGAAAAAGAGTACAAAGAGCGGAAAGTTGAACCATCTCCTGAAGAATGCCGTGAGATTCTTGAAAAGCATAACCTTGTGCTGCTTGATCCAGAGGAGCATAAGGAGCTTTTGTTGCTGAAAAATAGTGCCGAGCATCCCTCCAAGGATTTTGTCTCCAAGCTTGCTGCTGCTGCTGGACTGAGCGTTATGGAGACAGTGGAGGCAAAGAGACTCTCCAATCCTTCAAAGTCACAAGTTGTACAATTGGCCAAACAATACTCTCTGGTGATGCTGGATAAGCAGGAGCATGAAAAATTGCATCAGGAGCTAAAGAAGTCGAAAGATGCAGTTAGCGAGCGTAACCAACAGGTGGCAAAACTCGACTCTCAAGTCAAGCAGCTGCAAGATCGGATTAACAGGCCGACAGTCGAGTTTCTGCAGAGTGCTGCTGCCAGGCTTAACTTTGTCTTGGTGGCTAAGAATGAAAATGACAAAAAGGAAAACCAGCTGAAAGTCATCTCAAAGCTCGAACAAGAAGTGTCCAAATTGAAGTCACAGGTGTCAAAATTGTCAGCAAAGCTCAAGGAGACAGAAACTAGTGATTTCGCGAGATCGCAAGCTGCCAAATTTGATCTTGTAGTCATGACTGTCTCTGAGAAAAAGCAAAAGGACGATGAGCTCGGCCATTGCCAAAAGCAGTTGAGTGAAAAGTCCAGGGTCCTGCAGACGGTCCAGAAGCAAGTGCAGGAGCTGACAAAACAACTGACCGCGACTAGAAAAGAGCTAGACTTGGAGAAACAGGTCTCTCCTTCTCTCGAGGTGGCCAAGTCAGTTGTGACCAAAAGTGGACTACTCTGCTTGTCGAAAGAAGAGGTGGACCATCTTTCGCAAGCTAAACCGCGCGAAACTGTCTATGTGGATGCTCCAAGTGAACCTGTCGACTCCAAAGATCGCACAATGAAAGAAGAAGAGTTGAAGGAGCATGCCTCCAAACTGGGATTTGTGCTTGTTCCTGTTGGACAGAAGAGACAAACCCAAAGATTGGACGTGCACAAGCTCAAAGAACTTGCCAAATTACACGGCTTGGAGACCATAGAAGCTTCCAAACTGCGGAAACTTGAGGAGAATAGCAAGATCGATCTTCCAAGGCTTCATGCGTCCGCCAGATCTTTGGGTATGACCGTGGTTGATCCTAAAGCAGCTCCAAAAAGAGCTGACCTGAGCCAAGCAGCAAGCAAACTGGGTTTGAAACTCATGAGTTCATCAGAAATCGAAGCACTGAGGAAAAGGCCGATCACTTCTAAGGATCTCGCTGCCAAAGCTGCCGAACTTAAGCTCAAGCTTGTGCCTGAGAACGAACAAGGAAACTTGAAGAATCCCGTTCTTGATAGCGATCTCAAACAGATATGCAAATCGAAAGGATATATGCTCATTCCAGAGTCCAAATTCGTGGCTACTACAGTTTCGAGGACAGTTGATGAGTCCAACATCGTCGTCGTTCCTTCCACCTACTACAATAAACTAATCAGAAGCCACGCCTGGTACAAAAACCATAAGACAGAAGTTGATGAAAGTGAGAAGCCCGCCACGACTGTTTTGGAAGAGGACGAGCCAAGTGTCTTGTCTGCAGACGTTATAAAGCAAAGTCAGCCTAGCATTTCAATGAACCACTTAGCTAGACACGCTACTACGTCTACTGATCAGACAACGGCCACTTCCAAGTTCACCGACCAGGAAATGATTGCCGCAATTACTCAAACAATCATTGGAGAATATCTTTATAAATACTACAGAAAGCTCGGTCCGCTGTCTTCTCTCTCTGAAGCCAGACACGAAAGATACTTCTGGATTCACCCTTACAGCCTTACGCTTTACTGGTCTGCTGCCAATCCTATCCTTGGTGATCCTTCCGAAAACAAGATCCGGGCCCTGGCAATTAGTAGAGTCGAGTCCGTTGAGGACAACAATCCACTACCTCCTGGATTGTACCACAAAAGCATTCTTGTTCACTCTGTGGACAGGACGATCAAGATCACCTGTCCGACCCAAAAGCGACACAGAATTTGGTTCAACTCGCTAAGATATTTGATCGACAGGAGTGTCGATGAAAACATAAACCAAGACCCAGAAAACCAATACGAGGTTTCTTACGCATTAGACGACCGCGTGGAAAACGAAAGAAATGGACATGGGCAGCCGCCATCAAGAAGCTTGACGACGAAAGGACTGTTTGGCAGCATCATGCCTGCCAAAAAGGACTAACATGGTTGGATATTTGCTAGCTGAAAAAGGTATTGGGACTCATTAAACGAAGGTAGCGTAGAAATAAGACATCACTCCCTCTTCACGGCAGAGAAAGGATTCAATGTTCTCACGGTCAAACAAGGCAGCGCCATTCCCACTTCAGACCGCAGCAGAATGGGCACTTGCTTGAGTTCTCTGATCTCTTGGATGTAACTATCATTCTCGACTCTGATGATACAGTCGCAAAGATATGGCGCAAGAGCAGGATCGTAGTCAACCGGACTCTCTGTCGATAACGATGCCATCGCAGTGGAAAGACTTGTCTGTGGGTCGGAAACATTTCTCTCCAGAGTTCCAATTGGCGAAGTTTCGGGAACGCTCTTCACAGAACTTGAGACTGGTTTCTGAGCAGTGGTGTTCTGAGTAGGGACTGTGACCTTCGGAGGCTTGATATTCAGTTCCTCTAGTTTTTTGGCTAGTTCAGCAGAAATAAGGCCTCCATTCTCCAAGGCCAGTTTACTCTGAGATTTGGCTGCAGTACTAGATGGCGAGCGATACTTGTTCTTGATCGACGACCTGTAAGAGAGCGGCTCCTTTTCGTCGTCCGGAATATACGTTGCTGAATCGACACCTGGCTCCCAGTGCAACTCTAGCACGCGAGCGGATTTGTCGAACTCGGCCTTTTGCAATGGAAGTTGATCGCCGTGAACACGTTTTTCAATGCCGAATTCTGGAAGCAGAACATCGAATGAAGACTCATAAACTTGGATGACAGTTCCCATCGTTAATATTTGGCCAGATTCAGAGCTCATTTCATTGATTGTCTGGCAGAGAAGCAAATGGATAGCCTGCTCCTGTGCAGCTTTGGCACAATCCTTCTTAAAGTTACAATAATCGCTGTTCATCTTGAGTGAGTCCAAGGTTTCCTTGTAGTTATGAATATCGTCATTGAGAACAGCTTTCAACTGTCTGTGGACAATGATGTCTGAATACCTTCTCAATGGTGCAGTGAAATGCGTGTAAACTGGTAGATTGAAAAGATAATGATTTAAACTGTCTGCATCTGTTTTGCCAGCAATAACATATTTTCCCCTTGGCATGGATTTGATCAAAATAGTTTCAATAGCAGACCGTTTGATCGGATCCTCAATACTGAGTAAGGAGTTCTGGAATGAAGCAGCATTCGTAGTGTCGAGACTTACACCCAGATGGGCTGCCTTCTTGTTGTAGTTCTCGAATTTTGTAAGTGTTGGAATCGAGTACTTTCTCAGAAAGGCTCTGTCTCCTAGAATTGCATGGATTCTTTGCGCAACGGCAGCATTGACATTGTGGAAAATCTCGTCAATCACCGTTGCTGATGGGTAACTATCGAAAATGTTCAAAGACAATCTCACGTTTTCGTCGTCAAGTTTGTCGAGCAATGGCAAAACTGGCTCAATTTTCAGTTCGGGGTTGTTCAGTCGTCTTCTTCTCAGCCCTTCAGCAATCAATGCCAGTGTTGAAATGTATCCAGAAGTTGCATTGATGCCTTCACTTGTTTGGCTAAGAGTTTTGTTAATGATCTCATCCATGGTAGAGTAGTCCACTTCCTGCTTAGGAGTCACCACTGACTCTCCCATCCAAACTCCATCAATATCAAAAGTGGTGGAGTCAATTTCAAAGACAACCGAAACAGCCAAGCTGCTCTTGTTCTCTTTGAAAGAAATTCGATCGTTGACTTTTCCAGGAAACAGATGGACCGTTTTTTGGGGTAAAAACACAGAATGGGACCGTTTCTTTGATCGTTTGTCCAACCCAGATCCTTGCTTGATGAAGTGTGTAATGTCGACAATGTGGATACCCAATTCGATCTTGGTTTCCGAAAGGACCTTGACATGAAGAGCGTGATCACAGAAAGAGCCTGTCTGTGTGAAGGCAATCACATACTCGTCCTTGAAATTTCTTCTATGCTCATCTTCCAGAGCTGCAGTCACATCCGGCAGCTCAGCAACGTACTTGTCTTCATCCTCTGGATACTCATCGCAGAGAAAATTATTGTCTCTAAGAATTGAATCGATCTCGACCTCTGGGTCATTCATAGGTCCTAATTGTGCCACCAGTGTTCCAAATGGATGCAATGAGGTTATTGGCCATCTTTTGATGGATGCAATAAACACTTGATCCGCATATTTCTCGTGGTTCTGAACAAAGTCTTTTGGTACTTGCTCAGTGGGAATAGCAATGAGAGGAACTTTCTTGTCTGTGGGCTTGAACCAGACTATCTTTGGCCTGGAATTGTTAGATTGCTTTTGATCATCTTTATCTTTATTGTCTCTTTCCTTGGCGGCCTGAGATGGTCTCAAAAGCCCCAAAGTACCAGAGAAAAGCTGACCAGGAATCCTGTCTACAACAGCGACCACATGACCGGCATATAAAGGTTTGCAGTCGTCGCTGATTTCCTCTTCCTCCACCAGCAACAGGGACTGCCCTTCGACTTCTACATCGTCGTTCTTCTTCTGGGTGGGCCGTTGCTTCAAAGATCCTCTTCTGTTCAAAGACCCGGATCCACGGCTGACACCTGAAGAGGATTGAGTTGACGGTGGGGTTTCCGTTGTAGCTGTGTCTGCTAGTGCGCTTGAGGATGCCGAAGACGAGTAGCTGGTGCTTGCGTCGTTGTGGAAATCGTCTGTAATGTCTGTGGATGCAACAATATTATCCTTTCTTCTCTTTTTTTCCTCCTTTTCCCGTTTAGAAGACCACACCTCGTCGACAACAAGAAGCTCAACAGCAACCAAGTCGCCTTCTAGAGCTCTATTTCTGTCCTTGGAGCCGCAAATGAAAATGTCGGCATCTAGCAATCCATCTGTGGAAACATATGCATCCGACCTATTCTTCTTGTTCACCCTAAGAACACCTGTGACCAGCCTTCCCTCACTAATCAGCTCTGGAAGAGAGCTTTGAGGAAGATAAGGAGCAAAAAGAGATTTTCTTTGCTGGCCATTTTGGGACTGGTTGAACTGTGCCAGTGAAGACACAGAACCACCGTATGAAGACCTCGCTCTGTGTCCCGGTGTGAATGGAGAATCAAATCCCGATATTGGTTGCTGGGATGGTATCGGTTGTTGCTGCTTTCTCCAGTTGCCATTGATGTCAGACGGAGCAGTTCTAAAACCATAATTACCGGACTGGCGTCTTTCATGGCCAAAGTTAACTGGAGGAGGCATCAATGTTTGGGAGTTATCTCTTGGAGGAAACTGGAAGGATCTCTGAGGGGACATGTTCGATTTGGACCTGTGATGACCACTTTGCACTTGGTAGTTGTCGTCATCATTGTCTGGAGGGAATTTGAAAGAAGGAAGGGAAGAATCGGTTTTCAATGGCTGTCCAGACCGTTGAGCCTGGGCCTCTGCGGCTGCTCGCTTGGCTTCTGAGACCCCGAGAGAATGCCTCCTGGTGTGGCCAAGAGCCTGTTGTCGGGTATCTTGTTTGTTGTAGATTTGCTGGGTGCCAGGTGCAACAGATGATTGGGCTCTTCTGTGACCTCGGACAGTGTGGAATTGTTCCTGTTCGTGATTAACGTTTCCAGAGGCCCTCCTATTGTGCCTTGGGGTGTTGGAAGGTGGGGGCATGGCCGACACGCCCGGAAAACTGTAGCCAGGTTGAGCATAGCTCGTCTGCTGGGTGAATTGCTGTTGTTGCTGAAGTATCTGCTGTTGCTGAGCCTGAACAATTTCAAGCTGACGCTGCAAATTAAATTGTTCCACTGAAGGGCGAGTTAGTAATTAAAATGCACTGTATACTTACGCATCAATGTAGTGAGCTCGCTGGGAGAGCGTCTGTGAGCCACATGGATGGTTCTTGGTTTGTTTCCGGACGTCTGAATAGTTGTAAAGGGGTGCTCCGGATGGTTTATATCCGGCACGTTGTGATTGGAACCCATTTCCAGGTGAAACAAGGAATTCGCAGTCAGCGATACTATTAATTCTAATAGCCAAAGAACGCAATCTGGAATACACAGTACGTCAATGGCACTGGGGCAAGAGTTATTCAGCTATAACTAACCAGTATTTGCACAGGATTTGCAAACAATATTGGTGAGCTGAAAGACTGACTCAAAAATGCACTAGAAAAAAAATAGTAATTATGACAAACCCTTAATTTAAAGTGGCTGCTGGGCTAGATCTACAAACTTCAATTGCGTACCAAAAATAATTACATGGAGTAAGTGGAGTATTGAGACAGTTCATAATCTACAGGATGCATGTCGCGAAGGTTGATAGCTGGCTTATACGAAAGAGCCGGACATGCTGCATTGTCGAAAGCTATTTTTGGACTATTGCTGCCACAGGAGAGAAAGCGGTTGAAAAAAAAATGTGGGCTAAGAGGTTCGAACTCTTGCATCTTTCGATATCACGGCCTAAACGTGACGCCTTAACCACTCGGCCAAACCCACAAGACAATGTTGAATTGGGTGCTTTGACGAAAATACTATGTCTTTGTGATTAGGAGCATCAATAAGTCACTTTTTAAATATGCTATATAAATAACAAAGTTAGTTCTGTGCCCTCCTTAGCTTCGGATCCTGTTCACGGCGCAGCCCGGTGAATTCTCGATCTTGAGATGGCATTTTAAAACTATACTTTTTGCACAGCCTAGAAACTCAAGTAAATATTTTTCACAATTTTTCAGTTCCAATGGGTCGTTCTAGCTTTGTTGTTTGGACCGCTGCCACAGCAATAGCAACCACCGTTGTTGTGGAGGCACTTCATTTTTATTTCTCCAAGTCCAAAAATCCGGTTTTGGGGCCTACAACCAATGAAATAGTTTCTGCGATCCCAGATTTCTCAGAAGAACTTATTAGAGAGCAGCTTGCAAGAAACTATGCATTTCTTGGTGAAGACGGAATGCGGAAAGTTCGCGAACAGTTTGTTGTTGTTGTTGGTGCTGGTGGAGTAGGATCCAACTGTGTGACTGCCCTCGTCAGATCAGGGGTGTCAAAGATCAGGATCATTGATTTTGATCAGGTCAGCTTGTCTTCCCTTAATAGACATGCAGTTGCCACCGGAAGGGACGTGGGCACTCCAAAGGTGAACTGCCTGCGAAGACATTTGCTCCAGATTGCGCCTTGGTGCCAGATCGAGGCCATCAACACTCTATTCACCATCGAGAACGCCGAGTCCCTGATTTTGAAAGGCAGTCCTTCCTATGTTGTCGACTGCATTGACAACATCGATACCAAAGTTGATTTGCTGACCTTCTGCTACGAAAAGAATGTGCCGGTGATTTCTTCGATGGGAGCTGCTTGCAAAAGTGACTCCACAAGAGTGAACATTGCGGATATTTCTGCTTCCGACGAAGATCCTTTGGCACGTTCTGTTAGACGCAGACTGAAGAAAAAAGGAATCATTAAGGGCATTCCTTGTGTCTTCTCGAGTGAGAAGCCAGACCCTCGTAAAGCAAGCCTGCTCCCTCTTCCCGATGAAGAGTTTGAAAAAGGTCATGTGGACGAGTTAAGTGCGTTGCAAAATTTCCGAGTGCGGATCTTACCGGTTTTGGGCACGATGCCCGCCATGTTTGGTCTGACTATCGCAACATACCTTGTTACCACCGTGTCTGGTTATCCTGTGGAGCCAATTGAGGGTAAAAACCGAATCAAAGTGTACGACGGCATCTTGCAAAGCTTGGCAGGACAGCAGGCCAGACTTGGGCAAAAAGATCAAAGGGTGCAAATTGCTATGAGTGATGTCAACTACATCCTAGAAGAGGTTTTCCGTGGGAAGTCGCCTATTAGTGGATATTCGACGAGATTAGCGCTTTCTAGATGGAAAAGAGACGAGCCACTCTCGCTGCAAAACGTGGTGATCATGACGAAAGAGGAACAAAAAATACACGAGGATAGAGTTCTTCTTGGTGGCGAGAAGTTGGAAGACGTCTACCCGAAAGAAGTGCTCGACTTAGTGGCGAAAAGATTTGAAGAGGAAAAATACTACTCCAAGTTCCGTTGAACCCATCAATATTTATATGTACACTTAAAAGAACCATCTTTGGCCCTTCGAGGGTGGCTTGCCGAATTTCGGATTTAATGCTGCAGGATCGTGATTGATGTTTTTTCCCAGGTTCTTCAGACCGTCCGAGGTGAGCGTCTTTCTGATACCTTGTTCTCCAACACTTTGTCTGGCGGCACTGGTGATCTTTCCAACGTTGAATCCCATCTTTCTCAGCTTCGACACAACTGCTGGGGTAATTGCGGCGGTGATTGGTAGACGGATAAATATCAAGGATTTGTGTATAGCGTACGCAACGGCAAATTCAGTCCACAAGGTGGAATATCCTGACTCGCTTGATTTCCCCGTCTCTTGGTCGGAATTCACTGGATCGCCCTTTCGCCAGCCAATCCATCTGAGAAACTGGTCTTGGTACTCTTTGATTGCCTCCTCTCCAGCAGAATGTACCATCAGAAAGGTGATGGGCAGGTCGATACAGCTCAAAGCAAAGTACACCCCGAGAGCAGAGTATCCGTACTCCTGCATAAGCAATTTAATTCCCTTAGGCTTTTTCGCGCCAGGTATCTGAGTGGAGTTGGGGCGCTTAGAGCGGAAACCTATCCACGAGGCTCTGTTAAATCCGGATCTAATTCCAATTCTGAATGCGAACATCGTCAAGCTCGAAATCTAAAAAATCTGGAAAGATTCAAGAAAGTTTAAATAAAATCCATAAATATTTGTCTAGAGCAACTGTGTCTTAAATTAATGTATTATTTATGCTCATGTATAAAGAATGCAAAACCTCTCAGAATTTGGCCTTCTTTTCTCTTCCAACAGTGCACTTGATCAATCCGTTTGGATGCGGAGATGGATAGAACAACTCGTTGTCGTTCTCCAGACCCTTCCAACTAAGATCTATTAGGAAGTAGTGCTTGTTAGGCAGGCTGTACGAAACGTTGCTGACCAGTGGGACAAGTTTCAGAATTTCCTCACACATGTTGTACATGGTGGCCTGCACAGAAGCTGAGTTTTCTAGCGCAAACAGGCTCAAGGTGGTTTCTCTGGCGCTCTTGTATGCGGAATCAAAGAGACCTGCTCTTGCTTGCGAAATGACGTTCTGCAGCGAGCCGAGCTTCTTGGAGTCCCACTCCCAGACGGAGTCGACATCCGTAGACAAGATCCGGTCAGTGGTAGGCTTGAGCGTGGTGTAATCACACTGGTTGAACCCGTAGAACATGGAGCCGGTCGACTTTAGAACAGTCAAGTCCTTAATTCCAGACTTGAGAACAAACTCCCCAGAGCGTTTGTACTTCAGTGAGGCGGTTCTGAGCTCTTCCCCGTCTTTCAAAAACGAGTGATCATGAATTTTGCCGTTGACAGGGTACTTGGTCCATCTGTGCTGGAAAATCTCAATATCCACGCCGCTGACGTGAGAGTACTTGTTAATAAAGTGCAGACCCAGATGAGCAACAAAACCCTCGATAGGAAACACGTCAAACTTTTTAGCCTCGACAAGAATCGTATTCTTGATCGTGTCGGTTGGGACAATAGGAGCGTTGTCGGCCTTGGTGTAAGCAACGTCAAAGTTTCCAACAAGAAGAACCTTGACAGTTGCCTCCATCACCTCGTGGACCTTAGGATTCAGGGGGTCTTTCTTAACCTTGAGAAACTTAACATTGTCTTTTCCGTATGTAGACGATTGCAGGACAGCCATCTTGGTCTCAGTCTGATAAAGTGTGCGGTATTTATAGTTAAAGCAAGTGAAAGCGCAACAATAAACCTCCTACCTAATCGTCCTGCTGATTCTCGGAGGATTCCGTGATTACGTCATCGTTGCTTGCTACCGGGGGTCGGCATCGTCTGATTTGAATAGGAAGCGGAACAAGTTGAGATACGCCGTGGCAAGAGCAAGAGCGTGGCACACTCAGGGACTATTGTTGATGGCCGCCTGGCGCAGCTGATTGCCGATACGGGCTGAGCGAGCCCCGGCACCCCGAGTAAGATTGATAAATGTGCGACTAAACGAGTGCCTGAATCACGCCATCTTATCTTGTTGCATTAGCAGCAAGATCGTTCCCGCAGGCAAGACCCGGCGGGCCCCTTTGAATTTTGCTATGCGATGCCTGGAAGTGGTCAAAATGAACTGAAAATTACAAGTCATACATCCTTGCACTAAAAGGAAACCGACCTCCGCCAACCAGCGACTTGACAAATTTGATAAGATTTCCCTTGAGAAAGCTAATCTAACTACACAATGTTTGGTAAAATTGCAGAGAGACTCGCTGGCAAGAATATCCTGATTACTGGTGCATCCACTGGAATTGGATACAGTACCGCAAAGCACTTTGCTGAGGCAGGTGCAGGCAACATCAAACTGGTTTTGACTGCCCGTAGAGAAGATAAGCTGAAGGCTTTGAAAGAGGAGCTTTTGAAGACTTATCCTTCAATCAAAGTTTTCATTGGCGCCCTAGACGTTTCGAAGACCGACCAGATTTCCCCATTCCTCAAGAGTTTGCCCGAGGAGTTCTCTGAGATCGATGTCCTAGTCAACAATGCTGGTAAGGCTTTGGGTCTTGATCCTGTTGGTTCTGTTGATTCTGCCGATGTGAAGGAGATGTTTGAGACCAATGTTCTGGGAATGATTGAGCTGACGCAATTGGTCGTCCAGCAGATGAAGAAGCGCAACAAGGGTGATATCATACAGTTGGGCTCTGTTGCAGGTAGAGAGGCTTACCCTGGCGGCAGCATCTACTGTGCTACCAAGTCTGCGTTGAACTTCTTCACCAGCGCCTTGAGAAAAGAACTGATCAACACCAAGATTAGAGTCATCGAGGTCCAGCCTGGTAACGTTGCCACTGAGGAGTTTTCTCTGGTTCGGTTCAAGGGTGACAAAGAAAGAGCTGCTGCCGTTTACAAGGACACAGAGCCATTGTATGCTGATGACATTGCAGAATTGATTGTCTTTGCTGCCACTAGAAAGGAGAACACTGTTATTGCTGAGACTCTGGTTTTCGGAAACAACCAGGCCTCGCCTTTCCACATCTACCGGGGCTCTCAAAAATAAGTAGACAGTAAAAAAATATTTGTCGCAAGATTCATGTACAAAGATTCGGCGATTGAAAACGCTGTGCGGGCGGGAAATTGGCGCAACGCTCTGAGTTTGGTTTCCAAGAAAATCAAGGCGTATCCCAATAGCTCTTATTTTTATGCTCTAGAGGCCGAGATCCTGGCGTTGTCGGGGAAAAGACAGGAAGCCGAATCCAAGGCTGATCATTTATTGGAGAAACTCCCTAGTGATCCGGACGCGTTGAAACTTCTTGCAAACGTTTATGATCTATGTGAGGTGCAACAGGATGTGTTCGACAAGGTTTGCAAAAAATATCCCTCTGTGGATCTAGTTTACGAATATTTCACCTTCAGTGTGGCCAGAGGAGATATTTTGGGCATGCAGAAGGCATCAATGCTTCTAACAAGGGCCGTTGCAACTGCAAAGCAGTCTGTGGATACTCAACTGTTCAAATTCTGGGCCGCAACATGTCTGATGCTCACCTGTCGCTGCTGTACCTTGGCTGCTTCGATGCAAAAGCTGTACCCGCAATTGGGTGTCAGATTGATGGAACAGGTTGGACTTCAAACAGCACAGCACGTCTATGTTTACGTTCGTCTGCTACAGCTTGCGGGAAGAGATGATGAAAGCGTTAGGTTTATGGAAAACTTTCTTGCCAAGGAGAACGACTTGGAGCTCAAGATTATTTATTTGGAAACATTGGACAAAATGAACGAGCCAGAAGAACTTTTTAGAGCTTGCAAAAACTACCTAGTTCATCTCAATGAGGACGACTGGGATACGTGGAAGCTGCTCATAAAAGCTGCCAAAGCAACTGACAAGCTTGACGAGTGCAGAGAACTAATTACTTCCTACGCCTCCCGTAACACCAAGCTCGCGGCTGTTGAGCTTCACGAGCCTTGCGCAATTGAAGAATATTTCCATGATTACGGAGCAAAGCTTTGTTGCTTCACTGATTTGAAACCCTATGTCCCAAAAGGCATCTTCAAGGAACCATATTTGAAGAATAGATATGATGCATTTGTGGCTCTGAAGAAGCCAACACTCGACCACGTGATAAGTGCGGTCAACATCATGAAGTTCAGGGCTTTGGATTCTAGAGAAAAACAGTTCGTCGCCGATTGCTGTATGCTGTACAATAAAACAAAGTACCATCTAGAGTGTCTCGAAGAATTTGATTATTTCCCTGGATATGAATTCTTGATTCTCGCCATGGAGGCATCGATAGAACACTCAGATTTTGGCTTGGAACTGATTTATTCGTTGATTGTGATTTTGGAGGAGGCTCTAGTGAAAAACAAATACGAATTCCATTTGAAGCTCTGGCTGATGAGACTGTACACAATTGCTAATCTTCAGCCTGCTGCAGACGAGCTTTATAGGTCTCTGAAAATCAAGTTTGTTCAGCACGACACACTCTCCTATATCATCGGCACGAGACGGTCGATAGGAGCTGGTCCTTTGGTGGAGGTGGCTAGGTTTTACACCCAAAACGTTCAGAGAGAGATACCTCATATGATAATCAGCGGATTCCAAAGTACGGCTATGAACAAACTCCAAGGTTTTATGGAACTTTACAACAGGCTCAACACTTCCTTTGGCAAACTATCTACTTCTGTGGAGCTTATCAGAGCATACAGGCTCAAAGACGACCAAAAGAGCATTGAGGAACAGGTTTCTGTGCTGCGTAGTCTTCGTGATCAAGAAATTAGCGACAACAGAGACTTCAAAACATTCTGGGACTGTGGTGTTCACGAGCGTCTGGCGGAGGTGGACAGCAAACTGCCGCAGTACTATAATGGCGCTCACTTACGGCTTCTTGTGCTCAGAGAGCTTCTCATTTACGATCCTGAGTCGCGCAAGACGAACGAAAGGAAGAAGGAACTGCTGGAGCTCTATGCCAAAGTGCAGCTGTCTGAAATCGAAAAATGGAGCTTCTCGGTCCTGATCCAGCATTTCGAGAACACAGAGCCACTGCCCTTGCCTCCGAAGCCGGATACAATGCTTTCCTCGGAGTTCAACTACTACCACGCCGTGATATTCGACACCTACAAGCAAGTTGCATTTCTTAGAGGAAATACTAAGGATCTCAAGTCAATCTTGACAACGCTGCGCAATGAAAATAGAGAGTACAAATCGATGGCCAGAAAACAGCTTGAAGATGTGAGGAAAAAAGTCAAGGTATGCTTGAAAAACAATTTCAAAGAGCTTGACATCAGTGAGAACTCCATCAGCACGGCCTTCGCCAAAATGAGGCAGCATCTGGATAGCTCGATCGCATATTTGCAGGGATTATAGACTGTGTACATACTACTATTTCTTCTTCTGCCTCTCCTTAGCAGGAACGCGTCTTTCCTTGGTTCCAAAGACCAGCTTGTGAGGCCTCATAAACGACTGTAGCACCTCGTCGTCGACCTTTGCGCGCCTTTCCTGGAATTCCTTCACATATTTCTGCAACGTTTCTATGCACAGCTTCTTCATCTCGCCTGACAAAAGCTCACCAGAACGGTATTGCTCAGCAACCTTGGTAAGAAGTTCTTCGTTTTCGTTGAAGTAGGACAGGTATTGGTACGCGACATCGACATCTGGGTTTCCACCGTACTTTCTGTGCTCCTCGACGCTCACCTTGCCACCGCTGAAAGCGTATTTGTTGACCTTCTTTTGGATCTGTTTAGGAGTATCCGTCATGAAGATGGCGCTATTTTCGTCAGACGCACTCATCTTGGTTGTAGGACCTTGCAGAGCAGGGAAGAACCGCGAGTGGACCAAGGATGGCTTGCTAAATTTGAGCTTGTCCGCAACATCTCTGCAAACTCTAAAGTATGGGTCCTGGTCAATGGCACAGGGAATCAAACATGGCGTTTTCGGAGGCAGCCCGAGCACATCAGGGAAAGACGAAGGGAAGGCAGTGGCGATCTGAACAGAGGCAAAATGTAGCTTACCAATACAGTCGGCGTCTTGGAATCCAAAAACAGCTTTGGCCGTCGATGTGGTGATCTGTCTCGAGACACGAACCACCGTTTCATAGAACGCAGAATTCATATACTCAAGGTCGGAAAAAATGAATGTGTTTTCTGGCTTAAAGCCCACAGAGATGATGTCCTTGGCATTCTCTTTGGCAAACCTCTTGACATCCTCAATGGTCAGCTTCTGCTTGAACAGAAACTTCTCGTCGTCGGTCAGTTCGATGATCAACGGCACATCAAAAACGTCCTGTAACCACTTGGTGAACGTGAATGGAATCATGTGACCCAGATGCATGGAATCTGACGAAGGACCACGACCAGTGTACAAAAAGAACGGCTCGCCGTGCTCGTATAAGTCTAAAATCCTGCTGAAATCTCTCTCGGAGAAGAACAGGCCTTTTTTCAAGTAGTGATGAGGCTCATAGCCGGTCACCTGCTCAAATCTCTCCAAAGTCTCCTTTGTGATCGGCTTGGTTCCGAACTGCTTGATCAGTTTCTCGTAATCGATCCCCACAGCATGGCCATCGACAACGGCTCCTTCAACCTCCCATGGAGTGATCTTCTGCTCAGCAGACTCAATCTTCAAATTTTCGGTGCTCTCAACAAGCCCACTCATGACGAATTTTTTATTTTATTTCTACGCCAATTCGGAAAATACCATAAATTTTTGAAGCCCAAAGTCATTTTTGATTATATAATCATATATTCCCAGGCGTGCTCTGTCAGCTAGTACTCATCACAGACTCGGTGTCCGTGTCGATAAGCTCATCAGCGGTGTCCTCTTCGGTAATCTCGTTCCATGATGCGTACGTAAGCAGCCCGAATCCGCCCACCACAAGCAGGTAGCCCAACATCTGCGGAAAACTGATTTCGATTCCCCAGAGAAGCCACTCCACCACTCCGACGAGTAGAATGGTAACCAGAGACGCAACAGATGAAAACACTGGCGACGTCAGCGCCATAAGTGCAAGAAACGAGACGCTAAAAATGAGATTCGAGATGGTCGACAGGAAAATGTACAGCCATTGGGCCTTTGACGTCGGGAACTTGAACCTGTGCCATCCCAGAAGCTGCACTATGACGACTGGAATGATAACCACTATGAGGGTGCTGATTCCTATGAGGCACATTGTGAAATTTGAAAAGGTGGCCTGTCTTCTGGCGCTGACCTCGCTGGACGGAGGACAGCATTTCTTCTTGTACATAACCTCGTACAGGCCGTACAGAATGGCGCCAATAAGAATTATGATGTCGCCCTGGAGTCTATGTGGGTAGTCTCCGGCATCCTGGTCCCTCCCCGAATATGCTACAACCATGACTCCGACAATGGCCAGCACCACCGAGCCCAGCTTTATGAGAGAGAATTTTTCTCCTAAGATAGGTATGGCAAACATGTACGCTGTGAAAGCGCTGCAGTTGTAAATGGCAGTCACGTCTGATCCGGTGGACATCCCCATTGAAATGTACCAAGTAATTCCCGCCAAGTTTAAAATGACAGAGAGGGCCAAGGTAGATTTGAAAATGTACTGTATAGCCTGGCTCTTGAAGAACTGTGAGAATTGCTTAAAACTGTGGGGTCCGAACTCCTTTTCGTACCCCTTTTGGTTGGCCCTGATTGTCAGCTCGGCGCTGTAGAAAATGTTCTTGTGCTGGGTCTTCACAGAGCTAGCAAAGGCGCGTCTAACGCCTTTCCAATGCTTACCGTTGGCGTCTTGGTAGCCGTGTTTATGACGCAAATACCGTCTGAATGTCTTATATGTGGCGATGCCTGTAAATTGTAGAGGCCACAGGACCCACCAGGACCCATGTGTTATGAGCAACAGCAAGATCGGTTCTCCAAATTTCAGCTCGTTGTATAAATAAGCGGTGGTTTCTGTTTGCGTCACGAATGCGATCAACGAGGTCACGAAAAGCGCGACTACAAAAACAATTTTCACGTACGAAAACGAGTACTGGTGCATGCTGCGCATGCTGCGAATATCTTGCGATGCACCAAAGCTGCCACGGGGCTGTTTCTGGTTTTTTTGAGGCTCCACGAGCAGAGGCTCGAGGGAGTTGAGTGACTGAGTGGGACCTCGTAAAGATTCAGACATGGACGGCGTAGACGGGCTTTAGTAAAGGAGCGCTGTATTCAAGCCCAAACAGTGGTGGTCCGTATATCAGTGGAAAAGAGATATAAGAACTTGTTTGCAAAATATGCAAAACAAGCTTGAGTCTGGGGAGTCATCTCTGCACCGAAAAAAAAAAATCAGATAATTAGTACTTTTGTTCACCATGTTCCAAAGGAAAGAGGACGAGAGCGAGAAAAAACTCCAACACCGGCGTACAGTGGACTACTTTACTCCTTTGGGTAGATACATGGTCCAGAAAAATGTGTACAATCGCCGAGGTCGCCAACCATTGGGGAAGATCCGCCCAGAGATGTCATACCTGTCCCAGCTGTTGCCTCCGCATTTAGAGCAGCCAGAAGTGGTGGATCTGGCCACCAAATTTGTCCACGTTTCGACAAACAAATCCAAGCACGCTATACATGCGCTCAAATGGACGCCAGATGCGCGCCGAGTGCTGGTTTCGTCTCACTCTGGAGAGTTCACCATCTGGAATGGCTTGACTTTTAACTTCGAGTCTATCATGCAGGCCCATGACTCGCCCATTTTTGCACTGCAATATAGTCATAATGGAGACTGGCTGCTTAGTGCGGACCAGATCGGTTGCATCAAGTTTTGGCAGCCAAACTTCAATAACGTCAACATTCTCCCCAAGGCTCACGACAATGCAATTCAGGACATAGTTTTCTCACCAAATGACTCAAAGTTTGTGAGTTGCTCCGACGACCTTACGCTGAAGATATGGAACTTCAGTACAGCTACCGAAGAACGCACTTTGAAAGGACACCATTGGGACGTCAAAGCTTGTGACTGGCATCCAACTTTGGGATTGGTCGTTAGTGGCTCCAAAGATAACTTAGTGAAATTTTGGGATCCAAGAGACGGGAAATGCATATCTACCATCCATGACTTCAAACATACGGTGACAAAGGTGCGATTCCAGCCGAAAGGAAACCAAAGACTGTTAGCAGCGTGTTCCAGAGATCATTCCACCAGAATTTTTGACATCAGACTGATGAAAACTATCAACGTTATAAAATCTACGGACGACGTTGACTTGACCTCTATTACCTGGCACCCTGTTCACTCGTCAACACTCACCATTGGTGGTTACGACGGGTCGTTGTCCACCTACGACCTTGCAAAAGAATTAAATCAAGACTTGGTGTTCAACAGAGAAAAACTACCTGCTTCCACCACCTCTCCGCTCCACAGAATCCCATACGCTCACGACAAGGCCATTCATGACCTTGAATATCATCCTCTTGGACACTTACTGTGTACTGCCGGAGCGGATAAATCAATGCGCTTCTGGTGTCGATCCAGACCAAACGATCCGCTTGCATTCAAAGACAACGCCTACACCGGAGAATCCTGGGCGGAAAAGCAGCCGTTTGCGATGGAACAGAACGGAAGAGAGTCGGAGCAGAAACACTTCCAGCCGTCTGCGCCTTCTGGACTCCCAGGATTGTCTGGGTTACCAGGATTGCCAGGATTGCCGGGCCTGCAAGGAATTAATTCTTTACCAAATATTCCTGGAATGACTAATAAATAAATTCGACGTATCACATATCATTTACAGTGTATTAATTCGTGGCAAAAACTTGCTTGACGGGCTTGTACCCATCTCTATAAAACTTTTCAACTTCTGACAGATAATGTTGCCCAAAAGTAGATCTGTAGTGTAGCAAAAAATCATAAATATGCTGCAAAAGCACACTTTCGAAGCGCCCCACGTTGTTCTTTCCAATTACTTTCCTCCCGCAGTTGTAGCTGAACGACTCGCCCACATTGGACATGATGAAATAGTTGACGTCCAATCGGTCGATCTCCTCTAACGTAACCTTCTCGTAAATTTTTTCATACTTCTCAACTCGTTTGAGAAAATCGGTGATGGCTTCCTCGCGCGGCATGCCATAGTAGTCTTTATTAGTGGTTTTGCGCTCAATGTTGTATCTCCTCAAAGAAATGTTTGTACAGCAAACTTCCAAAATGGCAATGTTGATCACCACGTTCGCTTCAGAAGCCGTTTGTCTGATAGTCTGTACTACTTTCTCTCTTCTTTCCTTCGTTGTATTGGTGGCATCAAACATCCCAATGTCTATCTCATCACGTATAAGGCTGCTGGTAAGCTCGTTTAGTGCCTCAAACGCATATAGTTCGCGTAGACGTTGTGTAGCGCTTTTAGTGAAATCGAAATCAAATTTGTGCGTTAACTGCTTTTCATACCTTCTTCTCACATTACCAGCGTTGAAACACTTGAAACGTAAATCTGCGCGCTTCACTCTATTAACGTATGTCTCAAGGTGCTCAGCAACTGTTGATTTCCCACTGGCAGGAAGCCCAACTAAACAGATGACCCATTTTTCGCGCTCCGGATCAGCAACGTCCGTCGCCAGCTCTGTGGTGGCAGACTCAGCGTCGTCATCCACAACTTCCCTTTGGTCGAGCGAAAAGAGGTTAGCGTGTAGCAGATTTCCCACTTCACTCTCTACCAAGCTCGGAAAGAACTCTGGAGTGGTGGCGGCCGTTTGTATGGTGGCTATCGATGTTGTTGACTGGGTCCTCGTGGAACTGACACCAGTGCTCGATTCACTCAGCATATTGGAATTTCTCAAACGTATTCTGGTGACTTTGCCTTTTTAATACTGTCAACCCCTCCCAATGCAAACCAGAACCCAACTGTGATTGTTCTCATTTCTTTTTTGGAAAAGAGGAGTAAAATACGCTAAAATTTGAGCGGAGTTATCCAAAAAAAACCCTAAAATCTGGCGCGGCTCGTGACCGACCGTTTTTCTCGCCATTGAAGTCCGAAACACACCTAAAACCTCTCTAATCCATTTCCCTTTTCTTAAGAAAATACATCCCCATTTGAAGCTCTCTCACCACTTTTTTCATTTCGCCATCGGACGATACATCTTCGAGCTCGAGAAGCGTTCGCAAAAAAGATTTCATATTGTTGTAATCCCTGTAAGTGATATCTAGATGCCCGAGACGATTAGCGTTGTCAAAAAGAAACGTTCCACCATATTGTAATCTCGAACACGGAGAGACGTACCAGCACGAATGCATGTGACCTAGCTCGTCCAGCCTTGAGGTGGTTTTTCTAGCACACTCGTCCTTGACTGTGACTGGCAATATCGGGCACTCGGTGATTTTGATCGCGGGAGTGTATTTGTACTCCTTCAATATCATCAATCCGTAGACATCGCTGTCGACCAATGCTACGACCTTTGCCTCCGGATAATGCTGTGTTAAATGGTACAAGAACCGTTTGGTCAGCCTGTCGGGAAAACCTTTAGCAGTGATGAGTATTTTATTTCCATGGTCGTGCTCCTTGCATAATTTAGAAAAGACCGACTCCTTTTCCACAATGATAATCTCTTCTGGACAAGGTGAAACAAAGCGGAAGTCTTCATGATGAGACTCCAGAGAGATGAGCGGCAAGAGCATGGTGCCCTCTTTTTTCTCAAGTTTGACAAATCGGTCTCTATAGTAATATTGCAGATTTGCATAGATTAAACCCTTTTGTGCTGCCACTACTCCCAAGGTCTCCGTAGAGACTCCGAAGGAGCTGGCGATATCATCAATACACTGGTTGATCACAGCCTGCTTTTTGAACAGAGTCACATCGCGATAATAGATTTGTCGCTTGGAGACAAAAAAGCTTGGCATAGAAGATATTTGGTCAAACAATAATCTTAGAACCTTGAGATAGCAAGCGAATTTAAGATTGATATCTGGATCCAAAGACGGGAAATGTATTTCTGTTATGCTGGTAGTCATCATTGGAGTTCTTAGAGATGACTCGCGTTTTCGTTTCAAACATTCCTTTTGTTTCTTGAGAACAAGACATATGGATTCTCCCTTTTTGAATCCATTCTCTACGAGCGAGAGAATGTTCCACAAACGCTCCTTAATATGTGGACTTGCTGTTAGAGGTTTCATGTAGGGAGGCCTTACATTGAGCTCAATTCTGGCGAGATTGTAATTACTCTGGTATCCATAATGTCAAAATTGGGGGCAAGATATTTTAAGGGTTCATATTGTTTTTAGGCTATTGTACATTTATCTGGTGTACGGATGCATAAAGGTGAATTGTCTGTTCTGGCTGAGTATTTAAGCTCTGCTGACAGAGCAAATGAAGTATGTCTCGCACACAATCTGAATCCCAGCTCCCGTCAAACTCCAGGGTAGTTATCGTGGTCATCTTATCCTGTTTAACTTTGTTGTTGATTCTCACTCTGGCCGTGTTCTGGGGAGTGCAGATATATTCAAAGCTGGTGCTACCATTATTTCCACGGTCCTGGAGCCTGGCCTCCGCAACCAGCCGCCACAGAGACCTTCCACCCTCCTACGATGAAACCCGGCTATCTGACAACCCCTATATCTACCCAGGAATAAAGCCGTCATATTCCATTCAGGAGTTGAAGCTGCTGCGATGCTATTTGGATCACAAAGGCCGGCTGTGCCATGTTACTGTGGCGCAGCGAATCGATCCACAGACGATGAAGGAATATGACGAGATCCAGCTCTCGGAGGACTTCCTGCCAGACTACAGTAGTGATTATCCCTTCCTCCAACCTCCAACTCCTTGCCACAACCCAGAATCCAGGTAACTGGGCGCCGGCCGGTCCCAGATATTATGCCCAAAAAAACAAAAAAATGGCAAGCGTCGCGACGGCTCGCAGCAGAAGCAAAACTATATATATAAATTGCAGATAAATAAAGACTTTCATCTTTCCCCCCTTATTTCTCGCATCATGTTACAATCGGAGTCTTTAGACCTGGCGAAAAGGTACTGGACGTACAGCAATGATGGGTCCAGATATGCGTTTTTTGCCTTTTTGGCTGCCATAATTGTCATCTTTCTTATTTTCACTTGTATGCTTAATGTCCGCAGAATTAGACGGGGAAGAACACCCATAATTTCGCAATACTTGGCACCTCCAAGCTACTATCAGTCGCAGCGTCAAAATCCGGATAGCAACAGTGTGCCGTTGCCGACTTATACACCACAGCCGAATCCTAATCAGGACATCGGGTACTACGACATTAACGGAAACTTCATTCCGTACTCCAAAACAAGCGGATCCGGCGGTCCCAATGAGCAAAGCGGAGTGAACGGAGGCAGCCAGACGGCTCCAAATCCCTTCGACCATCAAGGAACAGGCCAAACCAGCTCGCCATATGCTCAGCCTCCCGCCACCGAGCCAATAAGCTCGCCAGAGCAAGTGTACTCTCGCCCAGCCGATGCCGAGACTTACCCTACGTATACTTCGCATTCTTCCAGCGCGAACCCCCCAGCAAACTACACTCCTCCGCCAGGGCCACCTCCGACTCATAAAAAGGACTACTAGAGTAGTTGATGGTGCAAGGATGGAATTCTATGTAAAATATAATTCGTTATGAACAACCAAGATAGAGTCCAAAAGCCTAGTAAGCCGGCCACCAACTCACTGAAACAGGCCGAGAAGAAGAAACGTGAGGTCTTCAAGGCAGTTCTGGCTAGTCCGTATTCCCGCCGTAACCTGTGGCCGACTGTGAGTGTCGAATTACAAAACAATCTGGTCGATCTGCTGTGTTCGATCCTCGAGGAGATAGGCACTTTCAACAGGCTATCGCAGGCGGAGAAAAATTCCTCTGGGTTGGAGAAGCCGTCCATTAGCGAGTATGTCATTTATGGGTTCAACAGCTGCATGAAAGCTCTTGAAGAGCAGTCAAAAAAGATCCAGTCTATGAAACTTGTCTTGAACAGCGACCACACTCTTAGATATCTCTTTGTGTGCAAGCTGGATATGACAACACCGCTACTTTTCCAACACTTCCCTATTTTAAGTGCATATGCGAATGTGAAGCTGATTCAACTACCAAAAAATACACACCAGAAATTACAGAAAGTCCTGGGTCTGAAAAAACCAATAGAGGTATTGGTTTTGGCCAAAGGAGCTGCAAAAATGTACCCATTGCTTGCTGAACTTGCTGAGGGTGTCGAGGATGTGGACATCGAATTTCTTCGAAGCGGGCCCTTTGAGGCTAAAATAAAACACATATTGACGCAGCAAACAGTTAAAAAATAGCAATGTATACTAGAGTGTCGCATGCGCTAGTTTGGATGCCAATTGATGCACTTTGGTGAGTGGACGGCGTCCTAAGTCGGTGATCAGTCGCGAAACTGACTCGGAGGTCCAATTGGGAGCCCGTGTGGAAAACAGCGGTTTTGATGTATGATCTAGACCATCCACAAACTGGTTGGTAAGTTTATTGAAATATAGTAACGATGAAGCCCTGGTCATTCCGACATAGAGAACCCTGCGCTGAGTATCGTTGAGACGGTAGTTGTTTCCCGAAAGTATGAAAACGATGGGGAATTCAAGGCCCTTGGCGGTGTGGATGGTGGAAAAATTGACTTCATTGTCATTAGAAGTCTTGATGCTATTGCTGGTCACCAGAGTATCGTTGTTGTAATTTTCCATGAAATAGGAGAGAACTGTATGCTCTGGTGGTTTCTGTACTTTTGCCCGTTGTAAAGTGTTGTAGATTGTGTCGAAATGGAGCCTGTACTCCAGCAGCTGGTCTTTAGTGAACCCGTCCGCGCTCAGGACTTTATCGAACCCTAGCTCTTTTCCCATCCTCAGAAGCGTTATCAAGATCTGGTCAGGGTCGTTCTGGTCCAATTTACTCCTGCATTTGGCAATATAGTTCACATAATGCGGTAGCATGTCTAATTTTCTCGGTTTTTCGTATTCGGAGTCATGCAGATATTCGAACACAGGCACCTCGTGTTCAGTTGCCAGCGAAACAGCCTTGCGAAGCGTCGCCTCTCCAATATGGGGAACGGTTGAGAGCGAGCAAAGAAGCGGAAAGTTGACCCGCGGATCAACCAGCACGCGCACATACTGCATCAAGAACGACAACGGGCTCTGGAGCCAGCGTGGGTTGCTGTTGAGCTTGCAAAGCCCGAAGCGGCCCCGTTCGCTGAAATATTTTAGCACCGAGTCGACTTCGCGGTTCGTGTAGCTCAAAATCGCAATATCGGAAGGCTTTATGGCGCCCTCAGAGATGTCCACCAGTCGTGTAACTTCGTCGTAGATGAATTCGCGTTCCTCGGCAGGAGACGCGAAAGAGAGACGGAGAGGAGACAGCCCGCATGGCGGCTTCACGCTGTGGTGGATGGGAGTGCTGTGTCCCAAAACTGCGTTTGCAAACTGCAGCACCTCGGGCGTGGACCGAAAAGACTGGTTCAGGTGCACGATTTTGGCTTTGGGGTGCCGTTCCATCAGTCTCTCCCAGTTTTGCTTGAATGATGCTCCCAAAAAGCCGTAGATCGACTGGTCAGAGTCCCCGGCAAGCGTCAGATGCCGGCCCTTGCTGATCTGAAGCACCAGGTTCATAATTGCCGGATACACGTCCTGGAACTCGTCGACAAAGACAACCTTGTAGTTCTCAACAAATTTGGGGGGCAAGTTCAGCAGGCTGGAACACTCCTCCAACACGTCGTCGTGGGTGAAAACCTGCGTCGACCCAAACATCTCCATGATGCGTGCCACCACGGCGACGTTGTTGGACGATCGACGCGCGTCGCGCAAGTGCGATCGCAACTCCGCCACAGAGCTTGCGCTGCGGCCCATGTCAACCAACCTGGCCAGTCTGCGGAGATCGTCGTCATCCAAAATGTTCCAGTCAGTGTATTTGCACCCTACCACCTTGCCTGCGAACGAGTGGAACGTCATGACGGGTATCTGGACAGCCATGGGCCCCAGAACAGCACGGAGTCGCGTTCGAAGATCGTTGACCGAGCGGTTGGTGAGACTGAGTACTAGCAGGTTATCTGGCCTCATCCCGCTCTGCGACTGCGTGCTGAGCAGGTGCGCAATTCTGCTGGCGATCGTTCTGGTCTTGCCAGATCCAGGTCCGGCCTTGATCCCAAGCAAGGTGTCGGGGCTAAAATCGCTCGTAATCGCGGTGTATTGCTGTTCTGTGCACTTTATCTCTAATTCCATATGGACTATAAATGTATATAAACCAGCATGACACCCTGCTGAAAGAATGCGCGACAGATAATTTCTGATCTATCGCAAATTATTTTTCATCATTTATTTACTCTTCTCGAATCCCTGTCTGGCGACCTTTTCCGCCTCGATGCGGGCCCGTTCCGGGTCGAGGAACTCAAAATGCTCTGTCTCTGGCGCCATGACCGAGTTGAACTTGATCACCATGGGGATCCCATTTGGAATGTTCACAGAGCTAATTGCCTCGTCATCGATAGCATACAGATGCTTGACCAGAGCCCGCACGATGGACCCGTGTGTCACCATGAGAACCGTCTCGTCGGCCTCCAGATGCGGCACCACGTACTTGTTGTAGAAGGGAAGAAGCCGCTTGGTCACCATCTGCAACGACTCGGCACGGGGCAGTTCGTTCTTTGCCACCCTTGCGTATCGCCTGTCGTCGATGCAGTAGTACTTGTCGCCCGGATCCACGGCTGGAGGACAGCCCTTAAAGGCGCGTCGCCAGAATTGGTACTGTTCCTTGCCATACAGCTCCAAAATGTGGCTTTTGGGCTCGCCCTGGAGCTTGCCGTAATGCCGCTCGTTGAGTCTCCAGGACTTGACCTCGTCGATATACTGGCAATCCATCTCCTCCAGTATGATATTCGCGCTCTCTATAGCCCTCGACAGTCTCGAAGTGAAACAAATGTCGGGTTGCACGTATCCGGACTCTAAGATCAGCTTGGCCGAGTGACGAGCCTGCTCTCTTCCCGTTTCGCTAAGCTTGATGTCCACCCATCCACAAAATCGATCGTCCTTGTTCCACAGCGATTGGCCATGTCTGATCAAAATCAATGTTCCTGGCATGTTGTTTCTGAATCAGCTAACGCAATTATTTTCTAGCCAAACATTTTTATGGCGGTGCTAGCCTGTCTGATATTTACAATCGTTCAACACTTCATTTGCCACTTAGCTAAGATCTGTATCATGAACTTGAGTCGCAGAATATTTCCTGCCCAAAAACGGTTTGCCTCTTCCCTCACAGCCATCAACGAGCTCCAGCAGGCAAAGATGCTGGCGCGCGTGCAAAAGTTTGACGACAAAACCAAAATATTCGATAAGCTCGACAATCTACATATGCTTGTTCTCCGGAAGGGCTACTACAACGTCAACATCAATAAGTTGGGCTTCCAGTCGAACTCGCCAGAAATCCGCGACAGATATTCCAACTTGTACCATATTTTTGACATCGAGGAAGCCTTGTCGCAGCACTTCACCAAGATGCCCCTGTTATCCGCTCCCCAACCAACAACCACTTTCACTGGCGGCGGCTCGAGCCTGATGGTGGTGCTGAATTCTATGAGACAGCGCAAGGACTCCCCTGTGGAAAATCACATCAAGTTATTGCATCGCCTCGCGAGAAACGATGTGGAACTGAAGCGCGGCATTCAGGACGTTCTCAAGACTTTTGAGAAAGAGGACGACTTTTTCTACCAATATGTTCTTGACTTGTGGGAGAAGAAGAAAGAGTTCAGTCGTATGGTTGCTAAACAAAGAAAAGCAAAAGAAGCGGCACAGGAAAAAAGCTGATTCATATACAACAGCAGCTACCCAAATATCCTCCGATTTTGATCTTCTTACCCCACCAAACCATGCACAGCTCCCTCAAAAATTGACGGTCTGATGCACTATAAGGATCTAGACCCATTTCATAAAGGTCGTGAGGCTCAACCCATAGGCTCTGGTCACGAGAAGCGTGATCAACTAGCGTGTCAGACTCACTTGTTCCCTCGTTCAAATGGTCAGATTCGCTGTTATTTATTATGTCAACCAGGATAGTGAACAGTTTAGTGGTTAGTTTCTGGAAATATCCAATCAAGGACACCAGCCGTTCGACCTTTGTCTGGTCGACATCATCGAGCAAATCATATTCTTCTTCAAACTCATCCCTAGGGCTTTCGCTGCTTCCTGCGGTAGCCCACCACGAAAATCCTTTCCAGACAATTTCACGGACAGAGAGCGGCTCTGTGGTTGCTCTCGCATGGGGAGGAAGCTTGACCTCCAAATCCTCTATGCGAAGATCTTCCCGAACAACGTTGTCAAAGAAGGCAGCATAGACAAGCTTGAAGCGGTTAAAATCTCTAGGCGTCGCGAGGATCGGTTTCGACGACCCGGATGCCATTAGAAGCGGCTCTCCTTGGTCTGTACTGGGCAGCAGCAAAGAATAGTGGTAGAGCTCAGATTTTTCCAAAATGATCTGGTCAGAAGTTGAGGCTATGAACCCATTCTTTTGCGCCTTCAAAAACTCGATATCGTTAACACAGACGTTGTATAGCGGTGTGAGATGTTCCAAGCTTTCCTGCCGGATCACCCTGGATTTGATCAACATGAGTTTCAAATCTTTTGGAATCGACGATATCAGCGAAACGCAGTAGTTGATCTTGGAAAGCTCGCTGATCGAGCGATGAGAGTTTTGCGGTGCATAGATAATGATTTTTTTACGAGTCAATGCCAGCTTCCACAATCGGTATACCAAAGGCCCGAGGATCTCCATCAAGGGAAGAAGATAGTTGACCATGTGCTCGTCATCAATACTGTATTGATCCAGTTCGCTACCATTTGTCGGCAAGGTCCCGTCTGTGAAGGTGTCTGCCAAGGTGCGTGAGGTCATGCCACTTTCAGAGCTAGTCCCTCTATCTGCATTCTGTAGCTCGTCACTGGTAAGAGTTTGGATAGACCTTCTTCTATTTATATTGACGTTTTTTATGATATCTTTGAATTTAGTGCTCAAGTCATTAGGTCCTTTGAATCTGTGGACTGTCCAAAATTGTTCGAGACTGTTGTATTTCTCTTGTTCCTCTCCAGAATCCAGAAATTCTGTGACAAGCCTGTTTAATTCATTTCTGTAGCTCCAGCAAGATGAATATACTTTAGGCATCCATGTTTCGTTCAAGTGTTCCGGGTCAACCAAAACACCAAGCGAATACATTCTCACAGAATTTCGGTCAACGTTTCCGTCAACCGTCCTCTGCGATGATAGGTTTTGCTTGAAAACCAGTATTCCATACAATAGAGACTTGATGTTGGCCAAGTTTGGCTCTCCTTTTTCGTGAACAAAACAGATGATGTCGGTATCAACAGAATGGAGCCCCGACGGCAATGCCTTGAACTCCAAGCCTTTGCTAGGATATAAAGACTCATTTAGTGATCGGAACCACTTTAGTTCATATCCCGTATGCACATCGAACTTTGCCAGAAACATACCACAGAGGGCCGCCTTCGAGGCTCTAGAAGGATTGTCAACCGAAGGAATGGTTATCTCCATGCTGCAAATATCGGCCAAAGAAACAGCTGAATGCTTAACTTTCTGCACATTTAATTTAGCCTACGATGGGGCAGGGAGCTGCTGACGTAATGCGTGTTATGACATGGGAGTTGTTGTATAGTAGCTGAAAACGGTGTCACAGAGCGCGAGTAAAGGGGGAATGCCCAGAAGTGGATCAGGATAGCCCTGTGAAAGAATAAAGAAACATTTCAAGGAGTAGAATTAGGTAGTGATAATAACTGTAGCTGTCAATTATTTTAACATCTCATGCTTCTAGCCCAACCTGATTTTATATTTCAAATAATTATAATAAATTATTAATCTACAAATATTACTTTTGCGACAGAAATGTTGTTGTGTCAAGCCGGTGAGGCCGCACAGCGCACCAGTACTGAAATACAACAGTTACGCTATTTCAATCTGAAATCTCATTCCTAATATACAATTATACCCAATACACCGTACCTAAGCAGAGGTGGCAGAAGTGTACTTAGTGACAGCTCTGGTACCTTCAGAAACAGCGTGCTTGGCCAATTCTCCAGGCAAGATCAGTCTCACAGCAGTCTGGATCTCTCTAGCGGAAATAGTGGACTTTTTGTTGTAAGCAGCAAGCTTGGAAGCCTCAGAAGCGATTCTCTCGAAGATGTCGTTCACGAATGAGTTCATGATGGACATGGCCTTCTGGGAAATACCGGTGTCTGGGTGGGTCTGCTTCAGAACCTTGTAGATGTAGGAGGAGTAGGTCTCCTTTCTGGCCTTGGTTCTCTTCTTAGCATCGGAGGAGGCAGCGGTTTTCTTTCCGGCAGGCTTCTTTTCAGCTGGGGCCTTGGAGGCTGGTTTCTTTTCTGCTTTTGGAGCCATTTTTTAAAAAAAGGTAATATCTAGGAGGGCAATTGGGGTGACTGGGATGTTATTATATAGTTGTAGGTGATTGTTTTTCCATCAAGGGGACCGCGTTGGGACAAAATTTACGCTCCTGCGCGAGTAAAAATGAGGCCTATCAAATTAGACATCCCTCGTTTTACGCACGACGCGGGTGTAAACCATGGAATTAATTTGCCAAAGCGCGCATCCCAACATAAATACAAGATAATACCCCCATCCTGTCTCATCTTTTCAAATTAACTAAAATGTCCGGTGGTAAGGGTGGTAAAGCAGGTTCCGCAGATAAGGCTTCGGTCTCCAGATCTTCCAAGGCTGGTTTGACCTTCCCAGTTGGTAGAATCCACAGATTGCTCAGAAAGGGTAATTACGCTCAGAGAGTTGGTTCCGGTGCTCCAGTCTACTTGACTGCCGTCTTGGAGTACTTGGCTGCCGAAATCTTGGAGTTGGCCGGTAACGCTGCCAGAGACAACAAGAAGACCAGAATTGTTCCAAGACACTTGTTGCTGGCCATCAGAAACGATGAGGAATTGAACAAGCTTTTGGGCTCTGTCACCATTGCCCAGGGTGGTGTCTTGCCAAACATCAACTCCGAGTTGCTTCCAAAGAAGCTGCCAAAGGCCAAGGGTTCCCAGGAGTTGTAAGATTAGGTAGGGTCCAAGTGTATATTAGTGTTCGGTAAGAAATTCACAGATCAAAAGTAGTATACACTCCCATTATCTTTGTCCCACTATGTCGACAATGATGTTGATGATCGACACAATCACCTCTGCACCAATAAGCATAATCACGATAAACTCCAGGTACTCGTCGTTTGAGTGTCCCAGCTGTTCTTTGAGCATCTGCAACAGATCGCTAATCACTTCCAGACGTTGGTTCAAGAGAGCCACCCGCTGGTTGATTTCCATGTATCCACGCGTAGCTTGGTAGATCGGCTCTAGCTGTGGCTCGGACCACATGAGCTCGGGAGAATCCAGCACAGAGCCATGCAGATTGATGTTGATACGAAGGATGAAAAGCTCACCGATAGACTTCATGATCTCCTCTCTGCTCATTTCCACCTTACCGGTCTGTGCAATCTGTTGCGGGATATCCTGAGTATCTTCAATGGTGTTATCCACAAGCTCCTCGAACAGCGAAATTTTGACCGATTGCGAGATTGCGTAGGAAATACTTAGCTTTAGCATGTAATTCGAGTCGTCTCTTAATGTGATGAAATCGTTGTAAATTCTCGGCTGATAACTGTGGGTTATGTAGTAATTAAACTCCTCAGCCTGAACGTCTTCGTCTGAGAGCTTTTCGTTTTCAAATTTGGCCAAATCTACCAGAAACGCTTCTTCCTCGCGTTTGCTAAATCCCCAGAGCACCACCACCCCATACTCAAAAATGAACACGTCGGTGGACCGCTTGCCAACGTCGATCTCTCCTCCTTCGTCATCTAGTCTAATTGTCTCCGTAGTCAGGGAAGACTTGTCGCTGAAATCTGGTCTCTTGCTAGAGCCATTACTGTTGCTTCTCCAGTCTTTGTATGCAAACGGAGTGTATATGCACTCGTCAAAAAGCTTTGGCATCGTTCCATGGATCCGTTTACGGTCTTTGAGCCATCTAATAAGGTCGCGCATCTTGTACGAACCAGCTGTACAGTAGGCGGTAACACGGGGTAATAGGGAACGATGCTTTTTGCCCAACCGCTCTGCATCTTTTCTAGCCGGTCTATCGGTAATTTTCTGTAAAGAGTAGGACTTATCTACGCTGGAATCAATTGACGTGTAATCCAGCTGATCAGGAAGTAGCTTGAGCTTCTGACTCGTTCTACTTGCTCTCTGGGGGACGATGTTGGGACCCAATTCTTTGGCAACGTTTTTAGGTTTGGCACCCTCGGGCCCAGTTGAAGCGGGTCGAGGACTTGTTTCGTGTGATACCGATCCATAAGGATTATCGGACAGCAGCGCTGTTCGTTCGGTAGCGGACATATTAGGAAGGTGGAGGTAATTGAAAAAGAAGGGAAAAAACCGATAACCTAAAATATTTTGTACTTTAAATAAAACTCCGTCCCTCGTCGATGGGTCGATCGACTAAAAAATTTTTTAGAAATATTTCAGGCTAAAAAAAATAATCCTATTTTATCCATGGTGAAGAAGAAGGGCACAGACTCGGGGCGTAGATTCGCCTTCACCTCCTTCAAGGACCGAGTCGATGCTATACAGATAGATCCCACCTTACAGCTAGACAGGAAAGCTTTTCACGAGGCAGAAATATCCCACTTCCTGTCCACGTTAGAGCACTGGAGGGAAGTGAATTTATCCAAATCGTTCACCGAGCTGGTGGAAGTGCTGGAGCCCCTGTGTTTGAGTTTGCCTCAGCTACTTTATCACCAAAAGACTATTTTTGAGAGTCTTAAAAACACCCTTCTGCTTAATGATAGACTGTCGCTACAACCAACACTAGAGCTTCTGACCCAATTTTGCCATGATCTGGGAACAGATTTCATGCCGTATTATTCCGATACACTGGGAGCGCTGGTTGAGATTGTTCCACAACAAACAGAGACCGATCCGCTGGAATGGATATTCAATGCCCTTGCGTATTTATTCAAGTACCTGTCCAAAGAGCTGTCCAAGGACCTTGTTCCCACCTTTAGACTGCTTCAACCGCTTCTGAATATAGAGAAACAAGAATACATTGCTCGATTCGCCTCGCAGGCCATGTCGTTCCTGGTCCGGAAGGCAACGTCCAAAGCTCTCACTTCTTTTGTCAAGACGGTGATGAATGAAGATTTGGATGTCAACGTTTACCACAAGTCTCTAGTGGTTATTTTCTCCGAGTCGATGAAAAATTCGCAAGGATCCCTTCATTCGAAAGGGCCGTCGATTCTCAGCGTGCTGACAGAGATTTGTGAGCCGGACGAAGCGAGGACGGCAATATTTTCGGACGTTATACTGGACCTGCTTTCACACGTTTGCGACGCCTCTGCGATCTATGAGACGATTTTGGAAAATATGACATACCGAACCTCGGGCAGCGTGTGGATTCTCACGACTCTTGCGTTTGCAGAGAGCGGTAAAAAAGTGCCCAATTGGAGTGCTCTTTTCGACGGTGTCTCGAAGCTTGTCCAGGATGCAGGGCTTGTTCAGTTGTATGCCACATTGATAAGAAACGCCGACCAGCTGGAGCTATCCAAACGCTATGTTTTTCTTTTCACCACCATGGCAGCAAAAGACTCGCTTTTCCTGCCCTTTGTCGAGACATCCTTGGAGCTCTCTCCAGATAGAGCGTTAAGTTTTGGCAAGAACTATGTCACGAGCTTCATTTCTCAGAACTGGAGGCAGAGACATAAGGAAATAGCCTATTTTTTGGATAGAATGAACAGGACCGGAGTCGCTCTCGAGGTGGTGATTCCGCACGAATTTAACGAATTCATCAAGTCGGACATTCAAACTGGTTTATATTGGAGACTGCTGATGCTGCAATACAGCAAGGCTACAATTGACGGCGAGACGCTGCTTCAGAAGCTTCCCCAAGCATCAGCAGATGAGCAGGGACTGATTTTCAAGGTTCTCGCAAAATCGGACATTCCAGACATCTCTTCTGCAGTTATCGAGTGCATTCCAGCATCAGCTACCAATATTGTATTTTTGGAAGGACTGCAAGAGGTTATCAAGAAAAATCCAACTTCTTTCAGAAAACAGCAGCACACGCTCATACAACTACTGAAGGACAATCTGGTGCTGCCATCACATTCTGTTCGCGAAGCAACGCTCTCCATTATTATGCTTCTTTTCGAAACCGCGCCCGAAATAATTAGCACCTGTCGATTGATCGAACAAATTCCGCTTGATTTGCAGACAGGTAGGGAAATCCAGCTTCGTTACAGATCGTTTGTGCAAACGTTCATGGAATCGCCAAAAGACCAGCTGCTGGAGACGGTGGTTGTCAAGTTCCTTTTTGGACAGCTCTCCAATAAATTCTCGCCGTCCTGGAGCGGAGTGCTGGAGTTCATGGAACAGGTCATCGATCGCATCGAGCCACTTGTGTGGGCCGAGATCGAGACGTTCCTGAAAAAAGAATATCCACCGAAAGTAGCCGACACAGAGCAAATGCATGGTGTTTCGCAATGGACTGGTCTCAACCCCAAACTGGTTGGATACGTGGAGAAGTGCGAGTCGATTGCAGTCCGCTATTCTGCCATTGACAAGAGTCTTGTTCCACCAGCACACGAAAGCACAGAGTTCACGCCATTTTATCGCGAACAGTGTATCAAGGTACTGCACAGACTGCCAAAGCTGGCTGAGCAGCATTTTGATGTTCTCTTGCCATACGTCCTTGAGGACGAAGAGGACAACGTAAAATGGCCGGTGAAGGACAGAAACTCTATGGTGGAGGTGATGGCCAAATTCCAGAACCTGCGCAGGGTGCCTGGTGCCGACCAGGTGCACAAATTTTTGCTGCGGCTGCTGGCCAACAGATCTGTGCAGACGCAGAAACTTGCCTTCAATGCCTTGGCTAATTGGAAAAACCCGGTCTACAATAGGTACAGAGACAACCTGAACAGTTTACTGGACGACATGCTTTTCAGAGACGAGGTGATTAATTTGCTCCAGAACGAAGAAAAAACAGTTATTCGGGAGCAGGACAAAGATACCATTATGCCGCTGATATTACGGATTTTGTTTGGTCGTGCACAAACCTTGAAGACAAGCGGCACGAAGCAAGGCCGCCGAACAGCTGCCATCAAGGCTCTGTCGAATCTGAGCGACCAGCACATGAAAGATTTCCTGTCTCTGTCTTTTGAGAAGCTGAATGAGATGCGGTCGCAGGAGCTGAGTTTCCGGTTGATCAGAACGGCCAGCGGTTTTTTGAACATGGTGTCTGATCTGCTGTCATCTATCGGACGCACCCGCAGCGAGTGTCTGTCGATTCTGCTTGACCCTCTCGTTTTCTCGCTCAGTGTGTCTGAAAAGGCCATTGGTTCTGCCGACGAAATTACCGACAAGGCCGCCAGAAATAACAGACAGCTCGGTTTCAAAGTGCTCTATGACGTGACAGACTATCTGGGCGACTTGTTTGACTGGAAACCGTACGGCCACGACATTTACTACAATCTGGTACACCAGAAAATGGCCAACTTTGCAGACGAGAATTTGCAGCAGCCGTCGTCGCTGATGCGGCTGATGACGGCGCTGTGGCCGCAACCAAACCTGCAATTTTTCCTCTGCTACGAGGAGATGGCGCCGGTGAAGGCGCTGATGGGCGTGCTGAAGCACGAAAAAGCCAAGGAGGCCGTGCAGCAGGCCGTGCTGCAGTTTGTGCTGAAACTGCTCAACAGCAACGACAGCAGCGAGCAGCATGTCGAGGTGCTGATTTTGATCATCTCTGAGTACCTCAACTCGCTTGTGGCGCTGTTTGCGAACTCCGAGAGCAAAGAGGTCAACGGCCTGTGTGTCAAGATTCTGCACAACTTGGTGCAGCGCGATCTGATCACGGCCAGTGAGAGCAGCAAGTTTTTGGTCGACTCGCTAGTTATGGTACTGGACAAACCGGCCGCGCAGGTTGATATGGCTACTAGAACCGAGATCGTCAGCGTTCTGGGCCTGGTGGCTAGGAATCTGTCGTGTTCGGTGACGGAAATCATGCCGTTGTACAAAAGCATGGCTCCGCTGCTGAAAATTCACGAGGAGCGCGAAATGCGCATAGCCATTTGCCAGGTGTACTTGACGCTTGGGGCCAAGTACAGCGAGCTCGAACGCGTGTCACGCGTCGTGGCCGCGCTCAACTCGTTCTCCGATAAACGGATCCGCGAGCCAGACTACGAGCGGCGGCTCGAATGCTACAGAAAAATCGACAAAGAGTTGTACGACTCGTTTTCCAGCTCCGAGTGGCTGCCGGTGATCAACACGGCGCTGTTCCACATCAACGACGAGACGGACTCTGCGATGCGCACGTCTGCGTCGAATACGTTGTGCCGGTTCATCGACGTTTCCGAGTCGTTTGCAGAGATTTTCCACGAAGTCGTGCTGCCAGTGGTGCGTCCCGGTTTGCGTCGCAAAAACGGGCTGGTGCGCCAGGAATATATCAACGTGGTGGCGCACGTCGTCGAAAAAACAGCCGAGTTCCCAGACATGAAAGTGTTGCTGCACGGCGGCGACGATGAGGCGAACTTTTTCAAGAATATAATGCATCCACAGGTGCACCGCAGACAGAGGGCGGTCCGACGGCTGGGCGAGATGGCACAGGAACTGGCGGACTCCTCCATCGCACACTATCTACTGCCGATGATCGAGCGGTTTGCGTTCTGGGACGACGAAAAGTACAGGAACCTTGCCAACGACACGGTAGCAACCGTTGCCAAGCTCACCGCTTACGTCAGCTGGAACCAGTACAGGGCCATCTTGAGCAGGTATGTGGCGACGATGACGGGCGCGTTACAGAAGGAGAAGCACGAGGAGCTGCGTGACAGTGTCCAGGTGGTGACCGCTGTGGCCAGCTCGATGCGGGAGCTGCAGCGGCGCAGCGCCAAGGATTTTCCCGCTCCGGAGAAGCTGGACGACATTGTGGTGGAGATGCTGATCCCGCCGGTGAAGAAGGTGTTGACGAAGAGGGACGAGGAGACTGTGGTGCAGCGTGTTGCTCTTTCGGAGGCGCTGGTGTCGCTGGTGATGTGCTGTTCGGCGGCCAGGATCGAGGCAGAGCTGCCGGGCATTTTGACGAGTATCTGTCAGATTCTGCGTGCACGGTCTGAGGAGCTAAGAGACGCGGTGAGAAAGCATCTGGGCCGCATAGCGGTTGGTCTTGGGTCGCCGTACCTGAAGTTTATCATGCAGGAGTTGAAGACAGCCTTGACTAGGGGCCCGCAGATCCACATTCTCAGTTTCACGATCCACTATCTTTTGGTGGTGATGGACGGTGTTTTGTCTCAGGGCGATCTGGATGAGTGTGCTGGGTACGTGATCGACACGGTGATGAATGACATTTTCGGTGCGGCGAGCGAGGAGAAGGAAGCCGAGGGCTACAACAAGAAGATGAAGGAGATCAAGCACAACAAGAGCTACGACACGGGCGAGCTGCTGGCTAGCAAGATGCTTTTGCAGAACTTCTCGCAGATCCTGGGCCCGATCAAGATGCTTTTGCGCGAGAAGTTGGCGTTCCGGACGCAGAAACGGCTGGACGAGCTGCTGCGGCGAGTTTCGATCGGGTTGCAAAAAAATAAAGAAGCAAGCTCCACGAATGCGATTTTGCTGTGCCACGAGATCTACGAGCAGTCTCTGGAAAAAGACGAGACGCGGGCTAAGCGTATCAGCGAGACAGAGGACCATTTTCTGGTCAAGCTGGATGCAAAGCCGCTGCGGACTCAGATGGAGTACTCGTTGTACTCCAAGGTGTTGCAGAAGTTTGCGTTCGACCTGCTACATGCGGTGATTTCGAAACACCCGCAGCTGTTCACGGCGGGCAACTTGGCGGGTTTCGTGCCGCTACTGGAGACGAGTCTGTCGTCGGGCGACGAGGGTGTTGTTTTAGCAGCACTCAAGATGCTGACACAGCTGTCGCGGCTGGACTTTACCGAGGACGTGAACGCGCAATTCACGGCTTGCGCGCGGGCAACGCTGAAAATCGTGAAAGACCTGCCTAGCACCAACAGCGACCTGTGCCAGAGCGCGCTCAAGTTTCTGAGCGCGGTGATCAGAAATAAGGACGGGCTACAGCTCAAAGACACGGCGCTCAGCTACCTTCTGAAAAAGATTGAGCCGGACCTGGACGAGCCAATGCGGCAGGGCGTGGCGTTTGGCTTCGTCAAAGCGCTCATCGCGAAACACGTGATGCTGCCCGACATCTACGACGTGCTCGAGTCCGTGTCGCGGATCATGATCACAAGCACTTCTGGCGAGATCCGCCAGACCGCCAGAAGTGTCTACTACACATTCCTCATGGAGTACGACCAGAGCCGCGGCCGGCTCGAAAAGCAGTTCAAGATGCTGCTGGGCAATCTGGAGTATCCCGCACAGAGCGGCCGCCAGAGCGTCATGGAGCTGCTGCATCTGATCGTGCGCAAGGCTGGCAAGGACCTGCTTGCGGTAGTGTCTGCGTCGTTCTTCATTGCGCTTGCCAATGTGTCGGTCACCGACGAGGCGCCGTCATGTCGCGAAATGGCGTCGGAGGTGCTGCTGGCGATGCTAGGTCGCATGGACGACCTGTCGTTCGTGGAGAAATGCATCGCTGCGTGGATCGACAATAGGAAGAACGAACTTCTTGTGCGGTGCGGCCTGCACGTGTACAAACTGTACCTGGACGCCGTGGGGCTGGAGAACGCTGTGTTGAACGAGACTGCGCTGGCGAGAATAAATCACGTGCTCGCAGCGAGCGCAAAGAGCAACGAGGCGGGCATGTCGTGGGAGCTCGTGTACTCGTCGCTGGTGGTGTTCGAGGCGCTGTCACAGAAGACTGACGTTTACGACGACAAATACGGCCCGACATGGGCCGCTGTGGTGGACTGTCTGCTGTATCCGCACTCGTGGATCCGGCTGGCTTCGGCGCGGCTTGTTGGACAGTACGTCCAGAAATGCGCCACGGTGAGCGACCAGACGCTGCAGACGATCGCATACCGGTCGTTCAGACAGCTCAGCGCGCCTGGAGTGGCGCAGAGCCTGGCCACGGAGGTGGCAAAGAACCTGGTGTATGTGTCCAAGATCTGGGCGCAGAAAGACACGCGGTACGTGCCAGCGGACGGAGAGCAGACGGAGCAAAGTGCGCTGGAATGGGCGCTCGCCAGAGCGTGCGCGGTGCTAAGAAACGAGTCTGCGCCACCAAAGGACCTGCTGGTCACGAAGAAGGCCATGGTCCAGTACTGCGTGTTCCTGGTGAGCTTTCTGGATGCCGAGACGGTGGGTCACGTGATCCAGCAGCCGCTGGACCCGCTGGTGGTGATTTCGGAGCAGGAGCCGGCCGTCGAAGACACGGACGAAAACACATTGCCGGCGATGGCGCTCAAGTGTTTGGAGCTGGTAGGACAGAAAATCGGCGTGAGCGAGTACAACTTGCTGTATTCGGCAACGAAAAAGGCCATCAGCGAGCGGCGCCAGGAAAGAAAGACCAAACGCGCACAGCTGTCTCTCAACAACCCTGCCGCGGCAGCCAAGCGGAAACTCAAGAAGCACGCGCGCACCAGAGAAAAGAGAAAGCATCTAAAGGACGAAAATGGACTTTACCGTCCAAAAAGAAAAAAGCTCTAAATAGAATAATAGTAACTGCATCTTCATATGGTCTACATCCGCTCCTCTTTGAAACTGACCTCGTCGTCCTCGTTCATCGCCATGAAGTCCAGCTCATCGTCGACCTCGTCGACCTCGTCGTCGTCGTCGTCTTCGTTCACATCCATCTCGGTCACCTCGTCGTAGTGGTCGGTCTCATCGAGTTCTTTCTTGATGTCTCCCGCCTTGCCGTTCTTCTGCTTCGAATTGTACTCCTTAATTTCCCGCTGGTACCGCAGCCGGTCCTGCTCGTACAGCTCGTAGTACGGTTTTCTGGAAACGTCGTCCAGGTTGCGCCACGCCTCGGTCATCGCCTTGGACAGGTCCGACGGCACGCCAGGGTCTTTGGACTCGATCTGCTTCTTCACCCGCTCCTTCTCCATCTCGCAGAAAATCAGGTACGCGTTCGTGGGACGTTTCGGGATCGTTGGGTCCTTGAGCCGCTGCTTTTTGAGCGTGTTGGCGCCTCGTTTTTTCTTCGCCACCAGGCTACCCACAGAGGCACTGAACCCGTTCTTGGCAAGCGAGAACGGAGTCTTGGTCAGCAGATGCGTGATGTCCGACAGCCGCAGACTATCGATCTCGTCGCCGTCCAGGTCGTCCGCCGTGAGCTTTCCGACGTTCGGAATGCTCACCTCGTCTGCCTTGCGGCCCAGGGCCTCCAGCAGCAGGGCGTACTCGTATCGGAGCCGCTCGACGGCCTGCTTGGACCGCGAGACCGCCACCGCCGTCGCCTCGTTCTCAAACTCCAGCTCTTCAATCTTGACCTTCAGGTCGACGCACTTCTGTCGCAGAACGTCTAATTGTTAGCAACAAACACGCATACACTTACCTTCGCTCATACTGTAGGATTTATTTTGTGATTATCATTTTTCGCTATTTATTTTCACACCCTTGCACCGTTCAGCTCACCACAGCAGCTCCTCCTCAAAGTAGTCCACGTTCTCGTCGCCGCGCAGACTCTGGACCGTCGAATGGCGCACTTCCGCATTCATGGACGTCGGCCCGCACGCAATAACCGCGGTGGGGCCCCGTAGGCCTGCAATGTAGCTGCTCAGCTCGCGGCACAGGTCTGGCTTCTGGTCCAAGTTTAAGCTCACGTAGCACACCTCGTCGCGCACCAGTCGCTGCAAAAAATCCACTTTTTCCGCCAGTGCCAGCTTGCAGTCGCCAAACATCTCGTTCACAAGCCGCTCGTCCTCCGGCTTGGCCTCCTGGTCGGCCACCCACTTCAGCTCCGGCTCCACCAGGTCTCTCGTGATGAACACCTGCAGCTCCACAAGGCCCTCAAACCGCTGGATGCTCTCGATTTCGCGCTTGAAGCTGATGAGCGACTCGAAGTTGGGCGCCACCCACACAATGCTGATGGACTTGTCTGTCCGGACTTTCTGGCCGCGCAAAATTTGGGCCCTGTACGTCTGCGCCAAATACAGCGCGAGGGTGTAGACGACAGTCATGCCGACACCGCCAGCGACGAAAACGGAGTGCTCGTACGCCTTGAACGGGATCGTCGAGCCGTACGGGCCTTCGACCAGCAGCGGCACGTACGCCTCGTGGTTGGGCTTGGTGGCTATGTATTCTGCCAGGCTTTTGGTGAGCCCCTGTTTCACGCGGATAATCAGCACTAGCTGGTTGAAGTTTTCCTCTGCCGCAGACGACACGATTGTGAACGGGTGTGCCTGCCAGAACATGTCGGCCCGCAGGAAGTAGATCCAGCAGTATGCGCCGGGAAACGGTCTCCACCAGCCGGAATGGTTGATTTCGACGCGGATCGCGTGCGGCACCTCCTTGTACCCGTCTGCGTCCAGAACGGTCTCAAACAGCACTTTGCAGCGGCCCTTGAGCACGCCGCCGCTGATGAGCAACTTGCTGAGCCGCAGCGCGTACTCTGCGGCCCAGATGCCGAACGAAGCCGCCACGTACTCGATCCAGCCCAGCGTGAGACAGTGGTACCACACGCCGACCACAAATACCACAACAAGCAGCTTGTGCGTCATCTTGAACCACTCGTAGAACGGCGCGCGCAAGAACGCGGCCAGCGTGGCCAGCGTGATGGCCGAAAAAGCAGCGTTGGCACACCGCCATTTCGTGAGCCCCCAGCGCGCAATGTAGTCGCCGCGGGTATCCACGTAGAGCAGGTAGAACGCAGTATGTAGCACGATCAGCACAAACACCACCCGCGAGATCCAGCGGTGGTACATCTGGAACTCTCTGTAGGACGCGCCGGTCAGAATGAGCAGCGGGTTGTTGCGCGCAGCAAACAGGAAACAGAGCGGGAGCTGGGTGATGGCAATAATGCCGGTCCGGTCGGCGATGTTGACCCAGCGCTGTCCCTTGGGGCACTTAAACACGCTGTTGGGCAACACCGTGCGGTAGTTGACGGAGCAGAGCACGGCCACCAGCAGGATGTACGCGGAGATGGTGAGGACGTGGATTCTGACCGGCAGACGCTGCAGCACGGCGTGGGCAGCGCGCTCACACCACGCCAGCCACGTAGGGCGCACCGTCTTGGAAGGGCTCGGCGACACCACGAGGGACGAGATAAAGTGGCGGCGCGTCCATTTCGCAAACCTGTGGTTGCACAGGCTCGAAAAAATGTACGGGAAGCACCATCGGCAGAGATTGAAGAAAAGCGCCCACACAAAGACGCATCCCCAGTATGCGAGCAGCGCATGGCCGTAGGTGGTGGCAAGCTGGCGGTGGTGCAGCAGCGCGGCGACGCTCTGGTACGTGGAGTTGTACATCTCGTCGGTGAACATGATGGGGTGGTGCAACACGGTTAAATTCGCCGCGGAAGAATGGTCAAGGTAATGCGCGGTGGCGTTCTGGTTCTGCTTGACGAGATCGGTGAAGTTGTACTTGACCAGGGCCTGGTTTTCGCAAACGTCAAGCATATAGTCGTAGGCCCTGGTGAGCTTGGACGAGTCGCTGCTGTGCTTTTCGATGCACAACAGCACGGAGCCCAAGAAGGCTGGACACCGGCACCGGCACTTGTACGCGAGGTCGTCGTCCTTGCAGTCAAAACGGAAGTTGGTGGAATTGTTGGCGATGTACAGACAGGTGGCTCCCTCGGGGCTGGAGATGCCGCGCGCCAAAATGCTGGTGGCCAGCAGCAGCGGCAGCAGCAAAAACATGAGTTTCAGGTTCTTGCTTAATGAGATGATTGAAGTTTGGAAGCCTATTGAGGAGACATGACCATCAGAATTATTAGCGGCGGCACAATATACATCCAATATTTCTGGATGAAGGATTTTTCTGCCACCGGTGCGGCTACGTGGGGGTGCGGAATGTCTTCACGTGGGGACGGTATTGTGTGCGCGGCCACGAGCCGGACGGCAGGCGTCTCGGAGGCCGTCTCGAGCAGCGAGAGCGCGGCGACAGAGCCGTTGGCAAGCTCAATGGCGAGCGTGTCGGCGAGCGGGAAGCTGAGTTTCTTGGTGTTGAAACACGGCGCCAGTGCCCGGCCGTCGCAAGCCAACGACACGCAGTACTCATCGTCGACAAGAGTCTCTTTTAGGGCCAGCTTCCATCTGCCGGCATAGAACAGCTCTGCAATCTCGGTGGGGGACGTGTGCTCATTTTCAGCCACCAGCTGGTACGTCGTTGCCTCGTCGAGCGTCAGCGCCGCCGCCGTAGCGAGCAGGATGGGAAGTTTAAGAAACATAAGATAAAATGTAGTGTATTTTTTGTCAACTACCCCCCACACCTATATACAGACTAGTGGTTTGGGGCTGGCTCGAGCAGGCGCGCGGGAACGTCGAGGCCGGCCTGTTTGTACCTCTCGAGCATCTGCGGCAGCCTGGAGCCAAGGTCCTGTAATTGAGCCTCGGCAAGCTGGTCGATCACGTACTGCGCAAGGACGTGGTCATCCTGAACAGCGGCCGCACGCAGCATGTAGTAGAAAGTGTAAAAGTTGGGCTTCTGGGACGCGTTCTGCTGCACAAACTCGAAAAAGCGGCGCAGCCCGCCCACATCGGGATTGATGCTGAAGGCCCGGAAGATGGAGTTGTAGAATTGGGTGGTCATCGGCACGCCTGCCTCCAAAGCTGCGTAGAAATATTCCATGGCTTTGGAAACGTTGCCCTGGCTGCTCTCTGCAGTAACCATGGTGCTGTAAATGACGTCGGAAATCCTGCGCTTGTCTTTCTTGAGCTGCTCGACCAGCTGCTCTGCAATCGCAATCGTCTCCGGCTTGGCAGCAAGTATCTTGACCAAGGCGCCCGTGGTGCGCACGCTCGGCTTGATTTTACTGGACATCATCGTTTGCATCAGCTTCTGGATCTCCAGCTCCACCGGCACGCCCGTGCGGCTCGCCTTCATGCCCAGAACGTCGATGATGGTGGTGTACGTTGCCACGTCCGGTGCAAGGGTGTCGGAGCTCAGGATCTCCTCCATGGTGGCTAGCGCCTTGTCCACGTCGTCTTTGGCAAACTGATGCCGCAAGAGCGAGTTGTAGAACCGGATGTCCGGCACAAACGCCACGTTCTGCGCCTTGGCCTCTGCTTGGAACACGTTGTGGAACTTTTCCGCCTCCGCAACGTAGTCATTCTGCACAAGGCCGCGCAGCAGCGTGTTTCTGATATCCCACACCTCCTGCGCCGACGCAGCGTCCTTCTGCTCCCGGTAGAAGTCCAGCGCCTTCTTCAGCTCCCGGCAGCTCAGATACCCGTAGACCATAAGTCCCACGGTCTGTGCGTCCGGCTGGACGCTCTCCTTGAGCAGCCGGTACACGCTCTCGATTCTGAGCAGTTTCTGCGGCGCATCCGACTTGGTGTGCACGTTGAGCAGCTGGTTCCACGTCTGGACGGTCGGCTTGGCGCCTGTCTTGGTCAGTTCTGCCCACAGCTGCTGTGCCTGCTGGTACTTGCCGGTTATGGCGCAGAGCTCCATCAGCTTGGCGTAGGTCGTCTCTGAGAACGGCTCCTGGCTCTTTTCCCTTGCTGTGTACAGCTTGCGGACGATTGCGTCCACACGCTCGTATCTGCCCTCTGTAGCGGCCACAAAGGCTGCATTCAGGAGGGCGGGACTGTTAGGGTCCGGCTTGAAAAAATGGCTGTTGATCGCACTCTTCAACTTCTCCATAGTAGCATCGTCCAGTTCCAACGGCTGCAGCACAAAATCCACCAGCCGCGGGCTCAGTTTGACGCCGCCAGCCAGCAACTCGAGCGTGGTGGCGTCCGGGACCGCATTTTCGTTCAAAGTCTTGAGCACATATGCAACAACGCCTGTGGTATGGAAAACGGCCTTGGACGTGAACCTGGCCTCTCTGGTCTCTTTGAAGCCATCAGGCTCGTTTTTGAGCTTTTCAAACAGACGCTGCCACAGCTCCAGCGCCTTGTCATACTTAGACTCGACCAGAAGCCGACGCACAGCACGGTCAGCATGCGAAGCGTGCAGAAGCTTGTTCTGGCCCCAAATGTCCACAAATCGATTGAACAGCACAGAATCTTTCACCACAGTGTTGTCCTTGTTCAGGGTCTGCAGCTTGTTCATCAAAATATGGCCCAGCGGCAGAGTTTTGTCGACACGGGTGTCAGACAGCTTCGAGACGAAGCGCTCGACCCGCTCGAAAAACTGCGACAGCGTGACGCTGTCGTCGTGAACGAGGCTCATCAGCGGATTGCCCGAACGAGGGCGGGCCGTCTCGGAGACGTGCGTACTCTGGCAGCGACGCAACAGCTGCGAGAGCTGCACTCTCGTCACCTTGCGAAACATGTTTGATAAAAATTTTCCACCTTTACACCATGAACTTGAATAATTACAAGAATAGGTTAAATTACATGATACACCACTCCTTGATATTAGTGCAGACACTATTCCAGCCGGGCATTGAGCAGCTGGGCGTACCGGACAATGAATTGGTCGTACCGCATTGGAACAGTCTCGTCTTCGATGCTAAGCGCATTGTCGTAGATGTGTTTCAGAAGCTCTAGGTGACGGGCCGTGTATTCCTTGGTGTGAGCGAATTCTTCAAGAACGTCCTCATCGCGACACAACAAACCATCGTTGTCGTTTCCAGGACATTGGGTATCGTCCACCCACAAACGCAGATTTTTTTTGTAGGTGCGGAACGGCTGATTTTCCGGTTCTGTTATCCGTTGCAATGCTCTCGGATACTTTCTGTCGAGAATCTGCTTGAACTTATGCGGAACGTGCGTCCTGACGCCTTCAAAGTACGTGGGCACCATTGGAGTGAGCTCGTCGAGCCGGAAAACGTTGTCGTTCCGGCAGTGGTAGATCTCGTGGTTTCGCTGCATGTCTCTGGCCTTGTTGTCGATCTGCTCGCGATACGAGTCCTTGTCCTTGACCTTGTCGATCTTGCTTGGGTACTCCGGGTCCACAAGCGTGCGGACGACATCGTCGATGTTGTGTTGCGAGAAATAGTCCGGTGTCCACGCGATGGCGGTGATGTCGACGTAAACCCCAGACATGGTATCTATCATTCTGCCGTCGATGGCATTGGCGCCGACGCTGCGCACACGCGAATAGAACGACGGGCCGATGTCTAGCAGGTATGAGCCGATACCAGCGGCGTACTTGTCTTCGGACGACACGTCGACTATCAACGTCTGGTTGTGGTTTCGCGCAATCTTGTACAGCGAGTCCACCGACACGACGACATCGATATCTTCGTCCCACGGCAGCGTGAGTCCGTTTCTGATCCAGCCCAGCATCGAGCCGTACGCCACAAACGTGCGGAAGCCCGACTGGTAGCAGAACCGCAGCCACGCGCGGCCGATCCGGTGGATGATGGCCTTGCGGTATTCCTGCGGGTGGTCGATGCCGTTGAAGAACCGCCAGTCGAAGTGCGCGCCCAGATGCGTGTTATTCACGTACGCCTCGCGCAAGTAGGGCTTGTGGCGGCCGTTGGCCTCAAACAGGTCCATTTCCCGCTCGATGTTCTTCAGAAGCAGATGGTCGAACAGCGAGTCAACAACGGTGTCGGGTTTCGTCTCGAGCTGTTTCTCAATCCGCTGCTTCATGGCGTTCATGATCTCCTCGTGCTCGTAAACGAAATCTTGCTTGGTCATCTCGAGGCTGGTCATGACTTTGACCTGGTCGTCCAGCTTGAGGAAATACGACTTGTCGAAAACAAGCTCGTCCTCGCCGTAGATGGTCTGCACGGAGGTGTCGTAGTTGAACAGAGTGGACAATTCGCTCACCATCTGATCGATGCGCACCCCGTCTTTGTGTACCCTGTCAACGGACACGCCGCGCAAACGAGCCTCGTTGCTGACGAGCTCGGCGCCAATCGAGTAGATGTCTCTGGACCGGTTGCTAGAGATCGGCATATGCGTGACGGCATCGCGTTCTGTCAGCAGCACGACAGACGACTTGTTGAGCCCGGCTCCGATGAAATGCACGCGAGCCGGCGGCGGCGCCGTCGTGAGCATGTAGGATGCTCCAAACAGGATCCGGCCGGCCTCGGCGAGCTCAGAGCCCGTGCGGTCAGTGATTTTGAACGAAAATGGGTACCACGGGTACTGCGTGCGTTCCTCGTGGCTGAGCTCTGAGCATACCTGGAGAACCTCGTCTTTGTCGGCGTAGAGCAGGCGGAAGTCGGCGCAGGTGAGGTCGGAAAAGGTGCGGTTCTGCATCTCGGGATGGTAGCTCTTCCACAGATGCAGGTGGCGCTTGTCAAGCGTAAGCTTGGACTCGAGGTCGACCCACTCGGCCCACGAAAACGGCAGCTGGAAGTCCGGGTCCAGCACGCCGTTGTTGTCCATCAGATGCTTTTTGAGGTTGCTGAGCCACGCGGCGACAGCCACACGTTGGTCAAAAAGCGCCTTGCTGGGAGCGTGCGGCTCCGTGTGTTTCTCATCAGGCAGTATCACGTAGGCCAGATCATTGGTGTGCGATTTCTGAAGCTTGCGAAAAGACGCTTCTGAGTCGACCTCATATTTATTTTTAGACATCACAAAAATGCTCTCGTCCATATAGAAGATGGTGGGAACTATGAAGACGAGCATGAGGCCGATGTAGATGGTGAACACGGACATTTTGCGGTTGTTGTGGTACGGCAGCAACTGAATGAACTTGTTTAAGACGAAGGTGAAGGGCGCCACAAGCGCAAGCCAGGCTTTCAGTATGAAGCTTGCGTGCGACTCTTTTCTTGCCGCCCTGGGGGGTTCCTGGATGAAAAGTTCCTCGTCTCCTTGTGCCATGGCTTCCACCAAAATAAAATGGAAAAATCACAATATTTATGCCGAATTGTAAGCAGTCGTGTGCTTAGATTTCGAGAAATTAGCTGCTACGGCCACCAGGTTCCGTTTTGGGATGAGAATTTTTTCCATGCCGGTGCCCAGACAATAATAGCACAATAGAACTCTCTAAGTGCTTACCGAATGCAGCGCTCACAACCCATGTACATGAGGTGATCATAGTTGGTTGGGGTTGCGATCTCAACTTATGAACGAGTCAGGATCCTGCATGTAGAATACGAAGCGAGAATGTACATCGGCTCCGAATTCCGTAATAACAAGGGCTCGCCTTCTTTAGTACTGCTGCAATGCGCTTTTGCTCAAGGGTCTGGAAAGGACACAAACCTTGCTGTGAGCGCCCGTATTGTCAGACAAGCGCAATCGTGACGACTTGTCACAAACAAAAAACATTTTAGCACACAGGCGGTAACAAAAAAACATTTAATATGCAGGTCTAGCCACAGGGCCCTACACCCGTACACGCGGCTATGCATTAAGTACACACACACCCGTACACCTCAATACCGCTCCTTGAGTCTCGAAGCCACCGTCCGCAGGTTTCCGTACACCTTGCCCGGCGGGCTGCCCAGAATCAGGCTCATCACCGCCTCCCGCGCCATTCTGATGTGCGTGAACCCGCCCAGAATGTGGATCTTCGAGTCGGCAAGCACAATCCGCGTCCGAGTCGCGTTCTCTATCGCAAACTTGGTCTTGCCGTCCTTTCCGGCAATACGGCCAATCGCACGCGACAGATGGTCGCCCTGGAGCGTTTTGACGTCCTTAATTTCGAACGACTCGATGTACAAGTCGTCCAGTCGCAGAAGAGCAATAGCGTCGTCTATGTCGAATCCCAGGGTAAATGTCTTGATGAAATCGGCTCCCTTTTGAAGAGCGCCCGGATCTGTAGTCTTGGAACACGTGCGCAGTTCCACGTTCTTGGTTTTCAGGTTCATCCTCACCTGCAGCTTGAGGTGATCCACTAGCGGGGGGTATATTTTGGGCCACGCGTTCTTGAGCGGCGACATTCTGTGTGGAGGCACCGCCACCTTCCGCGACTCCAGCTTGACCTTCATGTTGGATGCGGCCTGTGACTGGAACTTGGGTTTTCCGGACTCGTCCAGGACAAGGCCTGCTTCGGGCGTTCTGGAGGGCTTGTCCTCGGTTTCAGGCGCGTCCGCATCTATCAATACCGTATCTATGTCTTCCTCTATATTTTCCACCTGTGCAGGAGCCTCGGCTGGCTCGGAAACCTCTTTTTTCACAGCGGTAGGAGCAACCATATTGATAAATAAGAGAAATTATTTTTTTGTAAATTTTTTTGTAAATTTTTTTTTGGCATCCCTGCACCACAAACACTAAAGGTGGGGAAAACATAGCATTTTGTTAAACATGTTCAGATCCCCCTTTCTTCTGATCCGACACCAGTCCACGCAGCGCCAGCTTGCCCACAAACTGAGTATTCTGGAAAAACTTGTCCACAAAGATATCACGAGTTTTGCAGGCTCCAATGGCTCCAAAGTGCCACCTGCCACGGCTTTTGAGATCCTCAAGCTGTGCAAGCTATTTCAGGATTCGGTCCATGAAACCAAGAAAACAAATGTGCTGGAGGACGAGCTGATTATCAAATCCAATGCACTGATGCAGAAAGTGTTTTTGGCCGAGAAAGTCGACTACAGCCAGGCATTGTTAACGGACTTCCTAAAACTAAAGCCTCATGTCGCCAGCATCAAGTTCGCTTTGACGTGCTATTATATGAAGAACACCAACAAAGTACTCAAGGTGGAGACAGCAATGATTCCCCTCCGCAACTTGCTTTACGACGCCAAATTCCAGGAGGCATTGGACGTGATAGAGCTCACTACAGGGTTCCCCAGATACTACGAGTTCAAGAGCGTCAAGTGGCGGCGGATGGTGATCAAGTTCTTTGCGGGCATTGTTGGCACAATAGGTGCAATGGACCTGTCGTTTAGGTTTTTGCTGCCCGGATTTTTCCAGTCAAACGTGGTGTACGGGCTGTACGGTGCCGTTGGTACGTTTCTGGCGAACGCAGGGTTCATGGCGATGATGGCGTTCTCGACAAAGGGCCAGGAGAACGGGGCGTTACAGTTTGAAAAGGGCACGCTGCCTGCGACGTGGTACAAGAAGGTGGACCAGATGAAGATGTGCGCGATGGTGCTGGAGTGCGACGCGGAAATCAACGGTAGAGAGGGCTTTGCAAGCCGGCCTGTGGTGGAGCGTATCCACAAAATGGGGTTCTCTGTGAACGAACCGGAGCAGGAGATCATGCTGCGCCAGTACTGGGTGAGCTCGGGAGAAGGGTTTGTGTGGTGCGAGCCCGATCTGGACCCGGCAGACATCGAATGGTGGCAGCATTTGGACAAGATCGGGGTGAAAAAAATCTGGGACAAGGATTACGAGCAGCTGGACCAACACCAGGAGCAGGAACTAAGCCACGATACACCCATCAAACGTTAACCATTACCACACATACCTATAAAGCAAAAAGATAGAAGAATATCACGTGAACAACGTATCAAGCTCTGCCAGCGAAATGTCCTCTGGAGCGCCGATTTCCTGCGTCAGGAACCCAGAACGCACCGTCTCCAGCCACTTCATGCTGATCGAGGGCTCCACGGTAGTGTCTGCCAGGATCGTGTTTGTGAGGTTGTTGACAGACTCGGTCTGCGGGCTGAAGCTCATAGCTGCTGCTCTCAGAGCAGCCACAGCAGCGGCAGCGGTGGGGCTGTTTACTAGAGAGGCGTTTTTGGGGATCCGAGGCGTGGCAGCGGCGGCCGTGAGATGCACGGTTCTTGGCTTTTTCGAGTTGATAAAACTCATGGATTTCGACCGTTTGCCGACCGACGACGGAACCTTGTCTCTGACAATCACGGAGCCGCGTCTGTGGTAGCCCGCAGACACGAGGCTATCGTCATCGTCGTCGTCGTCCGCAGAGCGCAACGTCTCGTAGTCGTCAACGTCGTCGTCGTCCGCAGAGCGCAACGTCTCGTAGTCGTCAACGTCGTCGTCGTCGGAATCCGGCGAGGATCTCGCAAACACCGACATGGACTTGGCCCTTGGATGTTGCGTCTTAGGATTGGCGTCCTCGACCGCTGTGACCAGCGAGGCCGTGACGGGGGCCACGGCGTATGGCACCGCCAGATTCGAGAGTCTTAGATCCAACGACGCGTCCAGGAACGGCGAGCGCCTGTCGCCAACGTCCTGGGAATGCAGGCTGTGCTGCGTCTGGACCTGGGCGGCTGCTAGAGCAGCAGCGTTCTGCGCCGCCTTCTTGTACTTCTTCAAGTCTTTTGCGTCGAGATCGGCAACCACACCTGACACCACCGACGTGTGCTCGAGCGCTTTCTGGCTCTCGAGGTACTGCTGGACGTAGAGATGGTAGTCCTTGGCCAAGAGTCCGCGGTAGACGTACACCATTCTCTTTGGCGACGCGTCGGCCCAATCTCTGGACAGGGAGTATATGATTGTTTTTTCGCCCTTTTCGACGCGCTTGACATAGGCGTTGAGCTTTGCAGAGACCAGGTTTGATGTTTTCGAGGACAATTTAGCCATCTCGGGGTGTTTTTCGACAAGAATGTCACAGATCTGCTTGACAGTCATGCCTTCGGCCTTAGAATCGTGGTCGAACAGGATCTCAAAGATGGCAAAGAGCACGTCGTCGTCCAACGTAGAGTGCGGGGTTGGCCGTGGCCGCTCGCCAGACACAGGGACCGTGGTGGAGATGCCGCTCGCCGTGGCGACGGTGCGGTTGGCAGATTTGTTGTACTTCTTGTGCCGCTCCTCCTTCTTGGATTTGGATGGAGAAGGGGCCGAAACCGGCTTAGCTAAGTCGCCGGTATCGGCAACACTGGTGGCAGCAGATGAAGTGATGGAAGAGGGAGTCGAGCTTCTTTCGCTCGGGCTCAGAGGAGAGTCCGGGGTCTGGGAATCATGGTCTGAAACATGGTCCATGGCCGTCGTACTCATGATAACCGGGGAATAATCACACACAGGAGCGCTAAAAGCTGGGGATGATCAGCTAGTAACGTGAATTATACGATAACACAACTCGCCAGGCTTAGAATAGAGAGATATCCGTCAAAATCCAGCGCATACGCACAGGACTCGGGTTCCAGTTTAACTCTGTTAGATTCGCAAGCTCGTGGCGTACACTTTGGGGATATTTAAGCTAATAAATATCTCGCTCTGATAAGATATCAAATAAGAAAAAGCGTGGAAAACACTGAAAGATTAGTATCACGGACATCGGCGCGCTGTTCAACACATACACTTGTTCTTATTTGAATAGACTCGCTTTTGCGTCAGAAAGAAGGGAGGACCTGTCTCTGATGTATCAGTATCTATATTAATTACGTGAAAAATTTTTCAGGTAGGGCCTGTTTTTTTGATAAGGTGCGAGAACCGATAAATGGGAGCGCGGAAAAAGCTTGCCAGGGCGTAGAAAAAGCAGGCCGTCCTGAAATCGCAAGGGCCATCTTTGATGTGGCCAGGAACCTCATCGCAGGCTGTTGGACCCATGCTGATGGGCCCGTTCGGCAAGAGACCAGCTGCTACAATTTCAGGGCTGTGTAGAAAAAACAGAGTCGGTAGTGGAGATTTGGCAAAAGGGTTTCCACTCAACTCTCTCTAAGGTCACGTGACCGGCTTTGTCGCGAAAAGGAGCTGTTTTTTTTGGTTTTCCGGGATTTGCTTGCGCAATCTCGTATGACCCCGGAATCGTCCCCACGCGTCACGCTAAATACTGCATCAATACAAAGTTACCCCTCGCTTATCAAGGTTGCATATCGCGTCCATAACATTTCCTAAACGGGCAAACGCGTTCTTATCGGCCATGGCTGTGCAAGACACGAAGACACTTGCTCGTTTGATCAAAATCCTCGGCCCAAAAGCTATCGGCGTACAAGGGCGGCGAAAGATTTGCCGGCGGCGCAAACCAGTAATTCAGGGCAATGTGAACCGGCTCGTCGTCGCTGCCAAAGGACGACACCTCGTGGAACCACCCTGCCGGCAAATATAACATTTGGCCAGGCTCTATTGTCACCTGGAGCGGCTTGCACTCTTTCAACCGTGGGAACTCTGTATCTATGAGGCGTTGCATTTTCGTTCGTTTTTCGGCGTCTTGCACATCGTCCAGGTGTAGCAGGGCAGGAGGTATTCTAGAAAACGAAGGAGGGTCTGTTTTCGTCTTTCCGTGGCGGGCCTTTTCTTCGTGTACCTCGGATTCCCTTGCGGCGACATCCTCAAGACGTTTTTTCTCCTCCTCATCCAGCGACTCGCGCTCGAGTCGCCAAAGCGCGACCTGCTCAACCAGCGCACCGTCTTCCCGCACATGTTTCCAGAATGGCGCTTTTTCGTTGCGTATGTAGTCGATGACCCCGGACGGGTATATATTCCCAATGTCGCCGACAGTGTAGAGGTTGGGAGCATCCGTGGGCGGAAACAAGGTGAATCTTTTTTTCCCCGATATTAGTATGTACAGGTTATCCGCGTGGTCGTGGTGGAGACCCGACGACGAGGCGCCTGGAGAGGGAAGCGATCTCCCCAGGCCAAGTAGGGGTTGGGACTCGTCAAAGAGCAGTCTGGAATCGGGGTCCGCGCGGCCCATCCACAGGTTTATTTGTTGAGGCACCAGGCCGGCCAGTAAGCCGGGCCGCAGCAAGTCCACTGGCCACGTGTGGCACAAGTTGGTTAGGGGTTTCTGTAGAAGCTCTTGCACGCGGGCGTAAGCAGTATCGAGAGACGGTTCTTCGTCGTTGGCGGGATTTTCATCGTCGAAGTCGTCATGAAAATTGTCGAAATCGACTGAGCCCAGTTCCGAGTCTGTGTCGGCCGGGACAGGGGCCACACCCAATTCCGGAAACTCACCGTCAGAGTCTTCGTCCGATACGCAATCGTCCTCATCATACTGGGTAGTTAAATACAACGAGTGGTCGCCGTTCTTCAGCCTTTCCACCAGATCTGCAAATTTCAAGCGAACTCGATTTTCTCCAGTGCCGTAACCACCGTTGGACTTGCGTTCCACCTGCAAAAAATCGTCACATTGTAAAAAATCTGCCACATTATCAAGACGGAATGATTCGAGATCAAACCCGGCCACCAAGCCTTGAATCAGACATGGTTTCCGCTTTGAAATATAGCGAGACTCGAACGCGACCGAAGTGGCTCCTTTGGCATCTATGGTGTCAATTTCATGTACAGCGCTAGTTTTCTTTAGGGTTTTCTGTGCGTGTTCGGCAGCTCGGGGCCTCTTCATTGTCAGAGCCATGAAAAGGAGTTAGGAAAATTTTCAAACCGACCCAAAAAAAACAAGTCACCGCCCACAGATCAAAATTTGTGAACGGCACAATTATTGCTATTGATGTGCAGAGTGTATTTCAGGAGAAAACGATGTCAGGCCGCGGTTTTGGGTTGTGGTTGCACGAAAGCGGGATCGTAGGTGGACGTAGGATGGCTAGATCTGGAGAGTATTTCCAGATGTTGTTGTAGTTGAGATGGGCTAGCCGAGGTACGGCCGATAAGCTCGCGGAGGCTGAGATCGAAAACGTCTACAAGTCTAACAGTCCAGTACGGCCAATTGTTCTCAACAAAATAGAGGCGATAAGTGCATTGCATTTTTTTCCGGTCAGTCTGAGACTGTAAAAAATGGTATTGTCAGATTTTGGCTGGCGAAGGGGCCATTCGGGCGCCAGGCTTGGTGGGCGGCAGCAGATCAGAACAGGGAATCATGCAACCAATGAAATCGAGCCGTGTACACATACTGAGGACAAGATGCCAGAGATTACTGGCATCACATACATTGTGATGGGCAAACCTTGCTATTGATGCAGTTTTCACCCGCAAAATTAGGAGAATGCCATTATAGGTAATCTGATGAAATTCCATTTAATGTTAATATTTTAGACGGCTTACTCCGCATATTCTAGGTCGTAGTACTGAGGATCGACAGATCGGGATCGGGTGGGCAAAATGCTTGGTAAATTGTATCAAGCGGCTTCTAAAATTAATTTCCGCTCTCCAGTGGTGGACTCTGCCTCAATGAGGAAGTCGTGCTAATTTGCCAGCCAACCAGAATAAATTAAGGTTGACGAAATGGCCGAAACCGACATTTGGGAATTGTAGTTTTTTGATGCATTTCCGGTAACCCAAAAACCATGGACAATGAATAGGCCACATCTATTCAAACCATGCTACGGTACGACCATCCCAAAAAGAAATTACCTGTAGGCCACCTATATATATAAAGCACTCCTCTTCCCCTTGATCTTTGAACTTACCTGGACTTTGCTTCTCACACATACCTTATGGACACTCAATTCTAAATCATACAACTGCATCACCAAACCTCAATTGCATCTATTTATTAGCATCTTTACGCATCCGCTCTTTTGAAGCATCGTTCATGACATCCCGTCTTGCCGCTGGCCACCGTTTGGAAATTAGGTCCCACGATTACCTTGTACAGGAATACAGAAATGACATCCACAGCCATTTCATCCATCTAGACTACCTCTTCAGGCAGAGGCCGAGCCCGCTGCCTCTCCAGCCCCAGTTGCAGCCCAATAGGTTCGCTCTGCTCAACTCCATCTTCGACGTAGTGGAGAAGCTCTCCTGGTCCTACGCCACGTTTTCTCTCGCCGTGACCGTGCTCGACAGATACCTGTCCAAGGCTCTGGTGCTGGAAAAAAACTACAAGCTTGTCGGCTACTGCTGTCTTTGGATCGCGTTCAAGTTCAATGAGAACAAGCCCAAGGGCAAGCTTGTTAACGCGCTCATCAAACGGGCAGGCTACGACCTTGACAGGAAAGGTGATTTTCTCAGGCTCGAGATGGACATCTTGTCGGCGCTCAAATGGGACTTGTCCATGCCGTCGGCCGACTACTTTGTCAACTTCTACACAAACAACTCGCAGCCCAACCTGAAAGAGAGAACGGAGGGAGCTATTTTTCTGTGCGAGCTCGCACACTTCGACAGAAACCTATTCTATTCGTATTCTCCTAGTTCTATCGCGGCAGCATCAATTATGCTGACCAATGCTGCTCTCACCGGTGCCACCGATAAGCTGGACGACCTGCAGCACAGTCTGCTGCACCAAGTGCTGGCAGTGCCGTCCTCCGTGAGAGCCAAATACTTCAATTCTGGCAGCCGGATCATCCCCCACCTAACAGGCCTGGCCACCCAGGTCCTCCACAAGGCTAGAGGTTTGGACACGCAATACGTGAGCTACTCCCCGCACCACGCGTCTCCCGTCCAGGAGCTGGTGCTTTATCCAAACCTGCCTATCTCACCAATAGCATCCCCAATCCACCAGCACCACCGCCATTCTCATGCTCGGTCGCAGTCTCTCACGGCGCTGCGGTCGCTGCACATCGACACTGCCTGTCTCCCCACGCCCGGCATGACGCCGGTTTCGTCTGCCGCGGGCGCCAGCCAAGTTACTCCGGTCGCAGTGCCGCTGGACCTGGACGAGCGTAGCACTAAGAGAAGGCGCTACCTGTAGTCCACGTCCACGTGACTTTTTTTAGACTCCTTTAATCTACATTACTGATTGTGGTAATCGCCATTTATGTGATGGCTATCTTGCGTTTTGAGTTAGTTAGTAGGTGGCTTTTTTTCCGGCATTAGTTAAGCTTCACTCACATGAAAAAGAGAGCCAATTTTTTGGCCATGTAGTGCTGCTGCATCTGCACTGCTTGCGTCGCACTGCGTCCTATAAAGCCCAATTCCACTTTCCTCGCGTGCGACAGGGCTTCGCGCCATGTGCCAGCGGTGAATCTCCAATTTGCTTGGCCCCTGTGCAGGGAGTGGTTTCCGCTCCTGAAAGATTTAGGGTGACACACCTCGCACCCGACACCGACGGTGCCCGCGCGACGTGAAAAATTCACCACCGCCAATCCTGCCATGGCAATCAAAGCTCTCACCAGGCCCCTATTTGGCCGTCCCGGCAACAACCTATCCAGTGGCATCGTCGGGCTTGCCAACGTGGGAAAATCCACCTTTTTCCAGGCCATCACCAGGAGCAAGCTGGGAAACCCTGCAAATTACCCGTTCGCGACCATAAAACCCGAGGAAGCTATCGTAACCGTGCATTCTCCCAAACTGGACAGGCTTGCAGAACTCTACCTTTCCCAGAAGAGTATCCCCTCGGTGCTGAGGATCTACGACATTGCGGGCCTTATCAAGGGCGCCTCTGACAATAAAGGACTCGGAAATGCTTTTCTGTCCGATATACGAGCCGTGGACGGCATCTTCCAGGTGGTTCGCGGGTTCCGAGACGACGAGATCACCCACGTAGAGGGCGACGTCGACCCTGCACGAGACCTCACCATCGTCCAGGACGAGCTTCTCCTGAAAGATATGGAGTTTATAGAGAATTCGCTCGACCGCATAGCAAAGCAGCTGAAAAACAAACGAAACCGGCCAGCAGACGAAGTGGCCCGCTGGGAGGCCCATCAGCAGACACTGGCCATTGCGTACGACCATCTGATGGAAGGCCGACGCATTTTGGACAAGCCGGACTGGACTGATGACCAGATCGAGGCGCTCAATAGCTACTCGTTGCTGACCGCCAAACCAACTGTTTTTTTGCTCAATAGCAGCAAAAATGACTATTTGCGCGGCGAAAACGAGTTTCTGCCACATGTGCAGGACTGGGTGCGCCACAACGCGCCCGAGTCACCTGTGATTTTGTTTTCAGCCGAATACGAAACAGAGGCCGTGGAATCGGGCGGTCCTTCTGCTATTCCCCTAATTGTGGAACAGATGCGCCAGGCGTTGCATCTCATCAGCTTTTACACGTGCGGCCCCATAGAGGCCCGGCAGTGGACCGTACGCAGAGGAACGCTATGTCCGCAAGCGGCAGGAGTGATCCACTCAGATTTCGAGCGCACTTTCATCAATGCAGAGGTAATCAAGTACCGCGACGTGGAGCAGCTGCCGGCCCCGCTTAACGAGAAGTTGCTGCGCTCGTCGGGCAAGATCGCTCGCGTGGGCAAGAACTATGTCGTGGAGGATGGCGACATCATGCGCATCAACGCGGCTGCCGCAAAACGATAATTGCTGTATATACACTACACCATGTCTCTTAGCGAATTGTAGTGCTCTCCGAGCCCGAAAACGTGCTGGTAGTACACGAGCTTGAGCTCCGGCTGCTGGCCGTTCTCGTTCACGCGCAGAGGCGCCCGCCCACTCATCATCACGCTGATCGGACAGTCGAACTCTCTAGCGAGAGCCAGGATCTCGAGATCACCCCCCCACATGCTGGTGGATTCCAGCTTGTCGGTATACTCCTCCACGTTGCGCACCTCCATCTTTTCCTCGTCAAACAGAAACGGCGCAAACGTGTCCGGGTCATTTCGTATCTGGTTGGCTGCACGCGTGCGCAGTTCCTGGACCGTCATGGTGATGTTGTGTCGCTGTTGCAGCTGGTCAGCAATTGACGCAAATAGACAATGTCCGTCGGGCGTGATGTTATGCTGCACTAGTCTGGCCGCAGTGCACAAATCGGCAATGTTCTTGAGCTCCAGATCTTTCAAATTTGGCTGTGCATTGGCTTCGTTCTCGGCCTCTTGCTGCAACTTTTTGAATTCGGCCTCTCTCTTGGCTAGCCGTTCTTTTTGTCTATTGCGCTTTTTCTTAGGCTCTGTCTTCACTGCTGGCTCTTTTTCTGCGGACGTTTCTGAGTCCAGATTCATCTGAGCCAGCAGCTGCTCGGGTGTGATCTCCTCTGCCTCCTGGGCCTCTCCAGTCAGCTCCCGTAACTCTCGTTCGTGTCTGTCCTTTAGATCCTGTTCCATCTGTTCAATCCGTCGCAGGACCTCCTTGCGCGTTGACTTGGTCGCCTGCTTGCGCATTCCCGTCGTGGCGGCCACCAGATCGCGCGTCTCTTTTTTGTGTCTGGCTAGCAGCTCATCCATTAAAAAGAATGAAAATTAAAAAAAAATAATTAATAAGTTAATATTTATCAATTACACTTAATGGGCTGGTTTTGGGCAGACTCAATACAGAAATCGGTTTCCCCGTCTGCTACGGGAGCAGCAAAATGTCCGGTGGACCACACGAAACTCGCCGCATGTCCTGTGGTGCACAGCGACGGAGCAGAGACCCTGGACATCAACCCGCTTAACAACATGCCGTACGTGCTCCCTACCGACAAGGTTCCAGGCCAGAAGATCGACCTGCCGACCGAGAGAACGCTGTCGTCGATTCCACGGGGAGATGTGCCGGACCAGGGCGTGTGGGAGTATCCATCTCCGCAGCAGATGTTCAATGCCATGATCCGCAAGGGCAAGGGAGACGTGCCGGAAGACGCTGTGGAAAGCATGGTGAACATCCACAATTTCCTGAACGAAGGTGCGTGGAGCGAGATTCTTAAGTGGGAGAAACCCCACACAGAGCAGACGAAGCAGGAGCCCCGGCTGCTGAAGTTCACGGGCCGGCCGCACGACTTGACTCCTCGTGCGCGGTTTTACCAGATCATGGGCAAGCTGTTCCCAGATAAGTACGCAACGGAGCCGCCATTTGACAGACACGACTGGACGGTGCTGCGTGGGGACGGCCATGGCGGCTGGCGGCAAGTGCGGTATGTGATCGATTACTATGGAGGTCCTGAGGATGAGGACGGCATGCCTACGTTTTTCCTTGACGTGAGACCTGCACTTGACTCTTTTTCCAGTGCCCGCGACAGATTCGAATTTTGGCTGCAGCAAACCAAGCCTACGTGGGATAAGGCCATGGGCAGAGACTAAATTATGGTAATATATTAAATTCATGTAGTGCAGTATTTACTCTGGTCCCTCCCCCAGCCTAGGTCATCTGGTACTTCGGCCCGTCGCCGCCTTCTGGCACAGTCCAGTCAATGTCCTGCGTGGGGACCTTGATGTCGCAGGTCTTGCAATGGATGCAGTTCTGCGAGTTGATCTGGAAAATCACACCTTCGGGCGACTTTTCGTCGGGCAGGTACTCGTAAACGCCCGCCGGGCAAAACCTCTGCTCGATGCCCTGGTATTTCGGGTACGCCTTGGACGTGTGCTTCGCCATGTCCTGATCGGGCACGCGCAGATGGCATTGCTCGTTCTCCTGGTGGTACGTGCCCGTGCGCGAGACCGACGTGAGGATGTCAAACGAGATCTCACCGTCAGGCTTTGGGTACTCGATCTTGGCATACTTGCCCGCGTCCTCCACAAGCTCGGCGTCCGTGTGCTTGTGCGTCAGCGTGAAGGGCTCCCGGCCGCGTGTGATCATCGCAATCAGCCCCGACATGCACATCCCCCCCCACATACCGAGTTTCGAGCCAAAAGAAGGCCGGATGTTGCGCACCTCGTACAGCTCCTCGCGCACCCATGACCGGTCGTACGCGACCTGGTACTGCTCCAGATCTAGCGCGTCCCACTCGGGCAGCACCTCGCCTTCTTCCACGTCGCCCTGCTGACGTTTCAGCGCCACCACCGCATCGTACATGCTTTCTGCCGCCATCATGCCCGACTTCATTGCTGTGTGCGAGCCTTTGATCTTCGGCACGTTCATGAACCCGGCGCTCGCCCCCACCAAAACGCCGCCGGGGAAGTGCAGCTTCGGCACAGATTGGTAGCCACCCTCGTTCAGCGCACGGGCGCCGTACGAGATGCACTTGCCGCCCTCCAACACCTTTCTATAAAACGGATGGTGCTTCATTTTCTGGAACTCCTGGTACGGCGAGATCCACGGATTTCTATAGTCCAGCCCCACAACCAGCCCCACAGTCACCAGGCCGTCGCCAAAATGGTACTGGAATCCACCCCCGTACGTGTCCTTGTCCAGCGGGTATCCCAGCGTGTGTGCAACGTAGCCCTTCTTAAAATTCTCCGGCTTCACCTCCCACACCTCCTTGATACCCAGGCCGTACGTTTGCGGGCTGCAACCGGCGCGCAGTCCAAACTTCTTGATGGCCTGTTTCGACAGCGAGCCGTGGCACCCTTCGGCCAGCACCGTCATACGCGCGTGGAACTCCATGCCGCGCTCAAACGAGTCCGACGGCGTGCCGTTTTTCGAGATGCCCATGTCCTTGGTGGCCACGCCTTTCACGTGACCTTTGCTATCGTACACCAACTCGCTCACGGCCGTGTTGGAATATATCTCGACGCCGACGGCCTCTGCCTGCTCGGCAAGGTACTTGACGACCTCCGACAGCGACGCAATGTAGTTCCTGTTCTTGTTGACCATCTGCGGCGGCTCGGGCAGCGGCACGGCAGACCCGTTCTTGAACAGCAACTTCATGTGGTCTTCTGTCACAAGACTCACCAGCTCCGGCGGCAGAGGGATTCCTGCGCCGTCTGCGTCGTAGTACTCGCTCTCCGGGAACAGCTCGCGCAAGGCCCGGGGTTCGAGGATCGCCCCAGACAAAATATGAGATCCGACGTCAGGGGCCTTTTCGAGCACCACCACCCGCAAATCCCCGTCCTGGTCAAGCTGCTTGAGCCTGATGGCCGTGGCCAGTCCTGCTGGGCCGCATCCCACTATGCACACGTCCACAGTGTCGACGGCCCGTTCTTCGGTGAGCATTTCTTGGAGCTCAGGGTCCATCTCGTCGAACCGAATTTCGAGCGAGCTCCGAAGCGGCGCCGAGGTTTGGAGCTGGCGCCGAGGAATTCTAACACTCTGGCGCGCAAAAATCCCACCCACAGTCCGCACAGCGTGTCTCCGGCACAGCGGCCTCACACGCGCAAGCCTTAGCAGCATGAAAATAAAATAGTTTTTTTTTATATTATTTATTTAATATTTTTCAATGACTAAAATCTCATCCAATCATAGTCGCCGCGGATATAATCTACACCGTTCTGGAATAGCCGACGATATATTTGCTACACGCCTGCCCGTTGCACGGCGATGTTGAGGATCCGCTCCTCCTCGTCCTCGATCTCGTCCAGCATCTCCTTGGCCATCTGCCAGTCGGCCTGGCTCTGGAACCGCACATACTCGCCGTCCTCGTCTCTGTAGCGGAACGTTGAGTTGTCGGCGGCAAAGGTGCGGTCGCCGTCTGCGGACGACCCGAACGAGTAGTTCAGTTTGTACACGAGTGTATCGACGAGCTCGGCAAACGCCACGTTGGCGTTCACCGACAGGTGCACCGCAGACGTGTTGTAGGTCAGCTTGATGTGCACTTTTGGCGGCTGAGACAGCGACAAGGCCGCAAACGCAGGGGTCAGCGGCACCATGCGGTCGCTGCTCGTCACGGGCGACGACACCGACCGTAGTTTCTTGTCGGTGCCCGGGTGCGGCGTCGTGGTGGCCGTGGAGGAGCTGACGGTGCGCGGTTTCGGGTAGAAGTACGACGAGTGGTCGGACGACGTGGACGACGAGCGTGTCTGCGCGGACACGCGGTTCGAGAGCTCCTCGGACTGCGACGGCGAGCTCGAGCGCCGGGCAAAGTAGTCGTCTTCGCTGGACAGCCGTCTGATGGCGGCCTCCCATTGTGCGAGCTGCTCCTCAAGCCGGAACCGGATCACGCAGCCGCCGGTATCGCGGCTGCCGCGCCATCTGAGCGTGAGAAAATGGCCTGTGCTGCCAAAATGTTTCGAGCTGTCGGACGGCGTGCATCTGTAGATTTTGTTGATGTAGACGATCCCGCTGAGCGAGAGTGGCGGGTTCTGCGTCGCGGGCACCGAGCTGGCCTTGAGTTTCTGCGCGAGCCGGCTCTTGTGGCCGGCCTCCTTGAAAAAAAACACCAGTTTCTCGAAGAGGTAGCAGTGCACCTCTTTTTCCGACGAGTGGCCGTCCGTAAGCAGGTCCTTGACAGTGACCTGGTTCGCATACAGCAGCTCGCCCGCGTTGGCAAGCGAGTAGCCCTTCCAGTCGACGACGCGGTCGTGCAGCTCCTTGGTGAGCTGGATGTTTTCTGACTTCCTCTGCGACTCGTTGATCTTGTTGGCGACCTCTTTGGAGCTGAGCAGAGCGAGATGCAGCTCCGAGTAGTTCGGCCACGACGGATCCGTGAGACGGAGCAGCTCCTGCAGCAGCAACGGGTACTTGCACAGACGCTGGACAGGCTTGATCAGGAAGCTCTGCAGCTCGTAGGGGCTGTTGATGAGCGACGAGGAGCGCTGTAAATTCGCAGCCTCGCGGTTCACAAAGTCGACCGCCGTGGTCTGGTACAGCGACCAGGGCTCGTAGATGCGGAAGCCCTGTGCGCCCGGGTGCAAGAACACCGAGCCGATGCGCTGGTACTTGCCCGGCACCGCCGCGTTGCACTCAAGCCCCACCAGAAACCGCCGCTGGAAGTCCACAATCTCGGGCAAGTTGGGGAACAGCAGGTTGATGTTCTCGCTCGAAATAAGCTCCGCTCGGATCAGCTCTGCGCGGAACTGGTGCAAGATTTCCAGGTCCTGCACGTACTTGCGCTCGCTCTCGACAATCTCGCGCACCACGCGCGACCGCGCGTCGTCCACGTGCACCTGGTCCGGCACGTCTGGGGCGTCGAACTTGGGCTCGAAGTCGAGCACCAGATTCACCGCCGCAATCACCTGCAAGAGGTGGTTCGTGTCGTCCGAAAACACGCTCGTAATGGAAAACAGCTCGTCGTCGCGGATATTCAGATGCTGCTTGCACGCACTCAGAAATTTGTACACACTCATTTTGCAAACCTTGATGTCGTCCGATAGCACCAATTCGATCTTGTTTTCCGGGCTCAGAGTGTTGAAAATCAGACACAGCGGCGCGCCCTGCTGGAACAGCTTGAGCAGCGGCGTGACCGGGTCGTGACTGGTTTGCGCGGGGAGAATGCCTGCACTGAACGTGAACAGGGTGCTGTCCCAGTAGCTGAGCAGCGAGTCCGACGAGCGGGCGTCAGAGCCTGAGCGGCGCTGGCTGCTGCGGCTGCTGAGAGCGTACGCCTGTTGCTCGGCGCAGTCCTCGGCCGCAGAGTACGCTAGCTCGAGATAGGGAGTCATTCCCGGCACCTTGGACAGCCTCTCGAGAAGACGCAGGGCGACGTAGTAGAGCGAGTCTTTGTGGGCGGCGCGTTTGTTCATGATGAGCGACTGCGACGCAATGGGGCCCGACGGTGTGCGCGACGCCGAGGGCATCGACGTTGCGGAGCTCGTGCGGGTGGGAAGAGACATGGTGGAATTCGACGCGACGAATTTATTTGAAAATATTTTACAGAAAGATCTCAGATTAGGTAAAAAAAAAAAAAGGTCGTCTTGTTCCTTTTCTACGTATCTTTCTTGTCCTTGAGCATACGATTGGCCGCCCAGATGGTGCGGTCCAGCAGCGTGAACACCGTCAGAACGCCCGAAATCGCCGCACACGCCCCCAACGCAAAGGCACTCCAGGTCTTGTTGTACTGCTCGCGGTTGATGATCTTGAGCGGGCTGATCTCAAAGTGAAAAAACACACCCGGCAGCCCGCCCTGCGCATGAATCGTGTTCGGGTGGTCTTCGTCGCGGCCGCCCCGGAACGGCCGGTCGTGCTGCGTCGCAGAAAACTGGTTCGTCTCCACCTTGCGCCCGTCCAGGAACTCGTACCGCGTGTTGACCACCTTGAGGAAGTACGAGTGCACGTGGTACTTGTGGCCGTCTCCGTGGGTCGTCGCATCCAGCGGGTGCGTCGTCTTGTAGTCGGCGACGCTGTGGTCGTCCAAACCGAACGAGAAATGGTTGATTGTGTGGTCAAAGTTGAACTTGTTAGAGTGCATGTCGTACAGCGACAGGTCGTGCACGTGTTTTTCGTTGAAATTCATCGAGCTGCCCGGCGCAAAGTGCAGGTTGCCCCCGATCCGCGCAATCTCGGCAGTCCCGCGCACACGGCACCCTTCGTCCAGTCGCGCGTTGAGCCTGTCCACGTAGCCCTCTCTTTCGCACTGCTCGATGTCCTTGCCGTCGTAGAATTTCCACGCATTGCGCGCATACGCCTGCTTGACCGACTCGCACGAGTTGCAGCACACTTTCTGGTCCTGCGGCAGCTCGTCGTTGCGCGACTGGTCGGCCGCGCCGTAGCACGAGCCGCAGTAGCTCGGGTCCGCCGACGTGAGCGCAAACTCCTGGTTCACACGCATGTTCTCTTGCCCGATCTCGTTGCCCTCTTTGTCCAAGCGGATCTTGCTGAACCCAGACGACAACAGGTCCAATTGCATGTCTCCCGACTGGTCCATGATGTCCAGCGTGAGCAGGTCGCACGGCATGTTCGGGAAGCTGATGTCGAGGTTGATCTCGAGCTTCTTGTTGCGGTCGCGGTCCACCACCAGCTCGGGCCGGGTCACGATGCGCGAGTAGTCCAAGTACTCGTTGATCAGCAGGAGCAGCGTCGTGAAAATGCACACAAGCGTCAGGATCCCACCCGACGTCGTCTTGATGCGCGCGTCGTCGACGGTCTTGGAAAAGGCGTCAAAGCGCAAAATGCTTGGTCCACGGCCCATAACAGAAAAAATGCTGAAAAATTAATTGAAAAAATAATCTATTTACTTCCACCTATCTTCTCATCATGTTGGCCAGGTTCTGGAACATGGCGCCCATGTCAGCCTGTTGGCCGCCCTGCTGCTGCATCTGCTGCATGGCGGTCATCATCTGCGCAAGCATGGCGTTCTGGTCCACGCCCGGCTGCCCCATGTTGGGCATCCCCCCCATGTTAGGCATGCCCATGTTGGGCATTCCCGCAGGCATTCCGTTGGGCATTCCCATGTTGATCGGGATGTTGCCCGGGTTCGACATCATAGGGTATCCAGCAGGAGGCGAGTTCTGGAAACCAGCAGGCGGACTGGCCCCGACAATCGGCATGCCGTCGGACTTGGGTCCGTTCTGAGTAGAATTTGTAGGCATTTTTTTGGAAATCGACTTTGACGACACGCCAGACCCCACCTCGATGTCCGGCTCCTCAATGAACAGCCCTGACTGCAGCGGCATGCCGCCCGTTCCTCCCCACTCGGCAGTGACGATCCATTTCTTGTCCGCGTCGGTCAGCCTGCTGATCGGAATCGTGCTCACGCCCGCCTGATAGTCGCAGCAGTCTCTTGGTCCGAAGCCAACTCCCCATCGGGCACGCAGTCCGGACGGATGGTGGCTCACGGAGAACGCCTGGATGACCGACTCGGCCTCCTGTCTCGAGTACACCTTGACAAAGGCGTGTTTTCTCTCGCTGTTCAGAATGACGCTCTGAACCTCTGCATACGGCCTCAGCTGCTGCGTCAGCGTCCTCTCGTCCATGGAGTGCGGCACACCGCCAATGAAAATGGTCCGCGAGTAGACCTTGATGTAGCCCTGTGGAATGGACGGGTCGATGAACGGCTTGCGCTCGCGGTAATGAGGAGTCCCCGGAATATTACGCTCGTGGTCGCCGACAGGCTTGGATTCTCTCTTTGGCGAGCGGGACCGCTGTCTTCTTCCGAGCGGGTTCGAGTCTCTTTCTCTATAGTTTTGTCTGTTTTGATTGGCAGAGACTGGCGGTTGCGGAGGAAGGCCGTACTGCTGCTGTTGCTGGTAATTAGGCTGTGCTCCAGAAATCTTGTTCATGCTCTGCAGCAGCTGGAAAATGGCATTTGGATCGGAATTGGAAGGCGCCGAGCCGGATGGAGCAGCAGCGGTTCCGTTGGAAACAGGCTGCGCAGCAGGAGGAGGCGGGGGAGAAACCATCTTGGCCGAGCCGGAGCCGGAAGCAGGAGAAGGGGTCTTCTTTGCGAGGTTGGCCAGAGCTTGCAGCACAGAGGTCGGGTCTTTAGACGACGACGACGACGAAGAGGCCGAGGGAGCAGGTGGCTCGACAGTTGGTTCGACAGCAAACTTGACCCTTTTCTTAGGAGGAGTGCCTGGAGGAGTGGTGGTACGAAAATACTTATCTTTGATGGATGAAATTATTTTCTTGTCAAAAGTGTCTCCCTTGTCCCAGATTTCTACGAGCTTACCGATCTTCTCTCTGATATCGTCGTTGGAAACGGGCACAGCGTCATCTACCAGGTTCTCGATCAACGACTGGATCTTGTACACGGCAGAGTTGGCTGTTCCTTCTGGAGAAGACTCGGTAATATCTGTAGTATCTGACTTGGAGATCTGGTCGATCAGGCCTCTCACAATCGCGTCGACAACGTACAGGGCTCCCAACTTGTGTGTGGCAGGCGTGGCTTTACAACACGAATACAGCTTAGACACAAGTTTGGACTCTTCGGACACGTTGTTGAGGAATATTTCTTTTAGTTTCTTGATTCTCGACCCAGACACTCCTGGAGCTTTTAGTCCCGGTAACTCTTTTAATATCGTTTCAAATTCTTCGACAGACATAGGTACAAATACAAATTACTCTTAGGAAGAACAACAGTACAATCCCAAACAGAAAAATTTGCCCCTCTGGAACACGTTTTAACCTGTGGTCGAGTGTGTGGCGCACGACCATTTACAAAAACTCATGCGATAAATCACTAAAACAAAATAAAATAAAATAATTAGACTATGTCCAATTTGCACTACGGCCCTAAGCTGCGGCAGCTGCTGCTGAAGCTGGAATCTGACCGTGACCGCGGACCGTCTGCTGGCAACGAACGGCTGTCGAAACTTTTATTTCTGGGGCTCCTAGTGGTTAAAAACGCTAAACAACGACGCAGAAGCTCTACAAGTTCGCTTTCCAGCAGTCCTACGCTCTATTCGCCCACTCAACGCAGCCGAGCAAACAGCGGCACATTAGCCGGGTCGCGTTTTGCCCTTCGAACCCGGCCACAACGCTCGTGGCAGGAAAAATACAACAGTTTCGAAACAGGGTTGCTGGCCAACCTTGAGTCGATGGTTTCGCTTTTCGACAACTTCACCATGTTCCAGAACATTTTGAGTAAATCACGGTTTGCGTCCAAGTTTCGCGGAGTGGAGACGCTTCTCAAAAACCTATCCAAGGTGTATTTCGTCATCATATTGATAAACCTAAAAAACCTCATAGTCAAGCTTATTAAGCTCAACAAACTGACCCGAATAGTGGAGCTGGAGGCGGAAATGCTCTCGCGTAACGGCAAAAACGTGCTGTTGCCGGAAGCCGCGTCGCAGGAACGCGAAAAGCTCGTTTTTCTGTACACAGAGAAGTTCCGGACGTATCTGGAGCTGATTGGCTACGCAAACGAGCTGGTTCTGGATCTGACGTTGGTTTATTCCAAAATACGGCTGCCGAAGCTGGTGGAGCGGCTCGTGAGTCTGGTCAGCTGGATCATCGGCGTTTACCGGCTAAGTAAAGACGAGGCAGAAGAGGCCAGGACAGAGAAACAGATCGCAGCTATGCAGAAACAGTATTTATAACAATTGGATTCACTATCATATAAAGTGTCTGTATAATGCTCATATAATTTCCATTAATTATCTGCGGCTCGTTCGCCCCGGTTCGACTTGATCATCCAACTGAAAAAACGACTGGCCCCGGTGGCTCCGCTTTTTTTAGAATCGTAATTAGAGAAATTGATAAAGCTCGTGCTTCGGCTTTTGGAGTGTTTTTTGAGCGGCCCGTTTTTGGACAGCCGGGCCAGCGCCGGCTTGGGCTGGGGCTCTACCACCTCGATCATGGGGCCCGGCTCGCCAATGACGTCTTCAGTCAAGGTCTGGTCGTCGAAAAGCAGAGTCGACTCGTTGGCGTGTGCGTATTCATGGAGACCGAAAACCTCGTCGGTAGTCTTCTCGATGATGGAGGCCTTTTGTGGCGTGGACCTCAAGGACAGCAGCGACGACTTGCGCCGGTGGTGGAACTTGGACGACAGAGTGCTAAACAACGAGTTCGATCTCTTGTGGGCCTCCATCTTGTTCTCTGTCACGGGCTCGTCCAGCTTAGCAACGCTCTGGTTCGACATCGAGGCGGTGTAGCCGTGGTCTCTGTGGAACGACTTGGGAATCTCGTAGACGATAGGCTCGAACTGGAACGGGTTCTTTTGGGGCGGGGTCTGGTATCTGAGGTTGCGGATCGGAGAGCGCGACTTGGACACGCCGCGGAAGGCTGAGGAAGGCGAGGAGGAGGATGAGGAGGAGGAGGGCGCCATCAGACAAGGCCTCCGGCCAAACCTGTCAGAATCTGCCGTTGCCGAGCTGGATGGTGTGGATGCGGCCTGGGTATTGAGTTTCTGCTGCGAATTGTAATAGAACTGGTATCTCACCTTGCCGCGCAGGCTAGAGACGCTTGGCGTGTTCACATTTGCTAGGCCTTTGTGCTGCGAGTTATTGGAACTCTGCGAGTTGAGCGAGTTGGACGAGCAGTTATCGTTTAGCAGCACTCCGGCCGGCAAGGGCGTGCCCTTGCCGGAGTTGGTTGACGACAGCTCGGAGTTATGGGTGGGAATTTTGGTGAGCAGCTGTTCAGAGTCCTCAAAGTCCTCCTCTGTGATCTCCTCGGCGATGGCGACGTCATTCTTCTTTGGTGAGCACAGCAGCGAGTGTTTGGGCATGTGGAAGCTCTCCAATTCTGGAGCAGACATGGTCCTGCTGCTCTTTCTAGCGGGCGCGCGCGAGCTAATGAACACGTCATCGAGATCGATCATCGCGCGCGGCACGCTCGAGCCGGACTCAAACTTGGTGTCCTCGGTGATAAAGTACCGCGTGCGGGCGTCCTCGTGTGCGGACGCCGGTGTCGAGGTGAACAAAATTTTCTGTCTACTGGACAACGTGGAGTCCTCGGCTGCGAGCTGGACAAGCGGGCTCTTCACGGGAGAGCTGCCAAACGTGCCGGAGAGCGAGCATGAGGTAGATCCGGGGACAGACTTGGACATCATGGGGGGCAAAAGTCCAAACTCCTGGACGTCAAAGTCACCAGAGATAGCTGCGGAACGACGGTGCCGGTGGCCGCGTCTTGGCGGCGGCTGGAGGCCGTTCTGCGGGCCTGTGGGGGATGGGGGGAGCTCATGGATGGGCCATAAGCGTTGGGAGTGGAAACGAGCGACTGAGGAAAAGACGGAAAAGCAATTTAGTAAATAAAGTTTTCTCCTTCTGGCTCTAACTGGGAAAACAAAGAGCAAAAAAAAGAAAATTTACAGGTCGCAGCTGGCTGCAATTTTCCTGTACGGAAGAAGATACGATCTAATAACGTCACAAAAGTGCACAATAGCGTGCAGGGGAATAGAAGACAGCGCAGATCTACATGGGACGCGTATTGTATGGGGCAGCCACAGAACTTTTTGCCTGAAGCAAGTAATAGGGCTTCGGGGTTTGAGCAGTGCCTGCTGCGAATGAGCTGCCAGCTCACTTTAGACCGTGCCTAGTGTGGCCCGCGTTTCCTAATCCATGTAGCTTCTGAAACACCGATCGCAATATAAAATATGCATAGCTCGTATTTCCCGTGCCAAATTTGAGAGCACAGATAAATTTGCTGCACCAGCATTGCCTCTGGGCCCGTACTGATAAACCGAAACGGTAACGCGGATGAAACGGGCTTGGGACTGCAAGCCTTCAGAAACCAGAAAAGCGGGACAGGTCGTAGATCGTATGCCGGAAACGGCAGGCTTTTCCCAATCAGCACTACTTCCTACACGTCAAGCGGAGGGGCATTTGAGCTTATTTTTATGCTTACGTAATACAGCGCCATACATAGAGTTACTGCTCGATGTTTTTAGACAGCTCGGCCAGCACGTCGAGGCCCTTGCGTTTCTTGTTTCTAGTCGTCCACGCAGACGACCCGTGGTAGACGCCGCCAGGGCCCACCTGCGCCTCTATCTGCTTGAACTTAGCGGCCAGGGCGGTTTGCAGTTGCTGACTGTTGAAGTTGTTGACGGGGACGTATCCAGCGGCCTGTGTCTTTGGAGTCGGCTTGGCCGCCCTTGCAGGCGGCTTCGCAGCAATTGCCGCCGCCCACGGCTGTTTGGGATGCGCTTTCGTGTGGGCAGAACACATGCAAGCGGATTGGAGCAGTTTTTCGAGCTCGAAAATTACACAAATATTTTTCCATTAGCTGGTGCAAAGATGTAATGACGGTGTCATTGAATCTATTTAGGCAGAGAAAGACAAAGACAATCCGAGCTTGTGAGCAGACTCACCAAGCTTGAGAGTATCGAAGGCACCTCCAAGGCCGAGCTTGACGCCTGGTCTGAGGTCCTGAGAGTAAGCCAAGGCAAGGAGACCGGAGTCCGTGATCTTGGCCTTGACGAAGGAGGTCTCGTCGAGGCTGTACTTAGTGGCCACCTCAATGGCCACAGGGTTGGAGCCAGCAGCACTCTTGGAGTCAAAAGTACCCTTCGTTCCAACCTCAAGGACTGGAGAGACCTTGTGGTAGTAGCCGGCAGCAAAGACGGAGAGGTTGTTGGCAGCAGTCAGGGAGACAGCGTAGGATGGGGCCTTGTAGCCCACGGCAGCAGAGTAGCCGGTCAAGGTGGCAGACTTGACGTCGTATGACAGAGAGGCACCAGTGGTGAAACCTTCTTGGCCAACCGTCAGGTCACCGTTGAAAACTGGGCCCTTGAGCAGGTCAACAAACGCACGAGCGTTGATCGATTGTTGGGCAAAGTACAGGTTCAGCTTGACCGATCTGTTTCCGCCCGGCACGGCGCTGGTGACCAGCTCGGACTTAAGGCCCGGAGAAAGAGCGTCGGCAAGCTCAATCTTGGTGTCCAAGGCATTGGCAGTGTTCCAGCCCTGGGTCAATGTCAGGCCAGTGCTCTTGTCAGCGTATTTACCTTCCAAGGCGGCAGACGTCTTACCACCGGAAACGTTACCCTTGGTGCTGAAAGTGACACCGTTTGGAGCCACAGTTTTCAGGTCCAGGGCAACAGGAGTGTAGTGGTAGAAGTCCTTGCCGAGGATGTCGTTGGTTGGTTTAGCAATGTCTGAGAATGCTGGAGGAGCCATTTTTAATAAAAGTTGGGAAATTAGCGAAAACAAATAATTAGTGGATTTGCCTTAATTAGTGGTTCCACGGTCTCCCCGCCACGATTCAATTTGGTTGGACGGCTGGGGGTAGCACCGCGCACATGCACGCCGATCACGTGCATCCAACAAATTTTTTCCCCTGCACGAATACTGACTGGTGCACGGATATGTTTGCTCTGTTTACATTTCCAATTTTTATTATTTTCAAATATTTTTGTGTTTTTCCACAGAGTTCTTGCTCACATGACCAGCATCACGTTTGCTGGACAGCATCGACTCCTCGCACCATACATTGTTGCACTTGCGTAATCTCGTTTCTTTTTCATCATATATATGCGGCACGACTCTGAAAGGAACCACGAATCGAGGGTCTCTAGTCGTCTCAGGGGAGCAGCGACGCCACAGGTAGTGTTGTTGTAGCCCTGTCTTTGCGCAGTATGTGCCAGAGCTCCTCTGCCAATCCCTGTTCCCTTCCTCTGCCATCCACTCTAGTTTTATCAGTGTCTCTCGTGCGGCTATTGTTTTTTTAGCGGTCAAAAATTTTTGGTCTTTCCGAATTTCTTTCATTTCTCGATGCTTCAACTACTTCCTCGAGCGGTTTGGGAAGACGCCAATCTGTACGACGGTGCCACCGTGATCACCCTCATTACGGGCACATGTCTCGTTCTCGTCATGTGCTTCGGTCTGGCCTACCTCTACTCTGGCCTTGCCAGGAGAAAATCGGCTTTGCACATGATCTTCATCACCTTCGCAGCCATTTGCATTGCCCAATTCCAGTGGTATTTCTGGGGATATTCGTTGGCATTCTCTTCCTCTGCCAGCAACAAATTCATCGGCAATTTGCACAACTTTGGATACCAAAATCTCGGCGTTTTGACCACCCTTGGAGACGACGAGAAAGGCTACCCAGAGATGGCCTTTGCCAACTTCCAGGGCATGTTTTCCACCATCACCATTTGCATTTTGCTGGGATCTGTCTGCGAGCGCGGCCGCGTGCTTCCGGCCATGGTTTTCTCGTTTTTCTGGCTCACTCTAGTATACTGTCCCGTGGCGTATTGGGTCTGGGGTCCTGACGGCTGGGCTTTGGACTGGGGGGTGCTGGATTACGCAGGTGGCGGCCCTGTGGAGATTCTGTCCGGATTCGGCGGCTTCGTGGTGTCTTACTTCCTCGGCGAGAGAAGACAGCATTTAATGGTCAATTACAGACCGCACAACGTGTCGCTGATCACCATCGGCACGGCGATGCTGTGGTTCGGATGGCTGGGCTTCAACGGGCTCACGTGCATCAAGCCTTCGTACAAGTCGATATACGCCATCATGAACTCCAACCTGTGCGCTGCTTTTGGAGGAATCACCTGGTGTCTGCTAGATTTCCGGATCAACCACCACTTCTCGACGGTGGGGTTGTGTTCTGGCATCATTTCCGGCCTCGTGGCCGCAACGCCTTCATCGGGTTGCATACCACTGTGGGCGTCGGTGGTTTTGGGGGTGGTTACCGGAGTCGTGTGCAACTACTCGACCAAGCTCAAGGTGTGGCTTAAAGTGGACGACAGTCTGGATGTGATGGCCGAGCACGGTGTTGCGGGCGTTCTGGGACTGATTGTCGGAAATGCGTTCTTCGCGTCGTCGGAAGTGATTGGATACGACGGATACACAGACCATCCGGGCGGCTGGTACGACCAGAACTGGAAACAGATGTACAAGCAGCTGGCTTACGTGGGGGCCGTGACCGGATACTGCGTGACGGTGACAACGATCATCTGCTTCGTGTTGAACCGTGTTCCCGGGCTCAAGATGCGCGCGAGCGAGGAGGGAGAACAAAATGGAATGGACGAGGACCAGATCGGCGAGTTTGCGTACGACTACGTCGAGGTGAGACGCAACTTCTTCGACCTCAACCTCAGCAAGCTGACTCCGGTCAACGGTGAGCTTGTGCGCGAGGAGGCCCAGGAGTCGCTTTCCGACCAGCCTCCAGAAAAGAAGAACGAAGATAGCAACAGTTCATAGACTTAGCAATGCATGTTTTCTCTAGTCGCACCGCACAAACTCTGGCCTGCGCTCCGGGTCGATCTTGATGATAGGCTTGAACGTCTCGATGAACTCGAGGTCGCCCTCGCCCTTTTCACGCGCAAACTTGGCGTACTCGTCAAAAGTCCCGCTCAGACTCCACCCTTGCAAAAATTTCCGGATTAATCCTACAAGTACCCCCACTCTATGTTTCCCCTTGTTCGAGTGGATCAGGATCGGGTAGTTCTCCCTGTTGGCCACGAGGTTCAGCACCGTGTTCAGGGCCACCTCGTCGTTGAACATGTGCGACGTCCCGAACGTCGAGGGCGGCTTCATCTTGAAAAACCGGAAACTGATCGTCCTGTCGCCCGCATGGCCGGCTATCCACTTGTAGTAGTCGTAATTGTCCGTCTTGTCCCCGATGTAGATAATCGTCTTCAAATTCAATGTGTCCAGAAACTCAAAGTTGATGGGCTGCGGATGGCCCGACCGGTACAAGTCCGACTCGACCGTGGCGAAGTTGATCGGCGGCACGTACCGCGGCCGGTCGTCCTTGATCTTGAGCGCTGTGTAGGCGTGACGTCGAGTCATCTCCTGGAGGTCCTCGATTGCGGCACGGCCCATGTTTCCGGCAAGCTCGTCGTCGGCAAACTCGCCAACGAGGTCCGACTGCGTGCGCTGGAGGTTCTTGCGCACGTCGTACTGTCGCAGCTGGTCCAGTATCTGGTCGCCTTGGGATAGCATGAAAGAATCGGTGCAAAGATGTAACCTTTCACGTTTTAATTTCACTATTTTTTGCATCACTGTTCGGTGCAAAGATGGAATTTCGAAGTTTTGTTTGTATTTTTAAGCCCTCTTTCTCATACCGACACCCAGTTACAAATTGCAGGCCAATCAAGCAGATTAAGAGCCTGTTTATACGTTTATTAGCTTAATATTCCAAGCCAGCTTAATATTGAGCAGTCGTGTCACGTCGTGGCGTCTTACGCGTGAAGCTAGTATTTCTCTTAAATGGCTACAAACATAACCTGGCTTGCGATCACAGCGCTATTGCTTTGGCCCGCGCTGTGCTCGGCCCTTAGCATCCAGAAACCCTCCTGGAGACTCCCCTGGGGTAGAGACTACTACAAAGACGGAGATAAGGTGGATCTCCTTGTCAACACAGTGGAGTCTGAAAACACGCAGCTGCCATATGCCTACTACAAGCTCCCGTTTGTGTGTCCTCCAACACAGAATGCGCGGCCGGTACATCTCTCTTTGGGAGAGGTGCTGAATGGAGACCGGATCTGGCAATCGGACTACCACCTCACTTTCGGCCAGGACGAGCCGTGTGCGCGATTGTGCGACAGGGTGATCAAACAGAACGCGATCAAGCGCGCAGACGAGCTGATCAAAAACGAGTACATGGTGGAGTGGCGGATCGACGGCCTGCCAGGTGCCACCACTTTCATTAAGCCCAAGACAGGCAAACAGAACGCTGAAAAATACTATGTTGCTGGGTTCCCGTTGGGATTTGTTCAGAACGGCGTCAGCTACCTCCACAACCATGTGATGATCGTGGTGAGATGGCACAAAGAGAATGGCGACCCGGACAAGAAGACCATTGTCGGGTTCGAGGTGTACCCTAAATCGGTCTCTGACTTCCATTGTCCGGGAGCATCCAGGGACTACGCCAACTTCGCCGTCATACCGGGAGCCAAAGACAGGCTAGTCGTGCCGTACACGTACTCGGTGTATTGGAGAGAAGAGGTGGATGTCACATACGAAAACAGATGGAAAATGTACAGAACCCCGGGTGGAGCGGCCAACGACAGCAAGATGCACTGGTTTGCACTGGTGAACTCGCTACTTGTGGTATCACTTCTTTCACTGGCGGTGTCTGTTGTATTTGTCAGGACACTAAACAGCGATTTCAAGATCAGAAGAGACACTTTCACAGAGAAACTTGACTCACTAGTGGGGTCTTTGCCGGAAACCCGCGACGGACCCAAGTCGGGCTGGAGATCTTTGGCTAGCGACGTTTTTGTGCAACCAAGCATGCCTGTGATTCTCAGTATTCTTGGAGGTTCCGGCGTGCAGCTGTCTCTGACCATGTTTGGAGTTTCCATTTTGTGCACTGCCGGAATATCTGGCCCCAACAACACCATCTTGACAAGTGTCATTGCCACGTTTGTGGTTGCAGGTTTTTTCTCTGGTTTTGCAGGCGTCCAATTCTACAAAACCTTTACACACAGGCAGGTTGCCTCCTGGAGAACAGTCTCTTTCCTCTCGGGTAGTTTGTTCACGGCATTAGTCCTCATCATTCTCTTCATTTTGAATTTCATCATCTGGGCCAAGGACTCCTCGTTGGCTTTGCCCTTCGGCACTATCATGGCATTAATATTCATCTATGTTCTTTTACAGATACCCATCTCTTTGTTTGGAGGCTTCATCTCCAACAGACTCGACCTGCTGGGCCTTTTGATCAAAAACAAGCCAAGGGTCGCTGAGAGATACACAGAGGCCAAAAGGGCCATCCCAAAACAACCGTTCTACAACAAACTCAAGTTCTCGCTCCCACTGTTTGGCTTGTTCCCCTTTGGAATTATTTTCGTTGAGCTGGTGTTCCTGTTCAAGTCGCTATGGGTGGAAAAATTGTCCTTCTACTACATGTACGGCTTCCTGTCGTTCACGGCATTCCTGCTGTACGTGGTGGTGATAGAAATCAGCATAATCTCCACATACCTACGCCTGAACTCTGGCGACTACTACAACTGGCAATGGAAGGCGTTTGTGACGAGCGCCGGCTCGATCTTCATCTACCTAATGGGCTATTCTGTCTACTACCTTATCTTCCGAATGAAGGTCGTTGACATTGTGTCGCCAATCATCTACTTGGTGTATGCAACGATCATGGATCTCATTCTCGGCGTTTCTTGTGGCGCGATCGGGCTGCTGGCCTCGACTTTCTTCGTGTACAAGATTTATTCGTAAATGTTTTATTTTATAGACACTGATTAAGACTCCGGCTTAGCTAAACACGCCCAGCTGTTTTCTTATTTTTTTTCCCCGATTTTATTTCGTGTAACGCGTCTGCTATGCCTATCCTTGAGAATTCGTCTTCGCCGCCGGCTTCGTCGCCGTTGCCGTCGTCGCAAGTGAACGCCGACGCATCTCCGCCAGGCGACGAGGTCTCGCTGAAGAATTACAAGCCCTCGTCTGCAGACATGGCGTACTACTACGAGCACTTTCTGCCCTTCAAATCCATCTACCTGTGGCTGAATCACTCGCAGGCCGCGCAGGCTGACTTCACGATGCGCGAATTTGCGTTTGAGTACAAATCGGGCGCGTACCAGCGGTACAACTCCTTCCATTCGGCCTCAGAATTCAAGCAGTCGGTGGTCAAGGCCCAACCAACGCGGTTTGAGGTCGGAGCGGTGTATCCTGTGGAGCCGCGGATGCGCAAAAGCGTGTCAAAGGCTTTGATGAAGCCGATCGCAAAGGAATTAGTGCTAGATATCGATCTGACCGACTACGACGACGTGCGGACCTGCTGCTCGGGCACAGATATCTGTCCCAAGTGCTGGCGGTTCATCACTCTGGCAGTGAAGATTGTGCACCGTGCGCTGCAGGAGGACTTTGGATTTGAGCACTTGGTGTGGGTTTTTTCTGGAAGAAGAGGTGTGCATTGCTGGGTGAGCGACTACCGGGCGCGGATTTTGGACGAGACGAGAAGGCGGGCAATTGTGGAGTATCTGGACGTTTTGAGCGTCAAATCGAAAAAGACCTTGAATCTGAAGAAGCCGTACCATCCACATGTGGAGCGAGCGTTCGAAGTGTTGCGCGACGAGTTCGTGGAGGTGATTTTGAAGCAGCAGGATCCGTGGAGCTTGCCCGACAGAGCAGAGGCTCTGGCGCGGACGGTGCCCGACTACAAACTGTCGAGCGCGCTGATCAGACACTGGAAGGAAGTGCCGGGCCGGACGAGTGCGGAGAAGTGGCTCGACGTGGACGCACTGTACCAGCAGCTCAAGGTACGGTCATTTGATCTACAGGATTGGAAAAAAGAGACCATTTTCGCCACAATGTATCCGCGACTGGATGTGGAGGTGTCGCGGCAGATGAACCATTTGCTGAAGTCGCCCTTCTGTGTGCATCCAGGCACGGGAAACGTGTGTGTGCCGTTTGACCCATCCGAGAAAGACTTCGATCCGTTTGCAGACACGCCGAACCTGGGCGTGTTGGTGGGAAGCGGCGAGACGGAGTGGCAGAAGACAGGGCTGCGCCACAGCGTGGAGCTCTTCAACCGGTTTGTTAATCGCTTGGTGAGCGAGGAGGTGCGGCACAAGCGGGGCCGCGCCGAGGATAAGGAAAATCTGGAGTTTTAAAAATAAAATAAAATCTATTTTATTTTTCGCTATATCCTGCCGTTAAAAAAAATATTCACAATCTGGCGGTGTTTCTCCAAACGGCAGGTGATAGGAGCAGGCTCAACATATAAAGAGCGGGATCCGCACATTGGTGCGCATCGCACAAACACAGAATGAGTGACCTGGAGTACAAGTTTGTGAGCGCACGCAAAGTGACTGTTATTAGGGCGCCTTTCAGCGGCGGCCAAGGAAAGGGTGGTGTCGAGAGCGGTCCCGACAAGATGGAAGAGTTTGGGCTGCTCAGGGACATTGCTGAGCTCGGTTGGACTGCCACCGTTGACGACCCGCTGGCCAAGTTCGACCTTGCCACTCTCAAGGCCGACCCCAGCGACGTGTACGGCAACTGCAAAAGACCCAAGATGGTGAGCGACTGTTGCCGGCTAATTTTTGACGCTGCCACTGCGGCGCACGAAAACAAGACGCTGCCGGTGACTGTGGGCGGCGACCACTCGATCGGCATGGCCACGATCTTGGCGTTTGCGAATGCGCACCCGGACGGCGGAATTTTATGGATTGACGCCCACGCAGACATCAACACCCCATCCACGACTCCGTCGGGCAACTTGCACGGGTGTCCAGTGGCGTTTGCGATGGGGCTCGAGGAGGACTCGTGGCCGCCGCACTTTGACTGGATCAAGCAGGTCAAGCACAAGGTCAGACCTGACCAGATCGCATACATCGGGCTGCGCGACGTGGACCCGGGTGAGAAAAAGCTGCTGAAGGAGCTCGGAATAGCCGCCTATTCCATGTACCACGTCGACAAGTACGGCATCAACAAGGTGGTGGAGATGGCTCTGCAGAAAGTCAATCCGTCGGGCAACAAGCCTGTGCACGTGAGCTACGACGTTGACGCGATCGACCCGCTCTACGTCGCTGCCACAGGCACCCCTGTGCGCGGTGGACTGTCGCTGAGAGAGGGGCTATTTCTCGTGGAGGAGATCGCCGCCACGGGCAACCTGGCCGGTCTCGACATCGTCGAGGTGAACCCTGCGCTGGCCTCTACCGAAACACACATTGTGGACACCGTCAACGCGGGGCTGTCCATTGCCCGATGCGCGCTCGGCGAGACCATCCTATAGAAAAAAAAAATACTAAATCAATATATTCTGTATCTACGGCTGTGCTATGCTGGAAAATCTCAATTTTTCACCATGTCCACAGAAACGAGCCACCCGCCCAGGTACGCCGGGTTCATCGCAGGCGTCTTCTCGGGTGTCATGAAAAACGCCGTCGGACACCCGTTCGACTCGGTCAAAGTGCGTCTCCAAACCTCCGAGGGCCGCTTCAAAGGCCCCATCGACTGCACTCTGAAAACTTTGCGCTACGAAGGAGTTAGAGGACTCTACAAGGGCTTCACGCCTCCGCTCGTTGGCTGGGTCCTCATGGACTCCGTCATGCTCGGCTCGCTTACGCTCTACCGCCGGCTGGTGAAGGACAACCTGTACCCAGCAGAGAAAAAGCTGCCTCTCGCCGGCTGCTGTCTCGCCGGTCTCGGGTCTGGACTCACAGTGTCCTTTGTGGCTGCCCCAATAGAACAGCTGAAGGCGCGATTGCAGGTCCAATACGACGCGAAAACCAAGCAGTTCACAGGGCCGATCGACTGTCTGATAAAGCTGGTCAAACACGACGGCCTGCGCACGCTGTACAAGGGCCTAGTGCCGACCATGATCTTCCGCACCAACTTCATTGTCTGGTGGGGGTCGTACGAGCTGATCACGACGTGGCTCAAGGAAAACACCAGCATGAGCACCGCGGCAGTCAACTTCTGGGCCGGCGGCCTGAGTGCGTCGTGCTTCTGGGTCACGGCGTACCCGGCCGACGTGGTGAAAAACGTGATAATGATCGACGACGTGAAAAACCCGCGATTCAAGAGGTACTTCGACGCGGTGAAGTTTGTGTACACGGAGCGTGGGCTGCGCGGATTCACGCGGGGCTTCGTGCCCAGCATTCTGCGCAGCTTCCCGGCCAACGCGGCGGCCCTGGCCGCGTTCGAGTTTGTCATGCGGCTATTTTAGGCGTCGTTCTGGCTTACGTAATCAGACCTTACACGCCGTGGCTTCTGGCGCTCTGGCACGGCGTATCTCTGTCTCTCTCTCTGTGTGTTCCCTCTCTTTCCTCCTATCATGAAACCCGCTGTTGTGCTCTCCATCCTCGGCGCGCTGGCAGGCTGCTGCTTTGGCAGGCTCGTCCACGCAGCCGACGACTCCAACGACACAGAGCACGCAGAAATCCAGCCCAAATGTTTCAAGCAGAACTACTACATCAACGCGGCCGGCGACATGAGAGAACTCCACGACTGCCGGATCATCTCCGGCAACATCAACATCAAGGGCTACGACTCCGACAGTCTGGACCTCGGCTCCATCTCCCACATCAAGGGCTCTTTGAGCGTGGCCAACGCGAGCAGTCTGCTGAGAATCGAGGGCGTCGAGCTCTCCACCATCGATGGCACCTTTGCACTGGACACCTTGACCTCCTTGACCTCGATTTCGCTGCCCAAGCTGGAAAGCATCGACACGATCCAGTGGAAGGTGCTTCCTATTCTGAGCGCCGTCAATCTTGACAAGGGCATCAAGCGGATTAACTCTGTTGTGATGAGCGACACCTCGCTGACGGGCTTTTCTGGCTTCAACGTCGAGTCGCTCAAGACGCTCAACATCAACAACAACCGGTTCCTCGAGCGAATCGACTCCTCTGTCAAGGAGATCACAGAGACCTTGCTGATTGCTGCCAACGCCCGGAACTTGCAGGTGTCGCTCTCAGACCTCACCTGGGCCAACACCATCACCATCAAGGACACCAGCAGCCTGAACCTGGACAGCTTGCAGGTGGTGGAGAACTCTGCGCAGTTCATCAACAACAGGTTCAGCGAGCTCAAGCTGCCAAAACTGAAATCCACGGGCATGACACTCAGCGTGATCAACAACAAGCAGGTGCGCACTGTCGAGTTTCCGTCTCTGGCCGAGGTTGGCGGCGGCCTGATGATCATCGACAACGACCAGGTCAACAGGGTCGACTTTTTCCCCGTGTTGCGGGCAATTGGCGGCGCGATTGAGTTCCAGGGCAACATCGAAACGAGCAGCTTCAAACAGCTCAAGGTGGTCAAGGGCAGTGCTATCATCAAGTCGACGTCGACGCAGTTCGACTGCAATAAGTGGATGAAAGAGGAGGTCAGCGGTGTTGTTCGCGGCGGCAAGATTGAGTGCGGCTCTGGTGCGTCGAGGTCCACTGAGGTGCTGCTCGTGGACGAGTCCGGCGACATCACGACGGGCACCCCTGGCGTCAACAGCGGCGTTGCCGACGGCGACCACGCAAAACAGACGCTGGCCCGGAGCGGGTCCTCTGGCTCCAGACCCTCGGGCGTCGGCTTTGCGGCCGTGCTGCTCGGCTTTGGGGTCTCATGGCTTGCTATGCAGCTCTAAATACGTTTTAGTTTGATTGGAAAGTAAGATTTCCCCGGACGGCGTGGCTGTGCTAAAAAATGCATCAGTGGAATTTGGTAATCTTTTTTTTGCCTGTTTATGACTGATAAGGGCCTCAAATCCGAGGACGGCGGGGCAGAGCGCGTGGTCGACGCGAGCTCCGACAGCCCTGGCCTGTTCCGCCGGCCCAAAGCCCAGAGCTTCGGATCGTTTGTGATTGATGCCAAGACGACCGTCAACGACTCGCTTCTGAGCGAGATCGACGCCGAGATCGCACGCCCGAGCAAGAAAAAACGCCGCATCTTTAGCTGCGAGAGCTGTCGCAAGCTCAAGACAAAATGCGACTACGACGCCGGCCAGGGCAGCTGCAAGCGGTGTCTGCGGCTGCGGCTCGAGTGTTCGCTCGTGGAGAACGGCACCCGTCTGAATCGGCACGAATCCGAGCCTCTGCCCTCGGAACCGGTTGATTCGCGCCTGCGCCGCGTCGAGCAGGCCGTCGAGTCGTTTGACGGCAAGCTCACGTCGCTGCTGGACCTGGTGAAACAGTCTCTGGGCTCTGGCAACCAGCTGGACTTTTCTGTGGTGCACGAGAACGAGCTGCTGGCCAACCATGACGCTCTCGCGCCGTTGAACGTCATCAAGCAGATCGACTCGAAGCTGTTCAACAGGGCGAGCCCCCATGACCCGTTCAAGCGCATCTGCGACGAGTTTCTGCGGTTCTACTTCGACAACGAGCGGCTGTGTCTCGAGCTCTCGCGCAGTTTTCTGGAAATATCGCATTTTTGGATCATCCCGGGCGGCATCACGTCCATCGACCGCAAGTATGTGCTCGAACACCCGTTCATCACGTGCGTGTTTGTCCTGTTGGCCATGTGTTTCGACGAAAATTATAAATACGTCCAGGAGCAGCAGCAGTTGTACGTGCTGGCCACCAGGCTGCTGGGCGTCGCGCTTGTCACTGAGCCGCTCAGCGACCACGATATAGAGGCCATACTGTACATCTCGCTGTACAACATCGCACGCAAGCCCAAACAGTCCGAGTTCGACAGCTGGCTGCTGTCCAGCATCGGTCTGAAGCATATCATAATTTCCATCGACTTGAAAAATATCAGCCGCCGTGTGGGCATGAACATCTTCAACGAGGTCGACCTGTTCCATCTGCGTATCTTCAACTCCATGTGCTCGTGCCATTTCCAAAATTCGATCGGCTACGCCAGACCCATCATGCTCACGTCCACGTATTATGACCTGTTCGATCTTACGCTCAAGTTCCCCAAAGCCACGCTCGGCGACGCCATCAAGGTCGCCGAGATTGAGCTCTATCTGGGACTCTCGCGCGGACTCACCAGCTCGCCGCTCTCGTACTATGTGGACGGCGAACTGCTATGCTTCCCTGAACAGCAGGAATGGAAGCAGAAATGGTCGAAGGTCATCCAGAAAGACGTCTCGCAAATGCTCACTTTTGCATACAATTTCTCGCACATCATGCTGGCCAGGAAGCTCGTCGAGAAACCGGATGAGAGCAGACCCGAGCTGCGCGTCTGCTACAGCACGGCGTGCCAGTACTCGTTCGAGACGCTCAACCGGTTCCTTCTGTTGTCCAATAACCTCGTCAAAGGCTCGCCGTCGTTTCAACTCAACCTAGTGGTGTACGCGTGCATCACTTTGTGCGACTATCTTGACACCATGGGCGCGGACGAGCGCAAGATGTCGCTCAATTTAATTTCCAAGATTTACTGGCATCTCAACAAGGTTGGCGAGAAAATGAACGACGCAACAGACACCATCGCCAAGATCGTGCGCAAGCTCGTCGACATCGCCAACGAGACGCATTCCCAGACCCCGAAAGCGCGGAACTCGTCCCAGAATAGCGAGACACTGTCCGTTGCAGATTTGCCCCAGCAGGTAGCCGAACAGCTGTACAGCGCCGCCGAGTCGTACGCCTTGCCCAGCCACGCAGAGCTGCGTCTGCCCGACGTGGCTGCGTTCGACAATTTTGAGGACTTCTTCAAAGATCTCTTCGACAGGTAGCTTGCTGCTCCGCCCCAGGGGAAAATAACCCAGGCTGTGCATCGCTTAAAATATTTCCTTCCTGCTAGGTAAATCTAACCCTTTAAATATATTGAGATCTCAGACCCTCCGCATAAGAGACCTTTATTGCACACAAGCGCATTGGACCGGCCCTTTTTCTGTACTGAGCGCTCTTCTTTTGCACCTGATCGGCAATGGACTGTCCGTCTCCACGTAGTCTGCCGCAGAAACAGGAGCAAACCGAGCATGATCTGTTGCGCTCGCACTATCCCGAGCCCTATGCGGCCATGTATCCCGCTCCTGCGCTGTCGGAGTCGCCGTGCTCGTCCGAAACACCTCCAGCATATATTTCGCCGCACGTGCAGGCCCAGCACTCGGGCCCTGATCCGCAGCAGACGAACCAGTTCTCGTTTGTGCCGTACGGGCGGCGAGCAGCGCTGGATTCGTCCACCAGTCCGCCGCCACAGAAATGGAAGCTCCCGCGCGCGACGCTGGAGCAGAAAATCCGAGTCCTTGATTGGCACCACCAGAGCAACAAAAAGAGCCAGCAGCACACCGTGAACCATTTCAAGAGCTTGGGCGAATTTTCAATCACCAAAAGCACGCTCAACCGATGGGTTTTGAGCGAGCCGCAGCTGCGCGAGGTGTACCAGAACCTCACTCTGAACAACAGCAAGGTGTTCAAAACACGGCCGAGGCTGAAAAACCCGGAGATCAATCGGTGTTTGGAAATACTCTATGCTCAGTCGTGTCTGGAAGACCGGCCTCTGAGTGAGAAAAGTTTGATTTCCAAATGGTCAGATTTCTACAACCTGTGGCATGGGCTTGGGGACTCGGGCAACGCCAAGATGCCGCCCAAGTCTAACGGTTGGCTGCACCACTTCAAGAAAAAAAACTCTGTGAAGCGGGAATTGGCCAAGGACTTTTACCAAGACCGGGAGCTATTTCGATGGAAACATCTGGACGAGGAACAGGACCGGTTACGAGCGCTGCTGGAACCCTACAGTCCGAGCCAGGTATTTGAGATCGACGAGGTCAGTTTCAACAGCAGGCTGTCGTTTCTGACTGGCGAGATATCGCAGAAAAACGAGCCCAGCTCGCGAGTCGTTGTGTCTTTTATTGCCAACTCGGACGGAACCAAGATTTTCGAGCCTCTGATTGTCTCAGATACCCCCGTCACCAAGGACTCGTCCAGCCCCAACGTGTTCTACCACAAAAATGGCCTTCTGACCACAGAGATATTTTACAAATACATGCTGCACATCGACACGCTGCTGGACACTGAGGCAGTCATTCTGCTGGACACTCTTCACTCGCACATCATTCCCAAAACCGCGTTTAGGAACATCAGATTGGTTTACTTCTCGCCCAACATCGCGGAACCCAAATACACGTACCGTCCCCTGGATTTTGGGCTAAAAAGAATATTCAAGATGCTGGTCAAGTCGATTATTTTGTCGAGGTTTGCCCAGTCCGTGTCCAAGCTGGACATCATCAACGCCATTGGCATCGCTATGAACACCATCAGACAGCATCCGTACACCGTCTCGAGCTTCCATCGCAGCCAGCTCATCCCGCAACTGGTAGCAGACCCGGATGTTGTTTGCAACGACAGCAGGAAGGAGAACGAGCTTCTCCATTTGCTCAATCTGTACCGTGTCCGTGGTCTGATTTCAACGTCTTTTTCGATGAGATGCCTTCAGAATACGGGACGAGACATCGATTTGGAGGAGCTGCTTTTCCCGCAGGACGAGGAGGTGGAAAACGAGCATTTTACAGACCAAGATATTATCGCGCTCGTGAAAAGAGAGCTCAGCCACGAGCCAGAGGAGACGCTAGCCGAACCCCACAACAACGTGTCGCAGCACAGCATTGGCCCGGAATGGTACACCCCTACAAACTCAGACGCTCGCGAGTCCTCGGAAGCTGCCAAACTGTTTCTGGGTCAGCAGAAATATCCAGACTTTGCTGAGCAGTACCATATTTCTGCGAGCGAAAACGGGTCGAAAAGGCGCCGGATCGGTTCCTTGGGGATAGACGGCCAAGCGACTATTTCCAACGTAGAATAACAGTATAGATAAAGCATCAGCGGGCAACCTCAAAATGGGGTTTTCACTTTCAGCTACCTAAAAAAACACTTGCACACGACCTTTGCTCAAGATAAAGAAGGAGACTTTTGTTTCCAAGTGTCTTGTACAAACAATATTTTCTCCTCATAGCGACAGCGGGATCATATTGAGGTCTAACTTTGTTTCCCAGGTGCAATACTTCTGATTGCTCCAGCGGCTTTGTTTTGCAGAACCCATCACCCAGTGGAGCTTGTACGGCTTCCTTCATCGACACAGCTGTTGATCTACGCTTTCTTTGGAGCGCTCTTCGCACTTCTACTGCCTAGACAGGTCTGGAATTGTACCCACGATCCAATTGGAGGCTTTTGGCTCATTCGTTTCTATCCCGCCTTACTTTTCGATTGCATTTTCCCCCTTGTGCGCTCAAATCTTGTTGCCTCAAAAACTAGACAGCCAGATCCCGCACACAGGTGACATGGAATTACCTTATACTCAGCATCAGATTTCACCCACAAGGCGCCAGTCACATGTTGGTGCTCAACAGGACCCGTGTCCGCCAAAGAATGCACACTTGGGCTTACCGGCTGACTACACTAAGCTTGGTCCTGCGGGCCAGCACCAGATCTATTCCTTCAATGGACCAATGAATATCTCGCATCCATTTTTATTTGCTCTTCCAGGCTTATCTCAGCGCTACCCAATGGCACCACATTGGGGGGATGTTGGATTTTCTGCTGTCCCATCCCTGCAGCTTCCAAAATTTTTCAAAGACCCTCAACAGGAAGAGGCCACCAGATACAATTCTCCTGCTTATTCGGCCAACAGCTCAAAAACGGTGTCATCTTCTTCCAGTGCGCTTTTCAGCACTCAATTTTTGGGGCCATACGTCCCGCAGTCTTCGGCAGATTCGATCCAATCAAAGGCAAAACCGGCTAAATCTGATCACGGTTTTTTAGGCGAGATCTGCGACACAAATCTGATCGAAATCGCCAAGAAAAATATCCAGACTCCCTTTGATGAACTGGCCCATTCGGTGAAATTGGCAGAAACAAATCTTGCGCGCATTATTGGATCCAGCTCAAAACATTTTAGGGATAATCGTCATGCCGAGGCACACAAAAAAAGGCAGCACCAGATCCTGGCTATGGTTTTTCTGATAAAACGTGTACAGATCAAGGAATCTGCCGTGTGTCCAAGAAACAGGATATTCAACCAGTATGTGCAGCTGTGCCAGCAGTATGGAGTGCAGCCTGTCGTGAATGCTTCTTTTGGTAAACTTGTCAAGGCGCTTTTTCCAGGCATCAAGACAAGGAGGCTGGGAATTAGAGGTTCCAGCAGATACCATTACTGCGGCATAAAACTGGTAGGAGACGCTGATGAAGTTGAGTCCTTGGCGTCGACCACGTCGACGACTCCCACCACTGGGTCACCAGCCGCTGCTCAAGCAAACGAAATGTCTCCTGACACTCAATTCGATCTAAGTTTGGAGGACACTTTCCTCAACAGGATGACCATCGAGGAACCGGATCTCGGAATCAGTAATATTGGCAGCATATTCCATTTTTTTGACTCTGCTGAGCAGAAAGAGCTGAAAGAGATTGAAAATTATTACGCAGCTCACTGCCGCAAGGTTTTGCATTGCATTCGATTCATGAAAATCAAGACTCTGTTCGAAAGCATGTCTTCGGATTTCTCAGGCTTATCCATGCATGCGAAAAGTCTTTTGTCTTCTCCCCATGTGATTTCATGGATTTTGGGGTGCGACAACTCGCTATACATAGCATGTATCAGATTGTTGTCCAAAATGATATTTCAAAATGTGCCTGAGCCTGTCTGCGTTCAGATGACCAGATTGAATACCTACTTCATGAAGTATGTTAAGGAGATGATGCTTCCAAATGACCTTATCCAGGCGAAACTTCCTGGAGCTGAGACATTTGTAAAGATGACCTCTCGGCTGACTAGGGTGATGCTGGCAGGCCACAATTGTGTCAGAAACCTTTGCCAGCCATCAGTTGTGCTAGAGCTACTTCAAGATTGGGAAGCGCTAGACGTTAGGGAGATTGTCAAACGAGAGATCAGATGCCAAAAGCTGGAAGAAATTATAGATGTTTTGCAACACGATATCACAAACGTTTTCCGCGAGGTTTCTGCTCTCACCCTTCACAGCCAGGAGACTGAAGACACTATCATTCAGACGTTGAGCACAAGAATGTCGAGAATACCTGAAAAGTTTGTTGATGTGAGCCCGCAGACGTTTCTGTTGATCAGCAATCAGTTGGCCGACTCGATAATGAGACAACTGACTCTTGACAACCGTAACCATATTGTTGTCTGGTGGGGGCTGAGCTGCTGGCTCAATGAGTTTTTTATTTTCCTTGCCGAGCTTGGAGGTTACAACAAGCTTGTTGCTGATTATGAGAGTCCGAGAGAGTAAGATCTGGCTGTGGGTCTACATTCACTCACAATTTAACGAGATTTTTAGAGTTCCGGCAACGGTCCGGAAGGTGTGGAACATTTCTTCTAGAGTTGTTATATCCTTGCATTATTGTTCCAGGCCAATTTGCATCAAACGTGCTTGAGTAGTGAAAGCACTAGTTTGTAATCCATATAGAAATCATTTTTTTAGAGCAGGCCGCGAAAAAGGGCAAAAAAAAAAAGGATCTCCTGGCGGGATAGTAATCGTCACAAATGGAGGACAGGAACTTATTCAGGCAATCATTGGAGTACAATAGAATCAGAAATGCTATCAAGAGGGTTTCAGAGCAATCTTTGTGCCCAATTTCCCAGCACTATGGTTATTTGCCGCAACATCTTAATATTAAGAATCCCTGCCAGAGAGGAAATGCCGAGCGTGGTATAATACTCAAGCAGGGTTTTGATCCTGGAGATGTCATATACGACTTCCATCCAAAACTTGAGGTGGCTGAGACCAATCAGAGCTCAGAAAGTGCTGACAGTAAAGACAATTTGTGTGCACACTGTTTGAAGAGTCTAAACATATCGAAAATGGGAGTTGAGTGCGGTGGGTGTGACGGGTTCGTTAAATATTGTTGCGAGCAGTGTATGGTGGCAGATTTGGCAGTTCACATGATTGAATGTTTGTACTTGAGAAGCTTTGATTCTGAAGAGAGGAACAAAATATCCTGTGTTGAGCGCCTTATTTTGAGACTCATTATCACGCTCGGAAGTGACGACACGCTGGTCCGACAATGCCAGGATCTTACATCGCACCACGAAGTTTACTTAGAGGCTAAAAAGAGCCAGGACTTTAGCAATTTAAGCCTGAGTCAGCAATCTCTATGTGAAGTAACCGAAGCCTACTCACTGGGATTTCTCCGATTCTTCGGCTGCCACCTCCAAGGCCTAATCAAGTTGTGTTTTGTTGTTTATGTGAACTCAACAGTTTTGCAAAATTATTACGATGAGCCCATTGGTATCATGTTTGACCCATTCTTTTCGTTGATAAACCATTCGTGCGAGCCAAACACCATTCTAGTGTGGAAAGGACGCAGAGCAGCACTGAAGGCGCTAAAGAAGCTACAACCAGGAGAGGAGTTACTGGTCAGTTATTGTCCCGTGTTTATGCCCAAGAGTGAGAGAGAACAGCAGCTACAAAACAGCTTTTTTTTTGACTGTGGTTGCAGCACATGCACCCTAGATTATGATTTGTGGTTTCCTAGCAACACTCTAACTGGGGGCATGAAGTGGGAGACTGACAAGCTGGATGGGAAAATGATCAATGGCACAGAAGCAGAGAGGATAGCCTATCTAGATTTAATGAAGGGACTTCGAGATGTCTACTGTCCCGAGGAGAAGAAAGGAGCCAAGATCATGCACAACATCGCAACCTCATTCAGACAGCTGGAGACACCAGAAAAATCAAATCTAAGCACGCTAGTTTACAAAAGCGTGCACCTGGTCCCCCGTCACAGCTGGCCAGTGTACAAAATCATGTGTCTTATGAAAGCAAACACAATCAACGATCCTGTGGCCAACTTGCGGTTTACTATGTTGACCATCGATATAGAAAATACAATAGAGCAGCATCTGAGCTACAAAGCGTCACTTGGATTGGGTCTTTACGAATTGTCTGTGTGCCTGCTGAAGGTGATCAAGGCAAAAAGACGGGAGGAAGTCGACTGGAATCTTGATATGCTAGTGGACTCCACCTTAGCATTGGTATTACAAGCCCACAAGCAGTTAAAAACCAAGTTTGGGTCCTCTTCGCTGCCGCCGTTGGCGGACCTGAAAAATGTTGTATCCGATTTAAGGAGTCTGAAGAGCATAGATGTAATCAACGAGGCCCAGGCGGGCCAGAAATTGGAGGAGTTGTCGCAGCTACTACAGTGTGGAGTGAACTTAGTGTCATTTTACGAACCGTTGACCCCGCAAGACGTGGCAGATTTCAATTTAATTTTGGAATCAGAGGCGGTGTGTGCCAGGCCTATTAAATCTAATTTTAGATGGCTGCTACAGATCTGACACTATCAAAAGAATTGAAGAAAAAAAAAATCAAATCTGGCTGTACCACCCCAAGTCACACCTCCCACCGCTTTAATAGCTTACAATCACAGGAGGGAAAATCACTTTTTAGTCTCTCAAGGGTGCATTTGAGCTGTTCATGGTGAGATTTATAGACCGGAAGCGGCGCTTGTACTCCGCAGCTGCTAGTCATCAGTACACAAACTCCACTACAAGCTCTCTCGACTCCAAGACAATACACTTTAGCCATGAGCTCACTCAAGAGCCAAGTCGCTCTACAAAGCCCACAGCCACCCACTCTCTACGACATACAACCACAAGGTACTCTTCTTACTCAAAGCTATCAGCCTCAAGGATGCCGAGCGGGGTGTCTGTGTCCTCCACCTCATCTGATGATACCACATACACGAGTGTTTCCAGAATTTCGAGATGCTGTTCCGCTAGCACCTTCCAGGAACTGGAAGTTACCACATACGACTACACGCAGTTATTTGTGGTCACTGATTCTGACACCACATTCACGACTAACGTCCACCTCACCACAGAAACCACATTCGCCCCTACGTCCTCCTTTTCCATATCGAGCGCAATTATTACAACGGACGCCAACGCTTTTAGCAAGTTTCTGGGCCTTCATCGTGCCTCAGCTCACCACTCCGTCCTCTCCACGGGAGCAAAGGCGGGTATTGGGGTAGGCGTGGCAATTGGATTCCTTATGGCCATGGGCTTTGTGGTACTGTCTCTGTACCGTAGGAAAAAGAAAAAGCAAGCGTTTGGCGGAGAGTACGTCTGGGATTCAGTGTCAAATGGTTCTATTCGCAATGATCACCAAATGCAGATGGCTCCTCTCCCACCACCTCCACGAAAAAGAGTCGTTGCTGCCTTGGAAGCCACGCCGCGCGAGCGACTAATCGACGTGCTTCACGAGAACTCTCAAGAAAGTCTGGACCAGCAGCAAGAACAGCGGACAGGTACCAACACGACACCAAAGCGCTATGACACCCACATTCAAAACTTGACCAAGTTCAGGGAAACGAGCGTTCAGGACGTTGGAGACACCTTGGGCTCTTTTGCCCTGCGCGATGGCCAGCTCAGGCCCCAGACGTGGTGGTCGGACATTGAAAGCAGCGAAGATAGCACTTTGAGCGGAAGCACAACGAGCGGAAGCGTACAGTCTGTTTAGTTTTGCCTCCATATCATAGCTACAGATCAGTCTAGCAATATGCGTAAATTCTTGCTAACGTAAAAACCATACCTTACTTTGCCCATCCTTATCCTACCTGCCTTCTAGCATCATAAGTCATAACTACATTTCCACCTCCTCCAGCAAGGCCCTCTCCACCACAAAGCGGCCCTCTTTATATTTCTCCTTGTCCTCCTCGCTGTAAAGGTATTTCCATCCAATCGAGCAATTGCATTGCTTGCAGTCAATCACTTTGACCTCGTAGCGTCCGGTCTTCATTCTCTTGAACTCCCTGGCCTTAGCAAGTTTGACGTTGAGTACCTTGGAAACGAAATACGCAGGCCCTAGACTCCCGTTGAAGTTGTCCGAAATTATCAAGGAGCTGAGACATATGTGGTTGTGGCACTTTCTGCAACGCAAAATTCGGGTAGAAGGGTAATTCTGAGACGTTTGAGGTGGCAAGCTGCCCGAGCCGGAGGAGATTGAGGATTTCGGCGAATAAAGGGACGAAAACGTGGACCGGGACGACCTGGATGACACGGAAGAATTACGTGATGCCGGAGTCGAGTTGTCTGTAGGGTTGGATGTCCTAAAATGTTGAGCGTAGACCAGACCCATGAGGAGGACACAATTAACCTTTAATTAAGATAAGCAAATGAGTCGATCGTCCTGGAGACTATATCGACTGTTGCGGGTTATGACTAATCATAAACTATTTGTCGCTTTCAAATATCAGAGCTAGATAAACACGTTGTGACCTGTATCCAGCGTAAAAAGAGATTTGCCAACTAATAATGTCTTTCAACTCCAGATAATCCTCGTATTTTATGTTGCTCCCCTTAATATCCTAGGTGTGTGGTGTGGGTAAAAATATTTTCGAGTAATTGGTTTTTTGTTTCAATCGTTCAAGATGTTCCGTGTGGCCGCTCCACGTATATTGAATCCGCTCCGGCTTGGGGCCGGCTTGAGATTCAACTCTAGTGGGTCACTGTTTAACGAGGTCAGTTCTGCGCCAGCCGCTCCGCAACCTGTCGAAAACGAAACCACTGAAAAAATCACTACGCCGGAACAGGACGCCAAACTCCAGGCTTATTTGCATCCAGCGCCCTTCCTCGCCGTCGAGTCTCTTGTTTCCCCGCTCAAGCGCGAACTTTACAACATGAACGTCAAGAAAAACGGCTTCTTCATCAACAACCAAATCATGAAGCTCGATGGTGCCGAGTACAAGTTGTGTCTCAGCAGACAGGAGATCGAGGCTCTTGAGCCTTCAGTTTACTTAAGATCGTACCGAATCAAATCTTCGGTCAAAAAGACCAACATCGTGCTGCGTGCTCTGAAAAATATGCCTCTAAAAAAGGCCATCACTCAGCTCCATTTCTTGCAGAAGAAGGTGGCCAGACCACTTGCGGAGTTACTCGAGCGCGGTGTTGACGACGCCAAAAAAATGGGGTACAACCCTAACGATTTGTATGTGGCGGAATCATGGGTTCATACCGATGGACACTGGCAAAAACGGCCAGAGTTCAAGGGCCGTGGACGGTCTGGTGTCATTTTGCACCGCTACGTTAGCGTGCGCTTTTTGCTCAAATCAAAACAGACTCTGAACCGATTGAAGTTTGAGAAGGAGCAGAAATTGCTCAAGCGTCCAGTTTGGAACAATATCACAAAGACCAAGCTGATAGGTGATAGTGGACAGTACAAGTGGTAATGTGTAAATAGATTTAATAAATAAATAAATAAATATACCTCTTTTCAGTCGTCGTAGCCACTCACCTTCTTGCGTGGGCCCTTGGGGATGGGATAGCCGTCTAACGGAAGAGGAGCAAGGTCGTCGTACAGAAACCTTCGCCGCAAGGGGGTAATTGTCACAAGCATAGCAGGTCCCATCGCTGCTATGCACCCTGCGAAAAACAAATGAGGCCTGTTGTGAGCGTGGTATCTCAGCCACTTATTGTTAGTGTGCCATCTTCATTTACACTTACCCTAATTGGCTCTTTATAGTAGACCGGATAGGACATGGTTCAAGATATATTTCTCCGCACCTAAATATTTTTGCGTCGATCGGCCTACTTTTTCTTCATGGCTAATCCTCCAGTCAAGCCCATTCCAGTGGTTATGGAGCCTTCTGGCTACCTAACTAGAATGCTCAAAATAAACCAAGGAACAGACTATGTGCCTCCAGAGGACGCTGCAGCTCCAACATCCGAATCTCACACCAAATTCTATCTATACAAGTTCGACGAGTCGTCGCCGAATGGACAGAAAATCCCTCTAATAAACTCCAAATCATACTACACAATAGGCAAAGATCCACAGACAAACGACATCGTCGTTGCAGATGAGCTTGTGTCGGCCAACCACGCCGTTCTTCAATTCAGATCCAAGAACTCTGAAGTTACTGCTTATATAATCGACCTTGATTCCACCAATGGAACCTTCATCAACGATCACGAGCTACCGCCCAATCGTTACGTCCAAGTTCTCCACAAAGATGTCTTGCGGTTTGGAGATCCTGAATCGCAAACAGAGTTTGTTTTTATTCGTGATTGAGGAGGAAGTTGTCCTCGCTGCCTTTACCCCAGTGTCCGATGGCCTCGCGCGCGAGTTTCTTACATGCGCTCACACTTGCACAGTTCTTGAGCTCGTTGTAGTCTTTGAATTTGTGCGGTGTAAGCCTCAGTGCTAATTCTGCCAATTTCTCTCTCGAAACGTCGCTCTGGTGTTGGTATTGGATACTTTTTTTTGCTGGACACCCATTTCTGACTCCCTTATTCAGAACCTGTATATACGACCGCGGCGGACAATATAGTATCGATAGATTTGAGGGTGTACTGCCAGTGAATGGACATGGCAGGTCTGAAGCCAGTACCTTGAGCGGATGATAATATGAAGAGAGCTCTGGTGGCATCTTTATTCGATCACAGAAACAACGCTTTATTGCAGTCTGATTGATCTTCTGTTTCGGCAGAACTAGAAAGCTCAAGTAAGGCGGATCATCCACCAGATCGTAAACGAGACTGCTGAGCATTGAGGTGAATTGTTTGAGACACAGCTTGTCGGAACAGGATTTAGAGTACGAGACAGGGGAATCTTTTCTCCCAGGTTTTGTGCGCACGCTTCCCAGTCGACTCAGGCCATTGCGACCCCTCAGTGTGCCCCCGGTCTCCTCTAAGCTATGCCAGATTGTCTGATCTGCAAATGAGTCTCGCAAATTCTCGGTGGACGCATCTCCACAGGGAACTTCACTAATGTACAAAGCAAACTGCGAATCGTGCTTAAATTTGAATTTTTCGGTGCCATGCTCTCGAATGAGCAAGTTTGAGACGCTGTTTTCTCTTATAGCGTTCATTTCTTGCAGCACCAACCAGTTGAACAGTCTCAAGCATAAGATCTCAGCATGTAAATCGTGAACCAGTCTCCCTTGGCTGTGCTCTACTCTCGAAGCTGGCATGACTTTCATTCCTGTACACACTACCAGTACTTCTAGTCGGGGGGTTTTGCCAACTTTTTGCCTTTTCGTTTGGTCAATTGGGCGATTATTAGACTCTATGCTGACCAAACCCGCTAATACGGTCGTTTCTGTGTCTTTTGGCCTCGCATTTCGAAAGTTGTGTAAAAGCTTGTTCTCCAGCTTTGATGGTCGTCGGTACTCGTTAATGACCGCCTGAGCAATAGCGTTGCCCAGATCATCATCCAGATCAACAAGCATGTAGATCGAGCTAAAAAAAAATATCAAAAGGCTAAAAAATTGCGTAAACCCGGAATCGAACCGGGGGCTCGTCGATGGCAACGACGAATTTTACCACTAAACCATTTACGCCTTTTTGTTATCAAGTTTCTAAGCAACTAGTGTATATTCTGTTTAGATTTTAGAGATCGACCTTGTACTTGTCCTCCTTTTGGAAACCATTATAGTGTGCTTTTTTCGTATCTATGTCGAGCTCAGTATCATACAAAGGCGTTCGATTCATACGCAAATTGTGGGGATCTACCAAGCATAAAGTTCAAATTTATTAATATTTAAAATGCATGCTTTTTATTTATGGAATGTACACATAATTGTCGGCCTCCCTTGCAATATAGTCTTCATTGATAAGCTTCTCAAGGACACTCTTCACAAAAACGACAACATCTTTCTCGTAAATCTTCTGCTGTTTCATGTGATCCAATACCAGCAGCATCAGCTTGTCATGAGCAATTCTTTGCGTTGACTTCAATGTGCGCACAACAAAGGCCTCTATCTTCGAAGAAATCCAGGCTCTTGATGGCAATTCCGAAGACTGCGGCTCAACAGGTGATGCGCTTTCTGCTAATTGGATCGGTAGTCTGAGAGTTTTTTTAGAGCATCTAAAGTTCTCATTTATTCGATAATCAGTTTCTTGCACTAAAACAGGGAATCTAGAGCTTGACATGACGTTCAAGTTCTGTGTCACAAATTTATTACTCATTCCCGTCTTGAGCTTTATCTGATCAAATGAAAGAGATGCATGGTCTTCGAAAGCCAAAATGATTGCAGCTTGGTATAGAGTACACTCAATGGTTTGCTTTCTAGCTTTCTTTTCGTCAAACTGTACATCAAGAGTAACTCTATGGAAATGAAACTTCCATTGGAGTTTCCGTGATTGGTACTGTGAACGGTAGAATGTCTCGTATTCGTGCAACAACGGTTGCAATTGGGAAGGAATTATCAACGGCTGGTTTTCCGGGACACGAGGCCAGCAATTAGAATCGACACAACAGATATCCATATCAACAGAGCCCAATGCAGAATGTTTGTGCACATCATGGAACTCAGGCAAATCCAGTTCCGAAAGCTCAACGGATTCCACCATGGAATCTAACTGATCAGTATACTCGCGGCCGCACATATTCTTGAGCTTGTTCAAAAGCTCTCTTTCGAGCTCCAGCCACTCCATTTTGAGCTCCCTATTGAGGAAAAAGGACTCACCTCTCAGCAATCTCCGGGAAACCTGAATCTGGTATTTGTCAAAAAAATATCGTCTGCTTGATGGAATCAATATCAGAATTGTCGTAATGGAGTCTTGTGGATCCAAGCGGGAAAGCTGGTAAATGCGGCCAGATCGGGATTTTCTGTCCAAGTCCTGTAGCGAGGGCTTTCCCAATGTTGTTTCGATATGCTTTAAGAGATGGTCGCAGATATGTATAGGACCATTTGGGATTTGCTGGATGGCATTCACAAAAATATTCTTTGGTATTGCATTTTCCTTTCCGAAGGTCTGTACTGCATTGAAACAGAGCCTTTGATATAGCTGAACTATATCTGCTATCAAACCTTTATCCCTTATATGTTGACTTATGTGACTGCGATATAGCTTGATGCTATATTCTTCGATAGATGACAAAAGCCACGATTTCTCCTCATCGGCGTAGAGCTGAACGAGTTTCGTTGAGACTTGAACGTTCCAGTCAAACCCAAAACAGGCATGCACCACACGAGGATTAGCCGCAAGCACAGAACTTCCGAGCAGGGTCTCTAGCAGGTCGTTGGAGGAGAAGTCAGCAGGCAAAAATGGCTTAAATATATCCACGTATAAGGGGACGATTTTCTGGTACTCAATCGCTTTAGGGAGGTACGACTCTGGGGACTGTAAGAGCTGATTTCTGATGCTAACAAAATTCTGATGCGTGGCTTGTTTCATCACTTCAAACAGATGAAGTCTGCTCTCACCATGCAGCTCAAGCTGAACATCGTGGATTTCGGTCACCATTTCTTTCAATTGATTAGACTCAGGAGTAGGACTTACCAGGCCGTACATCATATCTTTAATAGCAAGAAGTACTAGCGATCGCAGTCTGTTCTCAGACGGATCCGCTAGCCGAACCATGTAATCCTTGGGTTTGTTGGAATTCAGCACTCGGGACGCGAAAAGATCAAGTCCAAACGGTATGAACCTGATCTTTTTCCTGTTTGGCAGCCGTAAGGTTGAGGACTCATCGGGCATAATCAGAAGCATGTGGAGTTCTCGGAGACGTTGTCGCCACATTGTGTACGTTTTACAACAGCCTGCCAGAGGATCATCAGACTCTATGGCTTCTTTCACCAGGGGGAGCATGTGTGTGTCAAATACGTTAGTGATGCGATCATAGATGCTGCTAACCCAAGTCTTGTCCATGTAAACAAACATACAAATCGACTGAAGGAGAGACAATGAACAGGGAAGATCATATGGCGAACGGCCCGTTAGAATCACGTCAATTGCCTTGTCAAGCTTATTGATTATATCTTTCTTATGGCCATCTGTGACACTCACTTGATCCACGGGTGAGTCGGGTTCGTAGCTGCGTTTGCGACTTTCAGTAAAGCCAAACTGCAGGACTTTTGGGAACTCAGACGCGAGAATCACACCTTCTCCCCACTCATTCATAGACATCTAAAAGAGTAAAATACTATTACAATACTTAAGACATTATCTAATATCCAATCTGGTTGGTACACGTAAATTGGAGTTAACTTTCCTTAGGGTTGAAAATTTCGGGAGCAGCATTTATAAGTTCTTCAACGACTCGCTGCTGCACTGCGAGCTCGTCACGAGAGGTGTATTCGTTCACAAGCAGGTTGTTGAACCAGACTATGCTCAGATTTCTCACGCTCATGCGCACTCTTGGAATTTGGCTGAGCTTGATAAAATGGAAGAGCAAGTCACGAAGTGTAAAGTAATTAGCGTCCGGAAGCTCGAAAACAATCCGATGGAGCTGGATGTGCATCGTTGCAGCATCCTCGATTTGGCCGGCCTTGAAGAAATTGCCGCTTTGCTCCTTTGTCAACAAGGGGTCAGGTAATTCTGCAAAAAACACTTTGAGAAGCGACGCTATCATGTAAACGTAGTCGTCAGACACATTAGAAGGGTCTGGAGGATCCAAAATACTCAGATTTGAAGGATCCTGGTCGATTGCGTATTTGATCTCCTCCAGTTTGAGTTTGTTCGGACTGGATCGATAGATACCTTCAGAGTTGGAGCCGTAAGTCTCAATTAGGTTGATACACTTTTTGACGAATAATGGAACCATCTCCTCGTCGTGAGGGAGACTTTCGATTGGCTGTCCAAATAGTAATCCTGAATAAGCAGGAGTGGCGGTATTTGTAATGGACGAGGAGTTGTTTCGCATTTCTGTGCTGATAGGACGCGGTCCTGCCAGGACTGCAGGAGCCGGCGACGCCGACAATGCTGAAGAGTTAGCAGGGTCCAGCGTTGAGTAGTTTGCTAAGGAAGAATTTGGCGGCTCGGGAACGGGTATGAAGGACGGAGACCCAACTGGCGGCGTGGCGGTCTTGTTTGTAGTAGCTGAGGGTGGATCCAGTTTAGAAACATTATTAGACACAGGTGGTGTTGCTGGAACGCGGAATTGATGAGTAGGCTCTGACTTGAACAAGGGATGTTTCTTATACTCGACAGGCACAAAGGATTGTTTTTTCTCGACTCTGGAGCCTTTCAGATAGTTGTAGAGATTTTGTTCCGGATTGACCGATGCAGCGACAGTTGCCATTGAGGAGTGATTGGCTCCCAGTGGAGCCACCTGGTTACCCAGGCCAACAACAAAAGATTCGTTATAAGCAGCGTACTTCTGCAACTGAAGCTGCAAAGCCGTGTCCAGCTCCAGAATGAGGTCCTGGAGCTTCTTGGAAAGTCTCGGTCTATGTGTATTCACCAGCTCGTTCTTCAACTTCTGGGAGGCGTTGGCCTTGGCATTATAGTCCTGGTCGGCAGCATTGATTTTTCGCACCAACTCCTCTTCTTGTTGTGAGCCTGTTTTACGACCTTGGAGTGTTATTTTTTTCTGGGATTGGTCCGATTGCCTCAGCCTTTCCAGGTCGGTACAGAGCGAAAAGTACCTGTTTTTAGATTTTTCCGCCTGGCTTATGGCGTCCTGGACCTCCTTTTCGCGCTTGTGACCTTCTTCCTTTAGCTGTTTCCGCAGCCGCACGAATGTCGCAGACACGGATGTCAGCTCGTCCTGCATTTTCTCCAAAGCCTTGGCGTATGGAGACCGCACGTCAACGAGTATCCTGTCGTCAAATGATATAATCTTGTCCAGGGACTCAACAAACGACCCTTTGGAGACAGACGTGTTGGATTTGATGGAGGACTTGCAACTTGTGACAGCCCGCTTAACGTCCCGAGCATAATTTTCTTCATAATTCTGTTTCCGCTTCAGATAGTTGGCAAACTCGTCGCACGCCTTGACAGATTGTTTGAGTCTTGCCAGGAGAAGGTCCAAGGCAGAGTCAGAGGCAAGAATCTCGGCAATTGCTGGCTCTTGCAGAGGAGACGGAGCGTCGGTGTTGGTTGTCATGAGTATAGATGGATCAGAAAATAACAGCAAAAAAATGGCAGTGGAGGTGCCGATGTGGCTTGTCAGGGACACAATTAGTGGCTGTGAATAATATTACCAGGATGACAATAATCGACCTCCACTATAGCAGGAAGCCTAACCAGCTCAGACATGGTGATGCGTCGCAAGGGATCGACCTCCAGCATTGGGAGCACAATGTGCTGGAAGTCGGCAAGATCGTCCGACACATCATCAACACTCTGACTTTTGCTATATAATTGAAAGGCCTTATCGTACCAGACGGCCTCTTTCCACCGTGTCCGGTGTCCAAGAAGCTCGACAAAAACCACCCCCAAGGACCAAACATCGGACTTGAAGGAATCGTAACGAAGGTCGCGCAAAACCTCAGGAGCCACCATTCCTTTACTGCCTGCCACCCCAACGCCTTCATTTCCGTGTATGGACGAGCCAAAGTCGATGAGCTTCAAAATACCCTCGCGTGTAAGTCTGCAATTGGCCAGCTTCAAATCTCGATGGCTGACATTCTGCTCCTGCAGATACAACACTGCCAAGGCTAACTGTTTGAAAAGACAGAGTTGATAATCGACGTCTAACTCTTTTCGAGAAATGCTAAGCTCACCAGGCAGGTATTCCATCACATAGTACGGCTTGCCTCTCATGACAAAGAAATCGACGTAGTCAACAAGATTATGGTGTCTGGGAAGAGACTGGTGCAGATGGACCTCTTTGCGTACTCGGTCTAAATATTCTCTTTTGGACTCTCTTTCGCGCCTTGCGATTTTCTTGATTGCAAACTGTCCATCCTTATGGACGTACAAGTACACTCTCGCGGTGGTTCCGGAGCCCAATTGTCGCTCGGAACGGCCGTATCGCCGTGGAAACAACAACGGCATCTGATCAAAAAGTGTTCCGTGCAAGGATGTTTCTGACCAGGGCGGCGATCAGCCTTCGCTTTCCGGTGAGAAGAACGCATCCAAGCATTGCAAAGGTGGTCAATACGAGTACGCAAATCGAGGACCGAACATTAAAAACTTCGTATGTACTATTCACATGTAAAACTGGGTGTATTTATAAGCATAGTATGCCGAGGAAGCGGCTCCCAAGACGGTGAGCGAAGCCGGGACAGGCTTGAACCCGACTTTCAGCGATCTGCTGATACCCGCTCCGCACAAGACCGCTGAGGTGGCTAGTGCAGTATGGATTCCCCACTCCATGTTATTCTTGAGCAGATAGCCAGCAGTGAAATACAAAGCCGACATCGACACACCAGCAATGAGACTTGGCATTGATCTCTTTCTGGCAAAGCCCATGGCTCCACCAATCAGACATAGACCTCCTAGAGTAAAACTTGGGTGTTCCTGCAAGTTAGTGTGGGTTGGGTCCAAAATCAAATGAACGTACCATTTCTCGTTAAACTTAAAAATAGTAAGAAAATAGTGGTGCAAGTAGGATTTTATAGAACAAATAATTCAGAGCTAAATAGATCAAATCGCAAGTTGGGGTCACAATTGATATACAAGGCTTTCAGCTAAAGAGGGAAGTACCAGAGCTGGTAACGCATGAGCTCGCGGACTCTTTTTGCAGATTACGCAGGCCAAAAATGCTATACCCTGATTGAGTCGGATATGGAGATAGATGCGATTCTGGAATCCGCTGAAGATGCCGCATTACATTTCCTAAGCGGAGAGACTGTTGCGAAGGCTGATAAGTTGGACTCATTGCAGTTTACAGTTACGTTTGTGTGCAATGACGGGCAAGAGACATATCGGGGCAATTTTGATAGCAGTAGCAGCGAGCCTTCAGGAATTCTACAGGGTATGGAAAAGACGGTTTGGCTGCAATGGCTCAAGGAGGTGTTTTTACGAGGCGAATTTGATCTTGACTACGAATTTAAGGTGCTGGAAACAGAAAAGAGCAAAAAATTTGCAGTCACCAAAGACTTTCGAGGGGTGCCCAATCGAATATTCTTTGAGATAGAGTGTGATTTTGTGGATGGTGATTTGTTCAATCTTGGAGACGACATAGCCATCAAATACGAACAAGAGCTGGCGCTCAGGCGACGAATAAGACAGCTGACGTTGAAAAACGAGCAGCTGCAACAAGATTTTGAAGAATGCCAAAAAATCAATGAGTACCACGCTAGGTCTAGCCAACGCGTCCAGGATCAGATCGAGAAGGTTGTGATTCCGATGTTCAATGAGAAAAAAAGACTGTTGCGAGAGCAAAACAGGGTATCTGAATTTGAGCCGTTCGAAAGCATCAAAAAGGAGAATCTTATCAATTGGCAGCGACCCGACGCTCCCGTGAAGTTTGATTACAACGAAGAGCATAAAGACAGATACCAGCAAGAGATCGAGCAGATGTCCCCACGCAAACGTAAGCGAAAGCTGGTTGTTCGCGAGTCGACTCCGGACGACACGAGCGAAACACAGGACGACGACTCTACTATCTCGACAGACTCAACCAAATCGGATATGTAATAAAAACACTATGTACCTGCTTATTCGAGACCAGGAAGCTGTTTGAACACCTTGTCGGCAGCAGTAACATCAACCGGGGTGTTTTGAGGCTCCACAAATTCGGCAACCACTTTGTTGTCGTCGACTGCGAGACAGAACCGTTTTGACCGCACGTTACCGAAAATCTCAGTGGCGTCAAAATCCAGGCCCAATGCTTTGACAAACTCCGCCTTCGAGTCCGCAAAGAAGGAAACGTTTGGCGATTCAGGCTTCAGACCGAAACTGTTGCGCCAGGCACTCACCACAAATGGGTCGTTGACACTGATCACCACGAGATTTCTGTAACCTTTGGAGATAAAGTCCGGCAGCTTGTTGAGATAACCAGGAATGTGGACCTCGGAGCAAGGGCCCGAGAAGGCGCCAGGAACTCCGACAATAAGGGCCTGCTTGCCCTTCAATTCCTTCAAAATGTCGACCTTATCATCAGGGCCCTTTTCATACAAAGTTGCTGGAGGCAATTGATCACCAACTTTGATCGTAGACATTCTTCTTAGTCCGTATCCAAACAAATTAGCCTGTGCAGGGCGGAAGAGATTTCTGAGCATTTTATATTGCGATGGGAAAGGATACTCAGCAATCCAGCAATGCTAAAATAGTGGCAGAATTGGTTTAGAATTTAAATGCATAATGTTAAGGAAATTGTGGGGCGATCTAGTGCATATTCGTTACGTAATCAATCATATCGGCTCCGTCCACCTTTACAAAGTCCGGGACCCCAGTGCGAGAGGACACCACGCTGCAGATTGTATCGTGGGGGAGCAATTTGTAGACTGCGCGCTCGTCTGCGACGGAAATTTGCTGCGGAACGGGTGTTGGCGGCGAGACGTTTAGGAACTCATATTTCTGCAGGTTGCCGTGCAGCCCGACCCCTTTGAACTTAGCGTAGCTTTCTTTGAGCGCCCAATATAGCGACAGATACTGTTGTTGGGAACCTGGAGGAAGAGCGCTTATCGTCGCGTCGATCTGTTCTAGTTCCAAGTCCGAGAAAATCGGTCGAAAATGAACCAGAAACTCGCGCGGGTCGCCCACGTCCTCGGGATTCGCAAGATCAATCCCAATTTCTGACACACCTTGAAAATCGATCGCCACAGCCACTATATGCTTTTCGTCGGAATGATTAAACTTGAATTTTGAGTTTTCAACGTACGGCTTGCCAAGGTCTCCCGTCTGAAAAGCAAGCGAGTGCCAATTTTCGGCCGACCAGTTATTCTGTAGCAATACGTAGCGCACCAACAAAGCCCCGATCATTGACACGAGCCTGTCTGATGAATTTCTCTTTCGAAGGATCTTTGCCTGATCCGCCAACGGAAGAGTTCGCATGAGAAGCTCAAAACGGTAATCATCCCGAACTATGTGTCCGCAATCGCACAGGTCTACCCAAAACACAACAAAAGGGGCTGAGCCGCTAATACTCCCCGTCTCTTGAATCTTACACATGCTCAAGGTGTAAAAATTTTCTCAGTAAGACGGGGTGGGGGCCACGGGCCTGCTTATATGGCCGTCTCACAAAAGCTTGGATGTTTTTCAACTAAGCGGTGTTACCTGCTTGGAGCTGCCTGATCGCTTTGTTGTGATTTTTAAAGCCACCCGTGAATTTATTGTTGGTCCGTAGACCCTGCGCATACGTATTTATGGAAGTGAATGCATATTATTTTTAATTCACTCTATGTAGGCTTGGCTTGCCTTTCATATATAATCTGCAATTCTCTTTACGTGACAACCATGTCTTCCACTCTCTCTAATACCCTGGGCTACAGCCAGCTCGCCTCGATCCACAGTTCTCTCGAAACCGCGCTAGTCTCTGCTCAGGCAGCGTACACTTCCAACTCTTATGACAAGGACGCGGTCAGAACTCTGGGAAGAGTCAGCGCAGAGCTGGTCTACTACTCCAACTTAGCCGTCATGGCCACCGCTACTGATGACTCTGTGCGCATTTCTGCCAGCTCGCAGGCGCTGTCTGCCACCGCATCTATCGAGTCTATCATACTCGACTCTGAATACCTTGCAGGTAGAAAACCTTCAATCCCTGGAAACGCCGTGTTTTTCGTACTCATGTGCATCTTTCTGGGCTTCCACTTGTTCTATGGATTCTACACCAAACAACGGTGGTTTGGCATTTCGTGGTCTTGCGGTCTCATTTTGGAGTTGCTTGGATACCTTGCCAGAACTCTGCTGCACGACAACATGACCTCTTTCAGTCTCTATGTGATGCAGTTGACCGGGCTCACCATTGCACCTTGCTTCATTATGGCCGGGATCTACTATCTGCTGGCTCAAATTACCATCATCGTGAACCCTGCTCTGTCTCTGTTCAAACCCAGTCAGTACACCTACGTTTTTATTGGGTCGGACATTATTTCCATTCTTCTGCAGGCTGCGGGCGGCGGAGTCTCCGTTGCCAATGACTCCAGGAACTGGAAACAGGGCAAGGCTTTGCTAATTGCGGGCTTGGTGTTCCAGGTGGTCTCGATGACCTTCTTTCAAATTTGCTGGTACGCTTTCCTGTTTCTGTGGAGTCGTGAGCTCCGCAAACACGGGGAGAGTGGGCTTGAGCCTCAATATAGCGGGATTCGGGCCCGGAAAGCTTTCAAACTTTTTCCGTATGCGGTGAGCGCAGCAGTGATTTTTATCTACGTCAGGTCCATCTATAGAATTGCTGAGCTCGTCGATGGCTTCGATAGCAGGCTTGCCACCCATGAAGCATATTTCTTTCCGCTAGAGTCAGCAATGATGACTCTGGCGTTCATCCTGCTGTCTGTCCTGCATCCAGGAACCGCTTACGGTAGAGGCGTGGTTGTTGTAGTCGACCACAGCCTCCGGGCTGTGATTGGAAAAGAGAAAAAGGATGATCAGAAGGTGTACGAGATGGAGTTATAGCCGTGTATAGCGATGGAATACCCTATTCTGGGAATAATACTGGTACGGGCGTCAGCGTTTCGCATCTTGCCAAGCCTCCCAAGCCCTACAGCAGCTAAGATCTATTGTTTTCAATGGTGCGGCGTAAATATATACTGCGCGCCATTGTTTAATTTTTCAGTAGATTCGTCAGCTCGATTCAACCCTTACCTCCTATTTAAACACAAGGACACCATGATGGAAGCCCATTCTCCTCACAATGTCTTCTGGTTACGCTTACCTGATTGAACATATTAATTTCGGCTCGGACTGCTTTCTCACAGCTTATTTTGGGCTCCTTCTGGCAGCACACCTGTTTTTGGTCTTCTACACTCGTCAGTTCCACTTTGGGTATGTCTGGTGCCTTGCAATGGCCGGTGAGATTGTCGGCTACATTGGACGCATCATGATATCCAAGTCAAATAACAAGACCACGGCAATTATCATGGACTCTGTCGGCCTCAACGCGGGATCTTCTCTAATGATAGCGGGCCTTTACATTTCTGCGGCAGGCATGCTGAAACAACGTGCTAGCACTACTGTCAGGGGGTCTCCCAGACTTCTGATAGTAGTGCTCGCCATCAATGTTGGCTCTATTGCCTTGTACTCGGCAGGAGTGTCAATTGAGCCAAATGGGGGCTCCGACTACCAGACAGGAAAAAATCTGGCTATTGCAGGAACTGTTATTCAATTGGCCCTTCTGATCGCTTTTCTTGCCAGCTGGCTTTTCTTCTGGAGAAGAGCTCACAGAGACTTCTGCCCAGCGGGGCAAATTCTATACTACAACAGTTTTCCAGCGGCCATAACTCTGGGTATGATTCTCATGGTGGTGCGCTCGTGCTACCGGGTAGCTCTTCAGGCAGAAGGAACAACTGGCAAGCTTTTCACCCATCCGATATACGTGGGAATTCTGGACTCGCTCATGGCTGCTGTCACAGCGCTCATCATGACCGTGTTCCATCCGGGGCTAATCGAAAGATCTGGTGTTAAAAGGCTGAGACCTGAGGAGTCTTACTATTAAGATTATCATTCGGTCAATACGTATTGATTAGTTAGATATACTCCCGGATTACTCAGAAACCTTTGGACTGTCCATCTCTTCATGCACAGTCTCAAAGCTCTTGATGACCTCACCAAGCTGGCCTCCACCTAGCTGAGTAATATCAAAGCCGTTTTCTTGAAGATATCTAAGGAAATTGACATCTTCTCTTTGCATGGCTTCTTGGTCAACAGGTGGAAGAAGGAAAAGAGCCAAGAGTCCAGCAACGATGGCCAGCGCAGAGGCCAGATAGAAGGGAGCCTTGAGTCCCATGTCTCCACTGTAGTTAGCCTGGAAACTTGGGAAAGCCCAAGTACCGCAGAAAGCACCAATTTTTCCAAATGCAGCAGCGATAGAATAGTAGACTCCACGCACAGGAGTAGCACACGTTTTGGAGGCAAGCAGACCAATCTGATCACCTGGACCAAACTCTCCAAAAGTCATGAATATACCGTACACCACAACAAAGCCGGCAATGTGTTGTTTCAGAGTGCTCAAAGAGCCTGCCATGGCAAAACCAATGATAGCTTGGCAGAAAACACCAATGACCAGCGTGAGTCTTGGGCCGAGGTAATCCGCCACAATGGCACCGAGGAAGGCGCCTGGTATGTAAAACAAGTTGAACACCACGTTCCACCCGAAAGTCTTGTAAAGATCACCGTCTGGGATGATTATATCAAAAATTGTTGACGAATAAATACCGAACGCATAGGCCGAGAAATCGTAGATCCACCAGATCACCATGACAATCAAAAGTCTGAACCAGTAGTACTTGAGAACAAGTAACCAAGGAACTCGAACATGTCTAAAATTGGTTCTCTGGAACTGCTTGTTCTCTTTGAACTTCAATCTAAGGAAAAACAGAGACAGAGGAGGAATAGCACCAAGGCCAAGCGTAATTCTCCAAACAGGCTGCAGGTTGCCAGGCTTGAAAATCCACAAGCAAACCATCGGCACAAAAGCAGACACAACGTAGCCAAAGTCGATCATGAAGTTGGTGAACCAGGCAAACCATCTGTTTCTGTGTCCTGCTGGCAAGAGAGCGGAAGCCTCTGCACAAGCTGCAGATCCAGTTGGGTACTCCGCACCGATGAAAATACCAAGGAAAAATCTATAACAAGTCAAGGCCGAAAAGAGACCTCCTGGGTTTCCACCATACTTGGCTTCTGTTCCGACACCCCACGATCCGGCGGACAAAATTGCGAAAAAGATAAGGCCTGCAGAAGAGATAAGCATACCGGCTTTTCTACTGACGTAATCAGAAAAGACTCCAAAAGATAACTGACCAACGACCGTTCCCACAAATGCAATGGAACTGACGTTGTTCATGGCGTCCGACTTGGTAAATGCTTCGGTACCGTAGATTCTCTTCAGACAGGTGGTGGCCGTACCCACCGAGTTGTTCACGTAACCATCAGAAAACAGTCCTGCACCGGCAGTGAAAATCGGCCAGTAAGACTTGGTTTCCTCTGTCGGTTTTAGGGCTTCCTCGGGTATGTATGCCACCTTGCCCGGAGACACCGAAGGCTGGATGATATCCTCATCTAGGTCAGACTGCTTTCTTCCCAGGGTGATCTCCTTCCTAAGGACTCTTGGAAGATCTGCTAAATATGTCATAGAGAATTTTTGGCTCTGATTTTCTAAGGAAGTTTCTGGTATTTATTATTATGCGTATCTATCTATTTATGAAATGCACCCGATTTTCGCACGTGCAAGAAAATGGCCCAACGAAATTAAATGTTCAGAATGCTCATGGGTGGTTGATCAACACGATGGGAAGTTATAATTATGACACAGCGAGCCCCAAGATGATAACCTGCATACAACGCCAATGCTGTGATTTATTCCATATACTTGTCTTATGTTGCAACACCGATCTGCTGCTTGGCGAGAGGAGAAAATAACGCAGACAATAGATAGGCGACATCTTTGTCGACCATCGACAGCTACGTTTTTTTTCACCCCCGTCAGGTCAACTATTATTTTTTTTTACCTTCAGTCTAAAAAGCGCGTCGCGTTATGGATATCCTTGACGAATTGAGCGACCTGCCCGCTGTGCGCAGAACTTTCAAGGCCTCAAGTAGGGAGACCGACTTCACGCAGTTCAGTATATTTCAAGATGCCACGCAGCAAGATTCTCAGTCCACGCAAGTGATCGAGCAGGAGAAGACCAGTAGTTTTGGGCTGCTGGGTATTGACTCGGGGTTTATTGGAGCGGTCATGAAGCGATTGAATGGTGAAAAGGAAGAGTCAACCGAGCACGCTAATGACAGCGAAGATGAGATCGCGCCAGAAATTGAGCCCGAGGAACGCGAAAAGACACCACATAGTCTCATATTTGAAAAGCCCATTACCGAGGTGCCCACCACACAGCAGGTGGATGAAATATTGCGTGCTGAAAGCGATGATGCGGAGGACCATGAAGAGACACAGGAATTTGTTCCTGATCGTCAGGTCAACCCTGAAGACGACATTATTTCTGCAATACCAGACTACGACAAACTAAGTGTACAGGACAAGATCCAGGCCCGTATCAACGAGAAGCGGCGCCGAAGAGAGCTTGAAGAACAGAAGGGTGCGATGCCTGTGCCTGTTGCAGTGCGCAAAGAGCGGAAAAAGCCCATCAATCCGCTCGTTGAGGTGGTGAAGCAAAACGAACTGATCAAAAAATCTGCCTTTACAGTGAGGAAACAGGACGCGTCAAAATTTGATCCGAAGAAGCTGGTTGAAGAATTCATGGATTCAGATGAGGAAACTTTCTCCGACGCCGCCAAGGACACTCCCCAGACGTCGCCCAAGGATGATGGCTCTGCCGAGATGGCCCAAATGCAGAAGGGAGAAATGGTGGAACTAGAATCCGACTCCGACGACGATCTTGCGCAAATCAAGTTTGGTGCGTCCAAAAAGAGTGTTTTTGAGGTCCGTCGCAAACTTTCCAGAAAAGAGCGTCCTCCACCTGTCACGCTGAAGAACCTGATCAAAGAGGAAAAACGGCGTCAGATGCAGGCGCTGGGCCGAAAACATGTGGAGGTGGTCATGGAGGACAAGGAGGACGAGATCATGAAGATGATGCAGAATGAGATCGAACGTAACAAGCGGCTGAGGGAGCGCGAACGGAGTGCCGCCGAGCGTCGGAAGCGCGAGAAGGAGAGGCTGCTAAGGGGTGAAATAAGTGAGGATGAGAGTGATTTGGACTACGACGGGGCAGAGGAGGAAGAGGAAGAGGAAGAAAAAGAAGAAGGAAAAGAAGAGAAGAAGGAGGAAACCGACGAGGACACTGGAAAGGTCGCGCACCCTACGGAACCACCAAAGTCGCCGTCGATCACCTTTGAGTTGCAAACTCAGGAAGTCAGCTCAAAACATTTTGGGCCGATGTCGCTTTCTGAGGCGTTTGACCAGACTTTACCCAACAAGTACGACGGGATGAGCTCTTTGGATGTGATGAGACGTCTGGCCGACGGTGCCGACGAGACGATGAACACGAGCATCAGCGAAACTACAGAACGTCATGATGAGAGTGTCACAAACTTCCAGCTCGGCACGTTGCCCGTTGACGAGCCGGACGTGCCGAAAACCATACTTGAGAGTCAGAATTTTCTGCCAGATACTCAGAATGACGAGTCGGAGGCTGTTCGAGACGCTGTGCGCGAAGCCAAGCGACTTGCTGAGCAGAAACGCAGGAAACGCGAGCAGGAGCTGCGGAGCAAGGGCTTGAACCAAATTTTGGAGAACGAGGCCGAGGAGTCCGAGGACGAGTGGCAAGGAATGGGAGGCTACGACAGCGAGATTTCTGACGAGGAGAACAGTGAAGATGAGAAAATGCTGAACGACGCTGCGATCGACGTGAACGGCGATGCAATCCGCGAAGCCCTGTTGAAGAACGAGGTAGCTGCGGATGACGAGATGGTGAAGAAGATATATAAGGATATCAAGACCGGGGCTTTCAGAAAACGGCGCGCACGTGACGGCGCATACGAGCTGGAGCTGAGCGACGACGAGGACCAGCAGATACTGGAGTACTACAACCGGCGTCGTCTGGAGCAGCAGCGGCAGCAGATGCTGCAGAGCAAGGACGTCAAGGAGCTTGCTAAGGACAGCAACCGCAAGGCGTTTTTCGACACCATCATGGAGACCGAGGAGAGCAGCTACCAATTTGAAGAGGAGCCAGAGGAGCCAGACGACGAAGATAATGTGGGCGACGAGGACGAAGAGGAGGAGGCTCTGGTGATGCCTAAAAAGCGGAAAATCACGAGGAAGCAGATCCGGTCAATGATCTCGTTCCTGGAAGACGACGACAAGCCTCAGGAAGCCATATACATAGACGACGACGGCTACGAGGAAATTAGACAGATGCGCGAAAGCTCTGTTGTGCTGGCCGAGCGGACAGAAACACAACGGGTGGAGGCTCGCGATGAGGAGGAGGACGAAGACTTAGGCATTCTGGCAATGAAATCGATCACCTCGAGCTTCCGGATGAGCTCGCTCACAAATGAACGGAAAGTGCACGAGGTCAATGTGACGACGAGCTCCAAGCCCGTTGGAGACGGTCGCGGAGCGGTTACATTCCTGACAAAGGCCCCGCGGCTGCTGAAGCCCAAGGAGGCTCGCATCGAACAGACGTTACATAGGCGACAGCTCAAGGTAAAGGGCGGCGAGTGGAAAACATAGTGAATATAAATGCCATGCAATTAGGTTTATTTAATCTAATGTCTGCTGAAATCCTCCAGATTGCTTCTCAGAGCGTCCCGGAGTGCACCGTGGCTGACTCTCGTGCTGAGAACGTCGCCCATCCTGTGACCAGACCCATGTCGTATGATCCGGCCCTTCCTATCGAAAATCATGGTGGAATGCGCTCCACCTCGAGCGCTGTCACGAGGGATTACGTAGGCTGCCGGCTGACCTATCAGCCGGCCTGTTTCGCTCGTCACCAGCGAGCTATTAGGTATTAAGTTGGCGAGCCAGTTCTTCTGCGGTAACGGCTTCCGCGCCGGTCTGTTTTGTACCAGGGTGTGTAAAGCGTCCAATGTGGATCGCGGCCTGAACGACATCTCGCTCACAATGTCTGTCATCTCGTTGGCTACCACCGGTCGTCCTGCGCCGATCTGTATAGGTGCACACTGCGGCTCGCTGCGATACCACTCAATAACATCTGTGCCGCTAACCATGCTCTCGTTGTCGCTCGCGTCTAGTTCCAGATTCGGCTCGTGGTTCGAACAGTTATTGAACTCGATTTCAATGTCCTCCAAAGTACGTGTGGATCTGCGCCCCTGTGGCTCTTTTCCGTCTGCCCCAGAGATGACGTCCAAGAAGGGAGCATCGAATCCTCTCACGGGCACAAAATGCTGATCTGGTGTCCAATTTGAGCTTTCCTTGTCCCGAACTGGCTCTATTGACCCCATGTGCGGCTTGAAGTCCAGATCAACATCGTTCATTGTCACCCGGAGAGAAATCGAAGTATCGTCTGAGGTTTCATTTCCCGAAAAGAGAGATGTCTCGTTGGACTCGCTCGGATAGCTGGTGTCATTGTCTGCATCGCTCTCTAGATGACTATCCTTACCAAGCTGTCCATTGAGATACTGGTATTCTCTCTGTAAATTCTCGATAGTGGTTTCTGTAGCTTTCCAACTCAGCCCATTGTCTTCGTCGCGCAGGGTTTGGGACTCCAAAAGCTGTGTGCGTAGCGTAAGAGACGTCAAGTTTTCCAAATATGCAGTAGAAGAGTCGATCTTGGAGCTCAATTCTTGGATCTTATTCTCATTGGCTACCAGATCTGCCTGGACACAATGCAGGGCCTGAGAGAGCTCTGCGTTGGCTCGCATAGTCTCCTCAGACCGGGCGGTGAGCACGCTTAGTTTATGGATAAGCTGGTCCATCCGCGCAGTCATGGTGACTCGTCAGATTAAAGGTAAATAAAAACACACAAATTTGGACAATATAAAACAATAGCGCAGGAAAAATTTACAGAATTATTGATTTGTACGGCTCCTAAAAATTCAGCTGACATAATCGTAGCAGTGACATTAATGCTGGTTATTTAGACTCGGATCCTGACTTGTGCGACGAGGCTTCAATGGTAACGCCGCTGAGCAGATCCAGCTGACGTTCAAGGTCATCGTTTTCTCTGGATTTCTCGGTCTTTGTTTGCTGGTCGAGCTTATGGTCTGTCTGCAAGTTGGCAAACACCCCCTTGTCCTTTTTGAAATCTGCGCTCTTCAATAGCTCCCCTACATTTTGGACCTCATTATTAAGCTTCTCGACCATCGCCCGGACCGTTTTCGAGGGCGCTCGTTTAGGCCGTTTCTTCGATATTCTGGTGCTCTTATTTTTCATATGTGCACAGTATTTTTTTTTAATTATTTTTTGGTAAATTTTTTGTAAATTTTTTTCATATCTTGTATCGCCACAAATGCCTTCCACATACAACAAAGACAAGCCCTGGGACACGCCAGACATCGACAAATGGGCGATCCCTGAGTTCAAGCCGGAGGACAACGCATCAGGATCACCTTTTCTCGAAGAGTCGTCTTTCATGACCCTGTTCCCTAAATATAGAGAAGAATATCTTAGACAGATATGGGGGGATGTCACCAAAGCGCTTAACAAACACCACATTGCCTGCACGTTGGATCTAATTGAAGGATCGATGACAGTAAAGACGACAAGAAAAACGTACGATCCGGCGGCAATCTTGAACGCTAGAGACTTGATAAAGCTTCTTGCGCGGTCTGTTCCATTCCCGCAAGCTGTCAAGATTTTGCAGGACGATACTGCATGTGAGATCATCAAAATTGGCAATATTGTGGCCAACAAGGAGCGGTTCATCAAAAGAAGACAGAGACTGATTGGTCCGAACGGAAACACCCTCAAGGCTTTGGAGCTTCTGACTGGGTGTTATATGCTTGTTCAAGGTAACACAGTGGCTGTGATGGGTCCACACAAGGGTTTGAAGGTGCTGAGAAGGGTTATCGAAGACTGTATGCACAATATCCATCCGATCTACCACATCAAAGAGCTGATGATCAAAAGGGAATTGGCCAAAAGACCGGAGCTTGCCGAAGAGGACTGGTCGAGGTTCCTACCGAACTTCAAGAAGCGGAATGTTGCGCGTAAGAAGCCTAAGAAGGTCAGAGAGAAGAAAGAGTATACTCCGTTCCCACCTGCGCAGACCCCTCGTAAGATTGATTTGCAAATTGAGTCTGGTGAGTATTTCCTTGGTAAGAAGGAGAAGAGGGCCAAGGAGTTGCAAGAGAAGCGCGAGAAGCAGGAGGAGATGAAGGAGCTGAAAGAGCAGGAGAGAGCCAAGGACTATGTCGCTCCTGAAGAGAATGTGAGAGAGAACAAGCTTTTGGAGAAGAGCAAGAAAGATAAGCAAAAGAAGGAGAAAAAAGAGAAAAAAGACAAGAAGGAGAAGAAGCGCAAGAGCGAGGACGATGACGGGGAGTCGAAGAAGAAGAAGAAGAAAAAAGAGTAGCGGTTTATAATAAAATGCATTAATGTACAGAATCAGGGAGTCCAGCGCCGCGCAGTATCCATCGTTGGGTCTGCGAAGGATGTAGAAGAGTCTCCCACATGCCGAAGCCCATAATTTGGCTGGAAAGTGACAACGGTCTCAAACGAGTCTAGACTGCTGGCCGACTCCCGTTTTCCGTTGTCGCGCAACCTCATCAGCAGCTGTTGTAGTGTTTGATTTATATTGCCAGGGCCTGCGAAAAACTTGTGTGACTCAGGATCAACGTCTCTGAATTTCAATTTTTCAGGGACGGCGAGCGATGATTCTGATTGCTCTGTGTTTTGCCAAGTTTGTTCGGTTTCGAACGTGCTGACACTTTCCTGTGTGTCTTTTTTGGAAGGCAGCAGCCAGGCCATGAATAAGGCAGCCACAAAAAATAAGAGCCATACTCCCAACAGCACCATAGATATATACAGTTCGATTCTCAACGAGGATTTATACTTTTCCACCAATTTGTCCCTGGTTGTTGCCAACGTTGATTTGGTGTCGTTCAGATACTGATCAACAGAACCAGAGTCCTTAGAGTCGGTCAAATCGAAATCCGCAGGGTCGATTCGGGGTAACGTCACTTGCGAGTGGTTGTGGATCCATGAAAGTGCCTTTTCGACTTTCTGGATTTTGTGCGTCACTGTGCACCCAACAATGCCGCTCACATATGGATACAACGGAGTGTTGCCAAAAACGTCAGAGATCTTGCCGTTCATCTCGTCGACAAAATCTCCCAGAGTCGCATTGAGTGAGCCCGTGCTGTTGTGTATCCAGCCCAAGACGTCATCATTAATGGATGCCTCCTGATCGGAAATGTATAGATTCGTGTCGTTTGCCCACTCGACAAGAGAGTTGTTCACACTGGAGCGTATCTGCAACCCAATCGACTTGAAACTAGAGTCAAGAGCAGTGGCATCTTTTCGTGAAAGCAGATCCAGCAAAACTAGCTGCAATATGAAAGTTGCTATTCCGGCCAGCGCAAGCAGCAACACAGGCAACATTCGGTCACTAGAAATGTAGTTGACCACCCACCGCACGGTGTTGAGTCGTGTGACACTCGGCCCGAAAAACAATTTCCCCAGTTTTTGCCCTATTAGGAAACTGTATCGATTGCGTGACATGTCGACAAGCTCTGCTGCAAGCTCATCCTTGTGCTTGGTTGCCGCGGTTGCCTCAATTTGGTGGAAATTGCTTACGATATCTCGAAGGCGGTCCCACTGCTTTTTTTCCATAAATATCTCGAACGCAATGAATCCCAGGGCTGCAAAAACAAGAACAATAAATATGATGTTGGACGCTTTTCGCAGCAACTCGGCAAGGTCTTCATAAAATTCATCTATTCCGGAGCCGGCACAAAAGGCCATGGTCTTTTTGTCCGGGACCAGCAGCTCGTCGGCGTAAAACTCGTGGTCAAGACGCATCGACACCTTTTCCTTTATGTATTCAAACGGCTCACTAACAAGGCCTTCAGTGTAATTCATCACGTCGTCAAAATCTGGAAGGCTTTTGGACAGACTTTCCAGCTTGGTGTTGATGGACCCCGTAATCTGCCAGTTCTTGAGCGACGAGATAGTTAGATTGACCTTATTCATGCTGCTGCTCACATCCGAGTCACCGTCGTCGTCAAAAATATCCTTCACATCCTCGTACGACTCGACTAGAGCATTGATCACCTTTGAAACACCGTCCAGTCCATCTTGCAGTTCTTCGGCAAACGACTTCACCGTGTCGTTTGCCAGCGAAATAACGCTCTCGGTAGCGTTCAAAGCAACCTCTGCGGTGGCATCCACTGTTGCTGTAAGCACACAAACATATGTTCCAATGGTCATCTCAATGGCAAACATTATCAGCCCTTTTGAGCTGGTTAAAACCATGTCAAGAATCTCCATAAAGCCCTTGTTAGCTTCGCTCAAGCCCTTGGCTATCATCACGTTTGCGCTCTTGGATATATAATGCGGAACGCTGGCCAGTGAAGAGGCGTAGGTCTCTGCATTTGAACAAGTGCTATAAGTCTGCTTTCTTGCCTGTTCTAGAGACGTATTGAGTGAAATCCGAAAAAGAAGAAGCTTGAATAGCATCAGGATCATCACGATCGTGTACTTGTTTAGCCAGACCTGCGACAGCCTCTCCTGAAAATTGAGAAAAGGCCTCCGGTAGTTCGAATTGTTGACAGTTCTCAGATATGTATCCATGAGTCCTTTTGGACCCTTCCTGGCGCAAACTATATATACTCGCTGGTCTTGCTACACTCTTAAAACGAGTTGAAAACTGCACAGCCTCGGGAAAAAAACAGACCCTTGCTTATATAAACTTATAAATATTCCAGCCCAGTGAATAGGTGGCCGCCGTATGAAGCACTTCGCACTTGCCGGCTCGCGCAGCACCAAGAGCCACAGCAAGGGGCAGGAAATGCTCAGGGGTGGGGTGTGCAGCTCGGTACAACCGGTTCAGCTGGGGATCTGTCTCCAGTTTCTGCAGACCTGAGAGGCCATTTCCCCGTGTAAGGGTGTTTGTGAGCCAGGAGTTGAAGGGTTCCACGTAGGGCAGCGGCTCGCTAGAGTTGATCATGGCTCTGTGCAGATCCTGAAGGTTATGCACAGACATTCCCGAGCAAATAATAGCCACGTTTTTGGCACGCAGATCATAAAGGGCTTCGCCGAGCCGGTAGCTGTCAAGAATTTTCGGAGAAGGAGGCAAAGATACCTGGATCAACGGAATCTCCAAATCGAGCCGATTGGTGTCTTGGACGTCCGGATTTCCGAACGCAACTCTGAGGGGAGTCCAAACACCGTGATCCAGGCCGCGTGACTCGACTGCGGCAGGGATCCCCTTGTCTTGGAGGGTCTTGACGATTTCTTTGGCGAAGGCGGGCGAGCCTAATGTGTGGAATTTGGTTTCATAGTATTTGCATGGAAAATTGTAGAAGTCGTAAACCAATGGGTTCTCGCCCTCGTTGCTGGACACCAGAACTTCATTGGCAGTCTCCCAATGGGCCGATATGCATATGACGTAATACGGTCTGGAGCTCAAGATTTTTGGCCCGAGCTTGCGGACAGTGTCCCAGGCACCGACCTCTGAGCCGGCGTTGCCCTTATCTGCAAACGTTGGCCCTCCATGAGAGATGAAGTACACGGGGAGCATGTTGATGGGCGTGTTTAGCAAATATTAAGCAGTATTTATAAATCATCGAGCCGCAACTTCACAATTAGTCAGAAACGTATATTTTCTTACTAAGCTTACAAACCACGACATATCACGAGACGAGATAGCAGGAGATCAGTAGTCCTTTGGGCCTGAACTTTCAGAGGAAACGCTCTTGCGCGCAGAGCCAGTGCCTGCTCTTGGAGGGAACCGTGGGTCGCCCTCCTCGACAGCGTGTCTGCAGGTGCACCAGAGCTCTCTGTTGGTGTTACTCATAACCTCGGAGACGTGAGAGCCACATCCGGTCCACGATTTTCTCTGGCAAAGAGGGCAAATGGCAGTCGAGCACATGGATTGAACGCAGTCGAGAAAGTGCACTTGGCGGATCGATATTTATATACCCCGGACCAAAATCCACCAATTTGAGCGGTGCACCGCGCGCTTGTGCAGACAAAAATCCCGAGATAGCAAGATTATGACACAAGTCATGCAATTTACAAGTGGGTTACTTGCAGATAGTAGATAAGAAGCCTGTCCCCGACCCTGTATTGTAGAAGTATCTATGCTTTTTCGATAATTAAGTCCGCGTCGTTGTCGGCGTCCATGACCAAGGTGATGTTTGGTCCTGATCTGACGGCGTCAACTTTTGGAGGGTCCACGACAGCTGGAGCAGCTGGTGCGCTCTCCTCCTCCTTTTTCACCAGAAGCGTAGGACCCACGGTCTCGGTGATGTCACCCAATCCCCAGAAGGTCATCATGGCCACAAACGCGGTAGCCATGGCGACCTCTGGGTCCACCTTTGTGTCATCTAGTGTCAACTCGTAGTCGAACTTTCTCTGTCTCATGAGTCTCACCTTGGCAACTCTCTCTCTGACCTCCTCGTCGTTGCCTCCAGGGTTGGTGAACTTCTCCAGGAATTTGGAATTCCTGGTCCATCCGTACTTGTGGCCGTCGTTCAGATAGAAAGTTCTAAGTCTACCGCTCAAGCCAGACTCGCTGTTGATCACTCTGTGTTGCAATCCTGGCTTGTTGTGGAAGTCAAGCGACTTGAGGAAAAATCCACAGCGGATCGTAGCAATCTCTCTGTACGAGGGAAGGGTGCGCAGAGACCAGGTAGGATTTAGAGCACTTTCTCTCTGGAAAATGTACACCTTCTCACCCTTCTCGTTGAAAACATTGACAAGGACTTGTCTTCTGTCGTTGTCTCTTCTAATGTAGAAGGCCCTGTTAGGCGCAGAAAGAGGCAGAAAGTTGGCATCTGTGATATGGACGTCCAGCAACTCTCTCAAATAAGCATGAGAGATAAAGTAGGTAGCCAGCGTCGTGAGGGAGCTCTGGACATACACGGCAGGCGATTCGAAAACTGGCATTTTGCAAGGAAAAACAGAGCAATAACTTCAAGAAGACCAAGAAGATAGCAAATTAATAGTGCTCTCTTTTTATACTTGGGGCCGGCGCGTAGCTGCTACCCTGGCCCGCGCGCAGGAAAATACATCGCTCCAAGATTACATCATCATAAAATGCCCCAGGCATCTTCTGCACCGTGACAGAACTTGCTGCATGCGACAGATGCAGACAGCGGATACTCCGACAGTCCGATCTTGTCGTCCACGAACTCGTCCGCAAAGTTATCCTTTCCACGAGCCATGGCTCCCACGAAAACGCAGATGCTTTCATCTGGCTCCAATTTCTTAATGTAGTCCTGCACCCTCACGACCGGCGCATCATACGAAAGCGTGATCTTGCGGCACTTTGTTGGCAGATGGTCTGTGATTGGGTTCTTGATCACCTTGAGTAACTTTTCCTCAGAATTGACCGATCTGATGGACAGCTTGTGCAAAAGTTGCACCATAAGCCCTGAAAACCGCTTGAAAGTTCTTGGAATCCGCACCGAAGGGTTCACTTCTATGAGAACACCCTTGGCAGTCTGTATGTACACTTGCAACTTACCAGCCTTGTTGATTGGTGAATCAAGAAGGGTCAGCAGACACTGGTGAGTAATATCCGGTCTAGCACCAGAAATGTCTCTCCCCATTTTGCGAAGCAGTCCCTGGTGATCGTCACAGTTGAGCAGGGCGTACTTATCGCTTCCAGGCCCGCCGCCAGTGCTGATCTTGTGTGTTTCCAGACATGCCTGCGACAAGACCACTACCAGTCTCTGTGTATTCTTATCTTTCGAAGACAGTGGTGTAGGTTGAACTGGCACAAGAGAGGCAGGAGGAACAGCCGTCTCAGCCTTCGTCTCAGTCTTTCTAGCCTCAGAGTTCTTAGTTCCTTCCGTCATTGGAATCTAGCTGAATAAAATTTATATCAAATTTTTTTTCCACCCGGTCGTGCATCTATTGTCAAGAACATAAATATTGATTTAATCTAGCATTGTTGATATGTCCTTAGACTCGTCAGACTCTTTTGACGATGACGACGTGGACTTTGATCAGCTCTACTCAACACGTTCCCAATCACGCGGGCCTTCAGGAGTCGCGTCGGTGCCTCCCGAGCCCAGCACTGATCCGTTGGTTTTAAGGGGCGAAAACGCGATTCTTCGAGCCCAGCTACAAAAGATCAGCGACAAGTTCGAGCAGGAAAGCAGGAAGCTAAAACAACATTATCATGTGTTACTAAGTAAACAAGAAGAGCGCATCAATGAGCTCATGGACAACGTCAACAAGGTGAAAGAGGACAACGAGTTTCTGACGTCTGAAAACAAAAGTCTGGCAGCCAAATACCTCCCGGCTACCAAGAAGCGGCGGTTGCAAGACGAGTCAATAGAGCTTTCCATGTCTGATGTGTCTGTGGGATCAGCAGGTACAAAGGACACGAGCACTGCGGCTCAAGATGGCCCTCAAACGGTGGCCATAATCAATCAAGTTTCAATATTTCAAGACGACAAGAACTCGTTTATAGAGTCCATTTCGTCACATGTCATTCCAGGAATGAAATGTACAACACTGGGCTATTTATCGAACATATCGTCGACCTTCAATTACGAAAACAGGGATTTCCATATATCAAAAGAGCGAGAAAGCATCAAAACTGCAATTGTGGACTACCTGATCCGGTTTGAGAATAAAAATAGAATTGATATGCTACTGAGTAGCTTTGTCGAAATTCTGTTTGATTATGTTGTGCAATCACTTGATCGAGATAATCTTTTTGCGGCTCCCTTCTTGCTGTCGCTTATTCATTTCAGTCTAAATTATAGACCCAAAGCAGTAAGCTTTCAACTGATACAAAACTCAATGAAAAGTGTGAACCACTTGTTACAATACTTTAGCACCGTACTCAAACAGGATCAACCATATCTGTCAAACGAAAATATGGACGTAATAACGACAGCAAACTCAGCATCCACAGACCTCAAGCTTGACGTTGTTCAGAAGACCATGCACAAGAAAGTCCTTGATGTGTTTGTCACAGTCTATTTGATGGATATCATGGAAACTTTGAGCAAGCTTTCAACGTATCTTGATACACCAAACAACCCAACGCTAACAGAGTATTGGTCGCATTTCCCAAAGTCATTATTATTGCATTGCTTGTCATTGAAAACACCAATTGGATTTGTCTTCAATCTGGTGGAAATTCTAGCTAGCTCAATTACCAAAGATCGATTTGCTTACACAGACAACTCGCAATCGAAAAAACACACACTTACCAAAGAGTCGACAGATATCCTCACGAACCTCATCATCTTCATTACGCAGGGGCTGGAGCAAGATATGTGTATATACAGTCTCAACAGAAATATCGGTAGCAACGCATATGCTCCCTTACTAGATATTCTGGTTCCTGATCACGCTTCGCCCAAACCCATATCCCATTCGTGGGATGAATATAGGCAAATACTCGAAACGAGTTCGAGCATAGGCCACCAAAACAAACACGAAACCGCGGTCTTAAAGCTTCGTATTCGCATATTGCAACTTTTTGAGGTTTACTTCTCCCAGCGAGCTGCCAGCTCAATAAAGAGGGAAATTATTACACAATTTGTCTCGTCAATGGTGACGCAGCTTGGATTTGAGCAGGAGCTGATTTATAGAGCGCCACGTGCAAACACAGTCAGCTGCAGATTGCAACTAGTCTCTCTTATTATGAGGCTCGTGCATTTCATACTGCTGTCATCAGGACAGGTTGCGATATCTGATTTGCCGGGAACTACGCTACGCGAGCTCGTTATAGCCCTGCTACGAATCTCTGCAGACAGTTTAAAGCCGCTGGCACTGGAAACAATTCGGCAGTGGCGTGAACAAGGTCACGTGCCAGAGGTTTCTACCTCGCCGAACGGGGTGGAGATCAACTACGACGACTGGACGATCGACATGGCGCGCGATGTGATTGGCCAGTGTATTACGGGAGACGAAGCTGACGCACTGCACTATAGCATCAACTATGACATCCCGGACGACGATATTATGTTGGAGTAAAGTTAATTAGTCTTCATGTATTCACCTTCTAATTCTGAGTCTGGAAACCGTTCTTGAATCTTCTCGACACGTGCTTGAGGTGGGACATTCTTCCGGTACCGGTAGTTCTTCTTCTCTTAGCTTTCAAAGCCCAGTTGTGGGATCTCATCTTAGCAGCTGGGTAACCGCAAGAGGCACATGTTTTCTTTTGGATGTGGAAGGATCTCTTACCGCATCTGTTACACAGAGTGTGCGACTTGTTGTGCTTCTTACCGAACGATGGAGTACCCTCTGAACTTGTTAGTAAATCACATAGTGGTTATACATACTTCCCATTGCGAATGTGTGTAAGTTTTAAGAAAGTTTGAGACAAAATTTTTCAACTAATCGCAATCACGTGAACGTGCTGAAAATTTCTGTGACTGTTAAAATCACGTGAAAGCTAAGACCGTTTCTCAGCCATGCATCATTTTTTTCCTCCCCAAGCACTGTCGACTGTCGACCGTCGGCAAAATCAATGCGCGATGTGTCGACTGTTTATTTAGAAACACGCTCTGCTGAGTAAAACTTATCCACCATGTATTTACCATCGTCACCAGTTCGTGGGGAGAACAGTCCGCTTCGCGCCAAAATGGCTGCAAACGTGTCTGAGCCCCTGTCTCTGTCCAAAGACTACCCTACTCCAAACCCATCCTCGTCTCTTGGCTACGAGGAGGAGTCTGAAAAAGCACGCAAGGTTGCCTTCGAACTGCCATCGCGCAAAGTTGAGATTGTTTCCCCGATGTCGCGGGTTCGCAGGCTTAAGGTGCCGTTGACAGGGCGCCAGATTAGCATTGGACGGTCATCCAGATTGAACCAATGCGTACTCAACCCCCATAATAAGCTGGTTTCGCGTACCCATTGCTCCGTCCACTACGTTCCCGAAACTCACACTCTCAAGCTTCACTGCACTGGCTGGAACGGCATCAATGTTACAGTGCCCGGACGCGTGGACGTGGTGAAAAAGGATGACGCGTTTGAGGTCACCAGCAGCACGATCGCGCCAAAAAGCATCCGTATTTTGTCCCAGGAGGCCTCGGTGACCAATCTCTATATCCTCAAGGACGAGACCGTTTTTTTGCCAATGCTTCCAGGACTCATTCTGGACATTCGTGGAGAGCTGATCCTGGTGGAGACAGAGGACGAGCTGACAGAGGACGAGGCTGAAGCAGAAGAAGAGCACACAACAGAGCAAGGGCAAAAGGAGACTAAAATTCCCGTGGAGCCTATCCAGACTAGTCATGAAGACAAGGAGAACGTCCCGCCTGCAGCCATAAAAGAGCGAAAGGCTGTTTCTCCTGCGTACACTCCAGAACAATCACCGGATCCAGTCACGGCCACCAAAGCACGTGCTAGAAGCAAGAACCACAACTCTCCGCGAAAAAAGAAGGACAGCGAACACCAGATCTCCAAGGAAGAGGCCGATGTCTTGCTGGAGCCATTGCAGCCCCAACTGCCCCATCTTGCCAATATTCTGGTCAACCACTTGGCCTACTCAAGACTGCTGCAAACACCGTTGCAGATTTTGATGGATCTCAAGGCTGTGCAGGATATGGGGCTGACTAAGCAGCAGCTTCGCGGATTACTAATATATTACGTGGACTGTATCGGCGTGATTTACCGTGTTGGTAAAGATGCGGCGGGCAAGCCGTTGGACGAGGAATACTACTACGACCCGGAAAAGGACCAGGACAAGTCGCGGGTCCAGCTGGTGGAGGAGCTGAAGGGCTCAGCTTCGCATTTGCGCAGTTGCAGAAAGACACATAAACAATACTTCTGGAAGAAGCCGGCAAAGAGATAAATCACATGGGATATGGTGGGATTATCTAATCAAGGGAGCCACACTTGTTAAACGAACACGAAAACAGCTGGGAATTGCAGAACTCCAGCGCGCGTTGGTGCTGTTTCAAGACCTGCCGCCCATTGGTGCACCTGCGGCTTTTTAGATCGTCTTGGGATCTAAAATTTCGGAGCTCCCATGTGCCTGTTTTTGTTGGATCTTTTTGCGCATGCGCATTATTTCTTCAGTGTATAAATATTGAAAAATTTTCCTAATTAAGATTTACGAGTCAAAACAACATGTCTGGACACTTTTTCTTTACGTGAGTATCGCTGTGCTGTGTTGGCGTGCTAACCTCCAGTTCTGAGTCTGTCGGTGAGGGTCACCCTGACAAAATCTGCGATCAGGTTTCTGATGCCATTTTGGACGCCTGCTTGACCGCAGACCCTCTTTCCAAGGTTGCCTGTGAAACTGCCTCTAAGACCGGTATGATCATGGTGTTTGGTGAGATCACCACCAAGGCCAACTTGGACTACCAAAAGATCATCAGAGATACCATTAAGCACATTGGATATGATGACTCCGACAAAGGTTTCGATTATAAGACATGTAATGTTCTGGTCGCTATCGAGCAACAATCTCCAGACATTGCTCAAGGTTTGCACTATGACAAGGCCTTGGAGGAGCTTGGAGCCGGTGACCAGGGTATCATGTTCGGTTACGCCACCGACGAGACGGACGAGAAGCTGCCATTGACCATCCTGCTGGCCCATAAGCTGAACGCCGCTCTTGCTGACGCCAGAAGATCCGGTGCTCTTCCATGGTTGAGACCAGACACCAAGACCCAGGTCACTATCGAATACAAGCATGACGGTGGCGCTGTTGTGCCGTTGAGAGTCGATACCGTCGTTATCTCAGCTCAGCACTCTGACGACATTTCCACTGAGGACCTCAGATCCGAGATCAAGAAACACATTGTTCACAAGGTCATCCCTTCTCACCTGCTAGACGACAAGACCATCTACCACATTCAACCTTCTGGTAGATTTGTCATTGGTGGTCCTCACGGAGATGCTGGTCTGACCGGTAGAAAGATCATTGTCGACACTTACGGAGGATGGGGTGCCCACGGTGGTGGTGCCTTTTCTGGAAAGGACTTTTCGAAGGTCGACAGATCTGCCGCCTACGCCGCCAGATGGGTTGCCAAGTCTTTGGTCAACGCTGGTCTTGCCAGAAGATGTCTGGTGCAATTCTCGTACGCTATCGGTGTGGCCGAGCCTCTTTCGATCTACATTGACACGTACGGAACCTCCAAGCTTTCCTCGGAGGAGCTGGTCGCCATTGTGAACAAGAACTTCGACCTGAGACCAGGTGTCTTGGTCAAGGAGCTTGATCTGGCTAGACCAATCTACTTCAAGACTGCCTCGTACGGTCACTTCACTGACCAGTCCAACCCTTGGGAGCAACCTAAGAAACTGGTTTTATAGACAGAGAAATAACTCTCTTACGCTCAACTCGTACACGTTAATGATCAGCTGTGGCTTGTGTTTGGATTGCATTATAATGTATATTTACCTTTCAACAGGAAGTGAAATAAAAAAATACGTAAAGCGACGCGTCGAATTTCTCCCAATTAATCTGATATCTGCCATGTCGCAGAAGTCCGTCGATATCTTGCGTGTGCGAGACTTACCAGTCACCACGTTTACCAGGAAACGAATCATGGGGCTTGTCATAGGCATCACGACCCGTGATAGGCCCACCAAGCCGATTGTGGTGCACATGACGGACTTTTCTCCAAATCCATCTGTCGCGCCATCTGAGATGAACTACGCTAATTGTGACCCGCCCTTGTTCGATGCTCCTGAACAGGCCGACAGCATCATTGATGTGGCATTCTATCCCGAGTCAGTGACTCATCTAAAGCGCATCTTTGGTGAGAAGGTGAATTCCTCATGGTTCGATAACAGGATCGCTTCGTTTTACCCGCTTTATCAGCACGCGACGGTGATCTCACTGCGGCTGAGGTCTAAGAAGTGGGGCGACCAGATTGATCTGATTGCTGACCCTGGTTTTTCTGACAACTGTTACAGTCAGATCTGGCCCGTGAGTACTCTTGAAGCCAGAGACAATCCTGCAGCAGAGACGATATTCGACCCGAACGAGAACAACTGTGCCTTGGCGCGGGAGGTCTTCCGCGACTGGCAGCTACAATGTAGTGCCTATTTTAGGTCCAACCCGAAGATCAAACAGGTTGTGGGTGACCTTTACGAGTCAGTCACTAGTAAGACATATTCACCGCCACAAAAACAGCACCGCCACACGTCACCTGAGCAGTTCTCAGATACGGGTTTTCTGAGCGACATGGTAAGCTCTGACGACGAGGCCCCCCCAAAGAAAGCGTACAAAAAGGGAATCCCTGTCAAGCAGAGCAGACATGTCAAGGACACGCTGAACGTGACTTTCCCTGTCTCGCAAATTCCGCTAGCTGACTACTCGGGAGCGTATTTCATCTATGTGCAGATAATGCGGCTGGAGACACGCACGCCCGATCTCATCTACAAAAGCTTCCCCGAGAATACGATAATGACAAAAGCAATCGACGTCCTGGTGAAGGAGGTGGACTCGGCTGCAACGTTGCGAATCAGAGTGGAAGGCTACGATCTTTTCCGGTTTGCAGGCATCACGTTTAGATACCCGCTATTAGACATGACAGCGGCGGAAGCCGAAACCGCAAAAAAATTGGCAGCCCTGGTCCATAAGCCGCTGCGCATGTTGGTGAAGCCCTACGCGTTGCCCCTGGAGGCAGCAACGGTCAACACGGGGCGATGCTACAGATGGCTGTATACAGAGTATCCGTAAACTGTAGCCTAATCTATCCACTTGATGAATTTAGTTTGCCCCACACGACAACCCCGGATTTTAGAATCGCGAAGTATGATGATGCCCCTCAATTTTTGCTCGGATATTTAAAGCAGCCGTAAAGTCCATTTTTTATTTCCAGTGGGGTTGTCTGATTAATCATCCTCCATAATGGCGTCTTTCAGCAATTTCATGGAACAGTTCACTTTTGCTCCGGAGTTTGCACCTCGCCAAGAAAAGTTGGTGGACACAGATCCTTTCTATGACGTGCTGTCATCCAAGTTGGGTTACCTGAGAGATCAAGTGAATCAAAATAGTTCTCCGCATTCCTCGGTGTCGAGCGCATCTAGGGATTCGATTTTTAGCAATCCCAGTGCATTCACTCTACCAGTGGAGCTCCAGGGCGGTGTGTCGAACATTTCCTCGAGAAGACCGAGTTATACAGCAGAGCTTTACTACACGAACCATAACAAGCTGGACCTTCCACCAGTGTTTGTGCAGGCTCCACCGTACGCCGCCTCATCCAGGTTCTTTGATGTGGATCATACGAGAACCCACAGCGTTGATTATCCCGCATCGTTTTTGCCCCCTCTGAACTCCTTTCTCTCGCAGGTGCAGCCACAGGACTCTCTTGTCACGCTTGACAACGGGTTACTTCTCGAGAAAGTCTCCAACTCTATTGTCACGTCGGCAGAGCTGAAAGCCGAGTTTCTCAAAGACGCCAAGTACTTCGGCGACTTTGATGTTTCTATGAAAATCGTGCACCAGCTGAATGTTTTGCTGGGTACTTCGCTGACCGAGACACCAGGAATTCTTCAAATTCGGGTTGGCAAGTTACTAGATTATCTCCTCACACAGAACGAGGATCTTGCAGGTTCGCCGCAAAAAGTCCCCAAGAGCTACTCGATGATCATCAACAAAAATGGAAAGTTGGACATCATTTCGTTGCCAAAAACCTCCAACCTGAAGCTGACCCCCAAGGACCTGATTATCATTGAAGGAGACCGCGGAAAAGACTTGGTGATGGTTCTACAACCACAGATCGACTTTCGGTTTGCCTTGTTGTTCAACTATCTCAAAAAGAAGCTGCATTTAAAGTCACTCGAATTTGGCAACGCTAACTCGTCTCAGGCCCCATCAAATAACAAACCGCAGAACAATCAGAACAATCAGAACAATCAACACAACGCGAACACCCAACGCTCGATTATTAACGAAGATGAGAACTTCATCACTTTACCAAACAAACAAATTCTAAGATTCGCTAAACCTCACGAACTTACCCAATTGACCTCGAAATATAATGATGAATTAACGGCATATCGCATTTGTCTTAATTACGTTCAATCCTTGAACCTGGACCTAATCATCAAAAATGTCGAATTCCAGTTCGACAAGAAAAAACTGATCATATACTACTACTGTCTTCGAAGACTAGACTTTAGAGGACTGATCAAGGAGCTGTTCAAAATTTACAAGACCAGAATCTGGCTCTGTGCTGTACTTCCTATCGAGAAATCTTTTAAACCGCTCTTGACTTACGAAATGGAGAAGAAGTATCATGGGTCCAGTCCGCTAGCGAGCTCCAGCTCCAGATCCAACGACCTCACTATCGTTGACCCGCTACCTGCTTCAGAAAGCATCAACTCGTTGGACGAGATCGAGGAGCCTGTTTGTTTCCATTCCAAAGTCTTCTTGAGTCTTATCGAGTGGTTCAAATTTGAGATGCTTGACCAGGAAACGTTTAACGAGAAGTTTCCATTTTTGACATGAGTTTACAACGTTCTTTTTTATGTAATAGATTGACTTTGCTTGGAGATTAGGGATTGTTTTAAATAGAACTGAATACTATATAAATTGAAGTTTATTACACACCTGAAACCATAAAAATGTCTAAGTCAGCTGTGCCCTCCTGGTACTTGGGCATTGACATTGGTACCAGTTCCTTAAGAACGTCCATTTTGAACGATCAGGGGGTTGTGGTAGGCGGGTCCGAGCAAGCAATCGATGTCTATTACCATCCGTCTAATAATCGTATTATTACGCAAAACTCGCCTCAGCTCTGGTCCAGATTGCTAACTGCTATCGATGAAAGCTTGCAAACAGCAAAAGCTAAAGAAGAAGGAACTTTGAAATCAATATGTTGCGGTGCGACCTGCTCTTTGGTGGTTGAGGACGATGATAACAGCCATGTAATTCTCTGGATGGATCACAGAGGAGAGACAAATTCTATTAACAGCAAGATGCAAACGCAGTATCCAAGAATTCTGCAACGCCTTGGAGGGTCAATCATCGCAGAGATGGCTCTTCCCAAAATCAAGGAGTACCTTAAGAAAACCCCGTCCAAACCTCGCATATTCGATCTTCATGACTGGATCGAGTGGAAGCTTGCAGGTGAGGTGCTCAACATACAAAATTACAACACAGAAAATATAGGCATCGATGGCTCGCTAAAGGGATTCTCAATCGAGTGCCTTCGCGAACTGGATATCCATCTCGAAGAGTCCCAGATCGGCAGAGTCGAAAACATTCCATATCCAGGAATACCGTTTTCCGGGACCCCTATAGCCAAGCTTTCACCCGAATTGGCTGAGAGATGGGACGCCAAATCTGCCGTAATTTGCTCTGGGGTCATAGACTGCTATGCTTCTTTTTTTGCTCTGCAGAACAACGAGATCAGTCCAGAGGAAAACTTGGTAATGGTAGCCGGAACGTCCACATGCTACTTGACTGTTTCCAGAGCACCAAAGGAACCACCACCAGGCATCTGGGGACCCTTCCATTTGACAGAAAACTTTTGGTTCTATGAAGGAGGATTAAGCTGTTCGGGTATTCTTTTCGAGTCTCTGCTTGAAAATCATCCGGCAGCAAAAACGCTCGACAAGTCCACAAATATGTTTCAGCAGCTCGAAAAGCTGGTGAGCTCTTTTGTGGAAAGTGAGAAATTGAGCTCTGCGTGGCAGCTGATAGAAAAAAGATTGTACATTGGCGATTATCTGGGGAACAGAACCCCGTTTAACGATTCGAATCTCTCGTCCGTGATAATTGGAGGATCATTGCGTCAGGATACAAGGGACCTGGTGTGCTGCTACCTTTCAATCTTGGAATACCTGGCTCTTTCTACAAAAATGATCGTTGAGTGTTTCCGCAAATCAGGATTCCGTCTCAAGACATTGCAGGTGTGTGGGTCTCAAGCGAAGAATGCTAGACTCATGGAGCTACTGGCATTAGTTTTAGACGATATGAACATCCTTCTTCCTATAGACTTAGACTCGAAGCTGATTGGAGCTCGCGGATGCTCGATCCTTGGCGGATGTGCGGCGAAAGATGCAAAGTTCAAGGTTGTCAAACATGTCCCCAACGATACTTTGAAGAAACTATTCGATACAAAATATGTCATTATGGTTGAGTTGATTGAGAAACAACAAGACTTCAATCGGAGGCTTGCCAGCTGCACCATTCACTCTCAGACACAGTGTTAATGTCGGCCCTTTCATCTCTTTTGACAAGTAGCATTTCCACAACGCGTTTGGCTGGCCCCCAGTCGTTTCCTTGTTGATCTATGTTATGTTCTCTGTAATGATACCACTCCCAAGTCAGAGTTGCTATGCGATGGGCGGGCTTTGCTGAGCGCCTGCCTCGTCCAGTGCTGTTGGGAAGCGGATCAAATGGGAGTCTGTTTTCCAACATTGCGTATAGTAGCACACCAAGAGACCAACAGTCGTTTTGCTTGCCATCGTATGCGAGTCCTAGAAGTAGTTCAGGAGACACGTAGTCTTCGGAGCCACATCGTGTGGTCAGAAGAGGCTGTTGGGGATCTATTTTCTTTGACAAACCAAAATCAGATAGCACGGCTACCGCATGCTCGTATTTACTGTCAAGTTCAACAGCAGATGCGTTTCTAAACTCGTCCGGAGTTGGCGCGAGCAATATGTTTTCCAATTTGATGTCTCTGTGGCAGATGTTCATATCATGAAGACATTTGACTGCGCTCACAATGTTTCTGAAAACCAGCCTTTTGTGGTGATAAGTGAAATTCTGTCCCAAACTCACAAGTAGTGTGAACAGATCGCCTCCGGAATAGTACGGCATTGCCATGATCACTTGGTTTTTGTCCAGCCTTGAGTTGGAACCTAAAAGCTTGACAATGTTCGGGTGATTGATAGATTGCAAGAGCGACAACTCTCGCACCAACGAGCTTTGGATTCGAAGCCTGGTGTCCGGATCATGCGAAGGAATGTTGGACACCTTGACGGCAACCGTTTCTGATTGGTCAATGTAGACTATGCTGAATGTGCCGCGGCCGATCTCCTTTGTGCAATGCCAGTACTGTTTTACATGAGTTGCCGTTTCAAGCGTGCAGAACGTAGCAACCACTTCTTTACCGTATTCCGTTTCCTCATTTATCGAATCCGTGCTCTGAAGGTTATACGCTGTCTGCTGCAATTCTGGCGGTCGCAGAGGCACCGACACGATTCTTTGCACAGGCTCAATGTTGAGCGAGAAATTCCTTCTATCGTCAAAATACACATCCGGGGTGGTCCTGTCATTGTGCTTTGTAGGAATGTTGCCTGGCTCTCTCAGTTTCTTCATGTGCAGTGAACAGCTTGACGGTTGGTTATGAGACATAATGGCTCCTTTGCTATACACCGAGCTCGAGTCTGTGACCGAATCACCGGTAGGAGCCTGAGCAACATCGTCTGCAGAGGGCATATCATTGATATCGGCAAACTCCCTGGCTACCGGCACCTTGATATCAACATCAGTGCCATCATTGTTAGACTCAGTCATCGCAAACGCTGGATCGTGCGATTTTGGGCCGACTCTCAGGGAAGTTATAAACGATAGAGATAATCTTGTTCTATTTACTTCTTGTTGATCAAGCCACACTGGAAAAATATACACCAGCCACAGGGACGGCAAGAAAATCATACTCAGAGAAAAAGTGTTTTCCCCAACTGCGCACCATGTCAGATGCTGATGTTCCGCCAATTCCCCATGTGGCGGCCAATATGACTCCACTTGGAGTTGTATTGCAACGCTACGCTGTTCACAGCTATAAGCAGCTTAGCGAATATTTGAAAACACTGGAAAATACCACCCAACCTGATGGTGTCAAGAAACGCAACTTCCTCGATATTCTGGTGAGTATTCGAGAGAACTTTGTGAGATTGTATGTGTTGAGCAAATGGGCTCGGAATTCTCAAAGTGTTGAGAAGTTAATCGACCTTTTTGTGTGGCTTCGAGAACAGAACCAAAGCATCACAAATGCCCTTGTGCAAATCGGAGGGATCAAACAATCACTGGTTTCTGCAAAACTCCCGAATCCGGACCTCGAGACCGCGCTCGAGGTTCTTATAAAGGGAAGACCACAACTTCCAACTCACAACTATGGACCCCAGAAAAAGATTGATCCCAAGCTTATACTTCATACGCTGAAGACGCTCGACGTCGAGCTCTCTGCCAAGATGGCCCTTGAAGACAATCTTCCCAAACCGTTTTACAACTACGAAATTAAGGATGGCCGGGTCAAATTCCGCATTCCTAATTTGTTCCAATGCTGTGTTTCAATAGCCAATACCTATGACCAGTCGGGGTTTTTCTTAGTTGATTTCAAACTAGAATTTCAGTCCAAGGACAATAAATTAATTCCCCAGGTAACCGCCCTTCCATATATGACGTTCGCACATTTAGAGAAAGTGGCCAACATCGAACTGAGCAAAAACGGTCTCACTGGATTGTACAATATTTTCCATAATTATGCCATCACCTGCAAACTGTACTACCTTCATCGTCAGCTAATTCGCCTGCGCATGGGCATGTGGAAGGGTCATCTAACCCATACATACAATGCGGAAAAATGCTATGTTGTTGTTACGTACTGGGTGAAAAGACGGTCTGTGAAGTCCACAATAGAGATTGGAAAACTCAAGAATAATTTACTAGGATTCCGTTGGATCCGTGAAGGCCGTCTGTGTACAGACCATGATTTTACACTTGAGAATGAAGATGGATCAATTACTATCGAACACCTAATCAGAGATATCATTCAAAAGCATATCGAACTGCACATTAAAGAAGTGCAGCAGGAGATTTCTGATAAAATTGAAATGGCTGACAAATTTGTGTCGCTGCACAAAGATTCCCAACTTCTGCTGACTTTGAGCTCCATGAAGTCAGCTGTGTATGGAATTGACGCTCTTTCTGGAGATGGCTTCTTCCAAAATCCTACCCCTATAATGGCAAGAGTCGCAGCTCAAATTAATGCAGACACGCGCGACACCGCACTCAAGCTGCTTGTGCTACGTTTGGAAACACAGTTAAGCGAGCTCGGGTCGATGCTAATGGCTACTGGCTGGATTGGCGTGGATGTTGTCCGGCTCTCCACCGCAGAATATTCAAAACTCAATATCGACTATGATCTTTTGAAAGATCGCACTTTTGCAGAACAGCTATTTGCCCTCAAATTTTATCGCCGCAAGAAATGGCCAAGCGGGTGGTTTCTCACTGTTGGAGTTTCGGGATATTCGTCCAAGGTTCAGTGGTGGTGTTCCAGAATCAAGTCGTCTGCAGGTCAGTGGTCGATTTCTTGGTGTGAACCACTAACCCTAGGGGGTGCGGAAAGCGAATTCAGCTATACATCGTTTGTCACGCTTGCAAAGAAAACCACGTCGATGCTACTTTGCAACCTGGTTGTCAAAGAACTGGAAAATCAAGGCTGTAAGCTCAAGACCGTAGACAAAAGTGACGAAAAAGTCAGACAGTTTACGAAGCAAAACTTTGGGCTTGATTTGGACTCCATGCAAAAGGGAGACAGCGCTACAGTGATTTTGGACAACAAGTCTTTATTCAATATTCCTAATTGCCGCGACTCTTTGGTGCTGACTATGAATATCAAAAACAGCGAGCTGGAAATTATGATTTTTGGCAAGCTGCAAAGTGAGCTCAAATTGTCGTCTATATCTTTCAACGACGAGAAGAATAACTCAATAGAGCTGAACCCGGACACTTCTATATTCAAGATTTATTCGCAAATCAACTTGCTGGAGAAACTAAACTACGAGTCCACGGCTAGCTTTTTCAACCCTTTGGCAACAACAGACATTTCCATCATGAGTGACTCGCTTCTGGTGCTCAACAAATTCTTCAGTTTGTTATCGCTCCTGCATATAATCAGCCATGACGAGTCGCTCAAAGTGATTGATATTTCCCTCACAAAAGTCTCTTTCCAATATGGATCTAATTCTGAAGAAATGATCACTCTGATTCTCTTGAACGAAACGCAAGACTCGATTTCTATTGAGCTTCCAAAAGATAATCCGCACAGACTCTGCTCTAAATACTTGAACGACATGGTTAGTGAGTTTGATTTTCAAAAGATCAAATTACTGGTCAGATACCTCAAATTGACCTTACCATTTTACAAGCTCCTTGTGAAATTGTCGATGGACAGCGAAGAGTTCTACAGACATTTTTTGGAACAGAACAGCAACTCTCAGCAACTTAAGATGACTCCCGAGAGCGGCTTCGAGCTGAACATGTTTGATTTCGAGATGTTCAAAATCACATACTACAAATATCTAGAACGCAAGTCGGAGAAAAAAGTCAAGACTGACAGAGTTTGTTTTGCTCTGACTGTACAACTGCGCCACAGAACGTACAAGCTATCCCTGGACAAGTCACTTTTTGTCATCAGCATTGAGCCTCTTCAGTTTGACCAATATGATGAGACCGCTAAGAAGTGGCTTCAGGACACAACCAACAAGATATATGCCACTTTGAAAGGCGACGAGCCTTTGTCGGCCTCTGGTCAAGTGGTGTACTTGCGTCGTGCCATAGCCTGTGACTATTTGTCTGTGGAAAATATTGTTCTTCAGTTGCACAGAAAGATCATCACGCTTTGTAGCTCGAAGTAGAGATTATGAATATATGAACGATAAAACTAATTTTATAAGGCTGTGTTTTAAATATTTCGTTATTTAAATATTCGCCAAAATGCATTTCATTGAGGAAGTCGTGCGACAGAAGGCGACCGCACCCACGGCGTCGGCGACCAGCTCGGTAGCAAGAACACCAAACAAGCGGAAACGGATCAATTATAACATCGCCGCTTTGCAGAACGCTATCGAACAGCAGAACTTTGATCAAGACGGGGACGAGGAGAACGAAGAGTCGGAACGCCATAATGCCATTGAACTTAAAAAAGCCAACCGACGATTTGAAGAGCTCGATAGAGAGAACTTCAGTGAGATCCACAAGCTGGAAATCCCAAAGAACCTCGGGCCACCAGCTGGAAAACGCACCTCTACACCGTCGGTGGCCGTCAAGCGGATACTGAACTCGAAGAAGAACTGGTCAAACTACGTGGATGAACTAGATAAGGCCGAGATGCGCGCGTTCAATGGACTTGAGATCAAGCCAGGCCATGTGATGGTGAAAAAACTCTGCACCATTTGCGGCAACGTCAGCTACAGCTCGTGTATACGATGTGGCGCACGAGTGTGCTCCCTAAAATGTCAGACTACACACAACGAGACCCGGTGCAGCGGGTTCTAGACACTGGTAAACAAATTCCACACACCTTTCAAATAGCCAATGATCTCGTCTCCTCCAAGCTTGGACTCTCCGTATAATCTGTCGACGAACGAGATAGGCACCTCAGCTATGGTGAATCCCATAGCTCTGGCTCTCACCATCATCTCCATCTGGAAAACATAGCCTTTAGACTTCGTTGCCCCGATAATTTTAGCCAGCACATTCTTTTTGTATAATCTGAACGAACCAGTTAAATCCGAGACGTGTGGTCTCAGAACCACAGTAGCAAGAAAGTTGGCTCCACGACTGATGAGCTTTCTTTTCAAGTCCCAACCGTAGACACCTCCGTCGCCTGCATAACGCGTTCCAGTGACAATGTCGTAATCTCCTTCTTTCTGTTTCTTTATGAATTCTGGGATCGACGAAGGGTGGTGCGAGAAGTCAGCGTCCATGATGATCACGAAGTTACCGGTTGCATACTGCAGTCCATGGATGTATGCTGTTCCCAGTCCCAGCTTTCCAGCACGCGCTCTAAGTTGGATGTGGTCTGCGCCGTACAGATTGATCAACTGTTTAGCCACATCTTGGGTTCCATCAGGAGATGCGTCGTCGACAATGATCACTTCCCAGTCCAAGCCAGCCTTCTCAAAGTGCTTCGCAATGAGATATGTGATAATTGGCAGGTTTTTGCGCTCGTTATACGTTGGCAGAATGACAGAATACTTGTCCATCGTTGTACAGAATAATGAATAGCAAAAATATATTTTTCAAAAATACAAAACGACGCCCAACATGTATGACTCTCATTTGAGGAAAATATTTGGCAGCCAGACAGACCAATTCCGCCAGTCAAAGGTGTTGATGGTTGGTGCCGGAGGTATTGGGTGCGAGCTACTCAAGGACCTTCTTCTGATGAACTACGGCGAGATACATATATTGGATCTTGACACAATAGACCTGTCCAACCTCAACAGACAATTTCTATTCCGCCAAAAAGACATCAAGAAGTCCAAGGCCATGACTGCACAGCAGGCTGTTAGTCATTTCAACCACTCCAGCAAATTGGTTGCGCATCACGGAAATATCATGGACACAAATATGTTCCCGTTGAGCTTTTTCACCCAGTTCGACATCATCTTCAATGCGCTAGACAATTTGGAAGCAAGATTCTATGTCAACAAAATTGCACTCTTCACAAAAATCCCCCTTATCGAGAGCGGGACGTCGGGATTGAAAGGTCAAGTTCAACCCATCTACCCTTACGAAACAGAGTGTTTTGCGTGTATTCCTAAAGAACAGCCTAAAACATTTCCCGTGTGTACCATTCGTTCGACGCCCTCCAAACCGATTCATTGCATCACTTGGGCAAAAAATTTCCTGTTCCCACAACTCTTTGGAGACGATGTTTCCGACCAGGAAAAGCTAAAGCCACAAGACATTGAGAGCGATAACAAGGCTGAAATAGAGGCGCTATTAAAAGAATCAAACGAGTTACTGGATCTTAAAGTTCTAGTCAACCAGGCTGTCCCGGGAGATAAGAGCTTTGTGTCTAAAATTGTCGAAAAGATCTTCAAAGAGGACATTGAGAGACTCTTACGGATTGAAACTCTGTGGAAAACAAGAGAGAAGCCAGAACCTTTGAAATGCGAACCATCCGAGATTGAGCGTCTGGATGGACAAGAGCTATGGACAGTGGAGGAGAATCTTGCTCTTTTTATCGACTCCACATGCAAAATTTCCCAGAGACTCAAGCAGGGTCCTGTTGACTTTGACAAAGACGACGAAGACACTTTGGACTTTGTGGTTTCCGCGGCCAATCTGCGGTCATATATCTTCCACATCCCAATGAAAACAAAGTTTGAGATCAAACAAATAGCAGGAAACATCATTCCTGCGGTGGCCACCACTAATGCCATCATGGCTGGATTCAGCGCGCTTTCTTCATTCCATGTTTTTCACGCAACGATGAAAGAAAAGGTGTCCAAGTCGAGAATGGTTTATGACTCGAATCAGCCCACCAGGTTTGTGAACACCTCTGGGCTGGCTCCTAAAAACCCCAAATGTCCAGCATGTTCTGTCACTAGAGGAATAATCACAATAGACCTTTCAAGGTTCACAATTGATGAACTGCGCAAAGCGATCATTGACAAATATGGATATTCAGATGACATTGGGATCGCAGAAGGAGCGAGACTTCTTTATGATTACGACTTTGACGATAATTTGGAAACAAAGCTGGACAAGGTGTGCTCTTACGGCAATGTGTTATTTATCAGTGATGCTGCTGAGGAGCTAGATTCCTTGGAACTATTAGTGGACAGAGGAAATGATTTGGAGCTGCCAGAACTAGAGGTTCCTGCGAAAATGGTTCCAGAAGAAAATAAGGAGGACGAAGGTGAGGAAGACGATCTGATCATGGAGGGGGACGATCTCACTACGGAGAGTGACATAAATGGCCTGCACGGTCCTAAACGTAAGGCTGAGGATGGCGCAGGCCCAGTGAAGAAGAGAAGACAAGTGGCGGACGATGTTGAAGTCATAGAACTGTAATTTACATTAGTGACTAGTTAAACTCCTTGCTTATTTTCTGGACTTGGAAGTAGACCTTGATCGTAATCTTTTGAACCAAGAGAGCTTCTCTCCATTAGCGCCGTTTGGATCCTCCTCAGACCTGGTTTCGCGTTCGTCATCTGTTGGGCCTTGGACGGAGCTCAGGTTATCGTCGATCGACGATGGTATGATTTTCGGAGAGCCAGGATGATTTGGTAGTTTGATCATTGTTCCCATTTGGCTTGTCGAGGAAGAGACCGAAGTGGACTCGTACGCACCAATATTGAGCACTGGAGGTTTGAGCTCCGTTTTAGGAACGGAAGCTTCAGCTTTCAGTGGACTCTCTGCTTTGACTTCAGAGGGTGACGTTCTCGAGTTTGATGAGAACGATGAACGCATTTTTTGAGACCCAATCGACGAAACAGAAAGCCTTTGAGCAAGCGGGCGTGTCTCATCGTCCGTATCCACCGCCGAGTCAACTGCTGAGTCAACTTCGTCTGTAGTATTTGTTTGGGTGTGCTCCAATTTGGACTTACTGTTGTTCACGCGAAGCATGTCGGACGGAGATTGGACAGAGGATAAACTCTTGCTATGCTTTCTAGTGAACTTTGTGGTTGGCGGAGGCAGCAATGCTGTTGGAGCGGGGAGTTTGGAACTTGACTGCTCAATTGTTGTGGGTGAGGCAGGAGAAACATGTGTAGAGTCTTTTCTGGAAACTTTTTGAGCAGCTGGCAAAATTTTGTACGAGTATTCAATCATGAATTCAACAACCAGCGACGAGAGAGCGTATTCTTCGGGCGACATATCGTGGTCTGAGTGAGACAAAACCGAGGGCTGAAAAATGGCAGCTAGATTTTTGGCAGGCATGAGGTTTTTGTCGCAATGTGCATTAAAAATGGCAAGAAGGTCCAAGATGTAGAAGAGCAGCTGTCGTTGCAGCTCAGGCAACTGTTCTATTAATCTCGCGTAGTCTTTCAGCGCTTCTTTGCGCTCTTTCTTTATCTTTTCCTTTTTATTCCTTTTGCGAAGCTTTATCTCCTCGTCGCTGAGCTGCTCCTGTTCTTGAATTTGCTCTTCTTTGCACGAAGACAGGCCACCGAGATCGCTCATCTTTTTCTCTTTCTCTTTCAGGAAGCGGACGATATTGGGACGTGATCGAAGGGGCTCCCTAAATTTGTCGTACATGGAGAGCGGTATAAGTGGCTCTGGGAGCGAGCCAAGGAATCTCCTAAACAATGACGCAGCGTCATGCACTGTATACCCATCCCAATCAATTTTAGATCCGTAAGTAGGTGGGGACGAGAATATCAACTGCAGCTGCTTGATTCTCTTGGTCGAGCCTGCGACTCTGAATATCCCTTCAACCTCAAGTCCGTTCTTCTTCAAGAACGACCCACATAGTGCCACCACCCTAGGAATTCGGCCGTAGCGTATCAGTCCGTCGCGGTCACTGCTGATGTATATTTTTGCCTCAGCAACCTTGATTGATTCCTCGATAGGGCAACCAAATATCGATGAGTCGCCAATGTAGTCCATTTGTCGCTGTTGAATAAAAGAATCTCGGTGTTGTTTTAGTTTCTCTTGCGATCCGTTGTCCTGAAATGGTGACAGCGGTCTCACGTTGTGGGACGAGCGCGACTTGTAACCTAAGAAGGGTCTTGTCGGTGAAGCCAAGGGTGAGAGCAAAGATGGCGAATTCGCGCGGTATTGCGGGGTGGGAGATGAAAGAGACTTGGATTCTGCAGAAAACCCTGACGTGGAGTTGAGACCTTGACCGTTCATCGGTAGAGGAGGAGGCGAGCCTAGCTCTGATTCTCCCTTTTTGATGTGTTTCCACCAACCGGTCAGCGAGTTCTTGCTTGGAGACGAAGGTTCTGACATGAGTTATCTGTTGTGATCAAAACAGTGTACTGTGAATGTATCCTTGAAGCTTTTGTCAGTATAGTATTGTGCTAATTTTGTAAGTACATCCAATTTCACCACAATGTTCAGTCCAAGTAGAAGGTTATGCTTTCAGCGGGCATATATTTCGTACTACACGGTCCGAGAAGCAATAACAGCGAAAATAACATATATTTTTAGATTTCCATTTTATGTTGCCGAGGTCGATCGGCTCGGTGTAGAGATGAGTTTCTGCAAATTCGGGCTTGGTTGGTCAGCTTTTTCTCATTAATCAACACACCAAGTTTATCTAGAATTCCATCCGTGCAATGAGTTTCAAGGGATTCCAGAAAGCCATTGTGCGGGCTCCGCAGAACTTGCGGCAAAAACTCAACATGGGAGAGACCACCAACGACCCTGTCTACCAGGATGCAGAGAGAAGGTTCAAAGAATTAGAGGATATGACGAAACGTTTGAGCGAGGAGTCGAAGCGGTACCACAAAGCAGTCAATGACATGCTGGATAGACAGCTTGGATTTTCAAAGTCGATTGAGGAAATATTCAAGCCGATTAGCGGCAAGGTGTCGGACCCTAACTCTACCATTCCAGAAGGCAACCCGGAGGGTATTGAGGCTTGCGTTCAATACAGAGATGTTCTTCAGGAGCTCAAAGAGACGCTTAAACCCGACCTGGAGCTCATTGAGTCCAGAATTGTTGGTCCGGCGAACGAGCTGTTGCGCATCATCCAGGCTATCCGGAAAATGGCAACAAAGAGAAATCATAAGCAACTTGATTTGGACAGACACCAAAACTCGTTAAAGAAAGCCCAGCTGAAAGCCGAAAAGAATGAGAAGATGGAGGAAAAAGTGTACAAGTACGAGAATGAGGTTGCCATTGCTCAGCAAGAATTCGACTACTACAACGAGATGCTGAAGACCGAACTGCCTATCCTCTTTCAATTGGAGGGCGAGTTTATTAAGCCCTTGTTCGTTAGTTTGTACTACATGCAGCTGAACGTTTTCTACACGCTCTCGTCTAGAATGGAGGAAATGAAGATTCCATATTTCGATCTGAACTCGGATATTTTGGAACAATTCGCAATCAAGAGAGGCGACGTCGAAGAGAGAGCTGAGGCCATTGGACTGACGCACTTCAAGATCGGACACGCAAAGGCCAAGCTTGAGGCTACCAAGAGAAGATATGCTTCCGGCCAGCATCCAGATGCTTCATCTCCAACTTCATCTTACGGTAGTGGATCCGCTTACGGCCAATCTTCTCCTCTCACTGCTTACGGCCAGTCTTCGCCTCCACCATATGGACAGAATTCTCCTACGCCAGCTTATGGCCAAACCTACGGCCAAACACCACCTACCACCACGTCGACCTATGGCTATCCAGAGGACAAGAAAACGCCATATGGCGCTCCCCAGCCTGCTTCCTACGCCTACTCGTCCCCTAATTCTTACACCTCCGCTTCTTCGCCGGTGGTTCCTCCTGCTCCGGCTGCCGCTCCTGCTGCTGCACCGGCAGCAGAAACTTGTACCGCGCTGTACGACTACACGGCTCAAGCAGAAGGAGATTTGTCTTTTAGTGCTGGACAGGTTATCACCATTTTGCAAAGGTCTGAGAACCAAAATGATTGGTGGACCGGCTCTGTAAACGGTGTGACTGGAGTGTTCCCAGGTAATTACGTTCAGCTCAATTAGGCGGTGTATGGGTGCAATATAAAATAAGGGTACTTCGGCGTCTGAAAAAGAAGGATATAGTTTTTCCCACTTTGTTATGGACAGAATTGCAAACACATATACCAGCTTTGCAAGCTCTGTCTCAACGTTTGGACGAGTCTTCTTTGTTCCCTATGTGCTTTCGAGAGTGATTCTGCAATTTGCACATTACAATATTCTGAATGTTCTTTCGTATACCAAACTTTTTATTTTGTACCACTACAACATGATTTTGATGATTAACGGAGCTAGAGAGGACGAACTGACTTTCCAGGAGTCCTGGGAACAGAAAAAACGATTTAACGTCGTCAGAACGTACAATGAAACAAGACCTGTAGCAGAAGATGTCAGAAGTTGGTTCGAATCGCCTGCGTTGCAAGCTATACCAAGTATCACATGGAAAAGAACAGCATACTATTATGAAAGATATATTATTTACGCTCCCATTTGCACACTCAGAAGACTTCCCTTTGTGCCAAGCAAAACAGACTCTTATTTATTTGACCCCCATTCCACCTCCGCTCCTTCAGCGGATAAAGATGGCCAATTGCTTGAAAGAGAGTCTAGGTTCCCCAACAGTGATGCTATCAGAGACTCAAGTCGCGTCATAGCACCACGAGTCAGATCAGACTTCACCCCAAAATCCTATATCTTGAGTTCTGAGTCGGTGAGACAGACACATGACTCGGGTCATCTGGTTTCCCAGACGTTCCCAATCAAATCTCCATCAATCACTAAACTTTTCGAGCAACCAGCAGAAGCACCACCACCCTCACCAGTACCTATACCAAAAGAGCAACATGCGATTGAGGATAGGCCGATCAAATCTTCAGACTCTAACTCGTCTTTTTTTTATAAGATCAGAATACGGAGAAAAAACAAACCTCAGGATCCTAATTTTGGAAATTATGAACTCGTGAGACAAGCGATCAGAGAATGTCTTCCAAAACCAGATTATGATGATGGGTCTATTGGCCCCAACATGGTTAGGTTTACCTGGCATTGTTGTGCCCATTTTGACCGTGAATCAGGTACCGGTGGATGTAATGGGGGTACAATGAGATTCGCGCAAGAATTCAATGATCCCGGGAATACAGGGCTGCACACTGCTAAATCGTATCTGGATCAAATTCACGAGAAATATTCTTGGATATCTTTTGCTGATTTGTATACATTAGGAGGGGTGGTGGCTATTGAAGCCATGGGGGGACCAAAGATTGAGTGGAAGCCAGGAAGAACAGATTGTCCAGACTCCAGCAAAGTGCCTCCGATGGGAAGACTTCCATTGGCTACAAAAGGTACTGAACACATTCATGAAGTGTTCACTCAACGGCTTGGATTCAATGATCAGGAACTTGTTGCGTTGATCGGTGGTGGCCACACCTTGGGTGGGTGCCACGTGAAGTTTAGTGGATTTGACGGCAGTTGGACTCCCCATCCAATCAAGTTTGACAATGAGTTTTTCAAAGTGTTACTGGAGGATACGTGGAGCCTCGAGCAAGTCCCTCTGACGGGCATGCCACAGTATTACAACTCCGATCACAGCTTGATGATGTTGATGACAGATATGGAGCTGATCAAGAATCCTACATTCAAGTATTGGATTGAAGTGTATGCAAAAGATTCCGAGCTATTTATGAGAGACTTTGCTTCAGCGTTTGCCAAACTATTAGAACTGGGAGTCAACAGAGACCCTGATGGAATTGCTCGAACGAAAATTTAGTTTACATCAATGAATGTGGTATCGTCTTCCAGTCCCGATGTTTCATCCAACCCCAAGCTTTCAGTTATTGAAGAACTGGGGAGATTGTTTGTATCCAAAAGCCGTGATTGAACGATGCTGGGCATAGCATTGAGAATCCCGTCGTCTTCTGTTGTGGACGGACCGCCAAGGAAATCCAGCATCATGTGCATTCCACCACCTCCCGAATATTCTTCCACATCTACCGGAAGAACAGAAGAAACACCTTCCAAGAACCAGACCTTGTCCTTCATTTCGTCGGTGAAATTTCGAAGCAGTTTATAATAGCATCGCATTATCCTCATTGCTGAGAGGTCACAACTGATAAGCAGTCCCAGGAACCGTTTGTCCAGAAGGGCAGGAAAGGCAAACACTCTCAAAATAAAGTCTTTCTTGTTCCGTTCCATGTGAAGCTTTGCCATGTAGGCCAGTGTTGGTAGATATGGCGAGTGGAGCGGAATCGGGAACATATCCCGTATCTCTTCGTCAAAGCACTGAATGGAGGAGTATTTCATTTTTAGCATGTCAGCCTTTGCTGTATCTGTTGATAGTTCACCAGAAATCAAGTCGTAGCCGATTTCCCCCAGGTCGCCGAGGTCGACCGAGATAAACTTGTAAAATCTGGATTTCTCGCTCAGGGGCCATACTGCCGTCAATATGGTTGCCGCTCCTTTGACATGGAAGATCCATGCGGACGGCGGAAGTGACTTCAGCGAAGTTGATGTTGGCAAAGAGGCGTTGGCCAGAGAATCCATAATCAGAATCAAGGCAGCTGCTACCAGGGCATCTGTGTTCTCGGGCGACATCTCGAGCACTGCCTCACGTAGCAATCCCAACGCGTCTGCACGGTGTCCAGTAATGCACTGGTCAAGGCCACGCTCTGTACGGGAGAGATGTGTAGCGCTAAAAGCGAGTACTGAATGCATAAGGAACGGGTATTTGAAAGCGAGCATCGGGATCTCCTCGGACCATATTTTGGAGTCTGATATTCCTGCCTCTGTGATTGTCGGCCAAACTTTGGTGGTGTAGTGGTACATGAGTCTTAAATCGAGCATGTTGAGTGTTTGATGTGTATCGTAGGCCAGAGCTTGAGTAGGAGGCGGTTGCGTAATCATGTTCGGAGACAGGTTCGGCTCTTGCACAATTTCAGGAGGTTTGAGTGTGTTTTGCTTTTGCTCCTGGATGGGCAAAGAGCCTGAGGAGTTCAAGATATGCTCGTTGGTCAGGATATCCTGTGTAGCCTGCACAGTTGGAGCAGGTATATTGTAAACGCACTGAATTCCCATGCGATCACAGTTACCGCACACTGGACGCTTTTCATCGCACTTCACGCGTCTTTTCTTACATGTAGAGCATCCTTTGCGACTTTTCTTGTGGAACTTGCGCTTTGCACCTGGACGTTTAGCCACACGGGACTCATCCGGGGACTCCTCTTTCATTCGTTTAGGTCGTAAAAATATTTTAATTCTGCCTAGCTAAGAACGCGCGAGACATAGGGCACTGCCAAGAGGAAAACCGTTAAATTTAATGCTCCGTTTTCTATCGGGATAAGGCGATCCGTGGTTGAGTGGCCGAAACCGTATAGCTATTACTACGCTTTTGCTTCCATCTAATCATATTCGATTACTATTAATGGTCGTGGGTCTCCTTTGGAGGATCTGGATCCACGTTGATCATTGTGTCTATACGCAGGATGGCAATGCAGGCCTCCAGCGCCGACTTGAGAGATTTGATCTTGGAGATGGTAGGCTCCAGAACACCGTGGCTGACCGAGTTCACGACTTTTCCTCTCACAAGGTCCAGCCCGTAGTTTTTGTAGTTCTTGCGCTTGGTATCTATGTGAGAAACTTGCTGCGATGCAGCGTGGTAGGAGCGCAATTTGGCAATAAGGTCCGAAGCATCCTTAGCAGCATTCACGGCCAAGGTCTTCGGAATGACAAGCAGAGCAGCCGCAAATTCGGCAATGGCCAGCTGCTCACGCGATCCGACAGTGGTGGCAAAATTCTCCAGATATATGTTCAAAGCACACTCGACAGCCCCACCGCCGGGAACCACATGACCGCTTTCCAAAGTCCGCTTTACCACGGAAAGAGAATCATGTAGCGAGCGTTCCATCTCATCCAAAGTGTAGTCGTTAGGGCCTCTCAAAATGATCGAAGACGAAGAGTGAGTTTTAGTGCCTTTGATCAGAATACACTCATCGTCACTGAAACGCTCTTGAACAACTTCCTCAGCTTGTCCTAGATAAGTGCTCTCAAAGACTTCGTCTCCTTCCAAGTTGGACATGCTGCTGATAAGGGTAGCCCCTGTGGCACGGGCAATTCTTCTCAAATCCTCCTTCTTACAACGTCTCACGGCCATCACCTTGGCCTCAACAAATTCCTTCAAGCATAAATCATCAATGCCCTTCGTAGTCAGAACAACATTTGCGCCTGCATCGATGATCTTGCGAACGCGTTCGAGAACAATTCCGTATTCTCTCTTGCGGATCTCCTCCAGTTGCTCTGGATCATCGATGTTGATTTGAACACCCATTGCCATTCGTGCTTTTTGTAGATTGATATCCAGAACAGCAATACGAGCATCAGTGACGCGTTTCACCATGGCTTGGGACCCCACCGTACAATTGAGCGCATAACCGTTCACCAACACCGATTCAGTGGCAGATCTTCCATGTGCCTTGAGAATATTCACAGCCTTAACCGGGTACTTTGTTTCTCCCTTGCTGTTAGTGGTCTTCACAGCCAAAAGGGCGTCAACCACCAATTGGCTGAAAAAATCAGAGTCGGATCCAATGATCTTGGAAGACATGGAGGTCTTTGCAATGTTGACAAGAGTCTCTTTTCCAAGCGAGTCGACCGGCTGAGAAAGCATCTCATTGATGAAACGAGTAGATTCTCTCAATGCAAGACGGTAGCCTGTAATCACAGTTGTTGGGTGAATTTTGTTCTTGACCAGCTCGTTAGCCCTCTTTAAAAGTTCGGAGGCAATAATCACCACAGAGGTGGTTCCATCTCCCACCTCGCGGTCCTGCTGGTGAGCGAGCTCGACCAGAATCTTACCTGCCGGATGCTGAACATCTAGAAGTGATAGGATGGTGGCGCCATCGTTGGTGACGGTGACATCACCGATGTCGTCGACCAGCATTTTGTCCAGACCGACCGGTCCCAGCGACGACTTGACAACATTGGCAACGGCCTGGGTAGCCAAAACGTTCTGGTTGCGAACATCATCGCCACTGACTTTCTCTCCGCCCAAAAATAGAGTATCTGAACGCGCAGCAGAGAACATTGATTTACTTGAGAAAGAAAAGCTTTGTTTTTTCACTAACATTGACAACTAGTACTTATGGTCCGGGTAACTCTACATATAATGGTCATAGAATGGTGCACTTCTTAGCCTTCTTAATCACTGGAGGCTCAAGGGCAGCCACGATTGCCTCATCGAACACGTTCTTGAGTCCCTCCTGGCTCAAGGCAGAACATTCGACGTACTTGACGGCCTTCAAGTCTTTCGCAAGCTTCTCGCCCTGCTGTGGCGTGATAGGCTTCTGGCCTTGTCTCATGAGGTTGGAGAGCGCTGTAGGATCCTTACGAAGATCAATCTGGGTACCAACAATCAGACACGGAACTTGTGGAGCGTGGTGGCTAACTTCAGGGAACCATTTTTCTCTAACGTTATCGAACGACGAAGGCACAACAACAGAAAAACAGATCAGAAACACGTCGGTTTGAGGATATGAAAGTGGTCTCAATCTATCGTAATCTTCTTGGCCTGCTGTATCAAACAACCCCACGGTGTATGGCTCGTCTCCGATCATGACCGTCACGGCGTAGTTGTCGAAGACAGTTGGGACATAATCTTCTGGGAATTTATTGGTGGTGTAGGAGATGAGCAGACAAGTCTTACCGACCGCTCCGTCTCCCACCACGACACATTTTATTGTCATCATTTTGAATTAAGTTGGTCCAGCCAAAAGAGATGTTTTTACAGTTATCTGTTACAATTTGAAGGGGGGTAGGGTAACAAAAAAAAAAAGTAAGAATAAAAATAAGGAACAGAAAAAGCGATGGATTGAAAAGAAAAGCAGAAAAAGCAGACGACAAATTACATGTATTTTTTTGCGTGATGGTGCATTCAAGAATTTACTATAGCAATTCGACGCGTCTATTTCTCGTAACTCATTCATCCTCACTTTCTGCCTCCTGCAACCATTCGATCCACTTTTCCACTCTGTCCCGGGCACCGATGTCCTTACTCTTTTCGCTCTGCCACCATTTGTAAATGTTTTCCTCTTCAATGATTTCCTCGTCGTACAAAACAACAAGGATCCACAACAGTACGACCGAACTATAAGACGCGTCGAGCTGCGAGCACAGAGTTTGTAGAATTATAAGCAAGTCCACCTGGTCTTCGCCGTCAAACACTTGTCTATCAAACAAGGATGACCATTTGCGGAAGATCTTCTCGACAGCCTCTTTTGCTCCTAAGGTCTGGGTTTCGATGAAATGGTCTACCCGCTTCACCAAAGCTGTGCTAGTGGCGACACGGACCTCGTGGTAGGTCACGTTCATACTCATTCTCAACGTGTTGAGTTCCAGAAGAGCAGTGTCAATATCGTGGTTGAACTCCATGGCCCGCTCAACAGTGGCAATGGCCTCTTTATCGAACTGTTCGTCTTCATCCTCCGACACATAGACCGATGTTGTGCTTTGAGTGCGCTTCTTGCGACGATGCTGGTGGGCCACCGTGGTGGAAGCCAAAGAAGTATCGGAAACGTTCAACTGGGCCATTTGGTAAATCATGCCTCCATATTGACCGTCTTCTTGGATATCTTCCCTATACAAGTGACCGAGTCCCTGTGGACCAACGAGATTGGGGTCGCTCTCCTCCTCCTCGTTTTCTTCCTCTGAAAGAGACAGACTGTCGTCCATCTTGCGTATTTTCTCCTTGACAATTTTAGTATCGTGCAAAATTTCGACGTTGTCGTCGATTCGCACTCCAAACCCAACCACCGCTCCTGGGTTCAAAATGGTGTTGGCCCCAACAACAGCGTCGGCAGCAACTATTGAATGTTTGATGATCGAGCCATCACCAATAACCGCCCCTTCCCAAATGTACGAGTTCTCCACAAGCACGTTGTTGCCAATGCGGCAATGGCGGCCAATCACAGAAGCCTGGATCTTGGACCCGTCGCCAATAAATGTGTCGTTGCCTATAACAACTCTCGACTGGATTTTGCAGGACTGAGAAAGTCTGATGTTCTGTTCTTTATAAATATGCTTGCTTTCGTAAGTGTAGGTCTGGTCGTCAATGATGTTGCGCTCAGGAACAATCGGATAGCACCATCTTTCCAAAACGTCCTGCGAAATGCCGTCGTAAGTCTGCCAGCTCTCAACCCGCGCAGCGTACTCGTCTCCCGTAACATATGCATAAATGTGTTTTTTCAACAAGTCACTAGACAACACTCCCTTGACGAAGTCTGAACGCAGTGCCTGGTAGTCAAAATTTTCCTGGAAAATAGTTGGAACTTGGGGAGTGCATATATCAACGTGGCAGTCAATGAGATCGTTTCTGATATCAAACTCGGCCACATCTTGCAATATTTCTGGATCGATATTCACCGACGTTTTCTGGCCGTTAACTGGCGGGATGTCTTGGTAATACAAGCACTTGTCTGTCCCCTTTTCGAGAATAAAACACGCAGGCTCAATATGGGATCTTGCCCTGTGCAGCTCAGAAGCCTGCTTGAGCACCATGGTGGCAATATAGTCTCTGTCGGCGACTTTACGTTGCTTGTGGACTGCCAAAACCTTGCTGAGATCCAAATTGGTCACGACGTCGCCGGAAACGAGAACGAAATCTCCAGTGATCAGGCCTCTGGAGTCGACATCTCTTATGGCGTCTCCCACACTTCTCGACTCCAGCGACATGATGGTCTGAATCTTAGTAAACGGTGACGACGGCTGTACCCATTTGGAGTCATCGATGTATTGCTGGACCTGATCTGCGTGTGAGCAACACATTAGATAGACCTCCGAGACGTTGGCCTGGGCCAAGAATTCGAGGGTATATTCGATCAGGGGGACATTTGCCAGCGGTAACAGACACCGGGGTCGGATAGCTGTCAGAGGCATAAAACGCGTCTGAAACGAGTCTGTGAGCACAATTGCTTGGATTTTTTGCTCCTCGATATCGTCTTTCTTCATTAGTTGCAGGCTGAAAATTAGGCAGAAAAAAATATTATGAACACAGACGCAGAGACACCACACACCAGCACCCACACATCGACACCCAACACCAGCAAATGACGTATTTTGCTTGCCCTCTCTGGAAGCATGACCTGAAAATTTGCCTCGCATGCGTGACACACCCCATGCAATATAAAGTCCGGGGGTAATCCCCAAGATGATTCAAAGATCATCTCTAGAATATTTTAGCTATGGAAGCCGTGGAATTAATGAAAAGCGTCAATTCTTCTTTGAACGAAAGCCAAGACGTCAAGATCGAAGAGTTGTTGCCTCCTAGCACAAGACCGACACAAAACAGATACTTGGACTTGTCAAACTCTGTGAGTGCACCATTTGTCATTCAGGGAGTGTCGCCTTGCTCTCCTGAATTTGGAGGCGAGAAAAGAGAACGCAGCGATAGCGATGTGAGCGAATATAGCATGAAGATGTTGTAAGGGTCGCGGTTGGGCATACAGTTGTTTACGATAAATTAAATTCAGATTCGCAATTATGAACAATGCTGTAGTATAATAACGAGTATGATCTCCAATTAGAGATCAAATGCATACTTGGACTTCTGTCTGAGCTTCTTTCCATATATGACGAAAAGAATTGGGCAGGCAATCAGAAGTATAGAGAAAAGGCCAAGAAGAAGACCTGCCCAGTTGGTGTGCATGTTTTGGAACATGAAGGAAGCAAACAGCGGGAAGACAGCACCAAACGAGGATCTCAAGAATGTGTTGGCAGCCATGGCAGAGGCGGCAAAAATCAGGTAGCTATCGATGATATAGTTCATACTTGGAATAAAGATTCCCATGAGACCGAAACCGGTGAAGAGACCAGAAACGGTTGGCACAATCCAATGGATGTCATCGTGGTAGTTACCTGTCCAAGTAAACCACAGAATACCAATAGGAAAGGCCACACCACCCCAGATGATGGTTGGGAGTCTGGCTTCTGGGACAATTTTTCCGTTATTTGCTTCCAAAGCACGAACGTAACCTTTCTCATGGTAGATACAGAAACAACCCCCCAAGACCTCGCCAATCACCATTCCAAAATATGGCAATTCGGCAACACCGGGAGCCATTTTGTATCCTTCCTGGAAGACAAATGGGTATGCAGTCAAAAAAAGGTACAACATGCCGTAGATGAAAGCATTGTACACACTGATGAAGAAAATGATCGGCTCCGTGAAAAGCATCTTGAGCGGTCTGGAAAGATTGTTCTCAACGATTTCTCTGACACTGAGCTGGAACTCGTCGTGGGGAGCATGAATACCCCAGTTATTAGTACGTCTCTTGATTTCTCTGGCTTTTTCGACCAACAAAATCGGATGATGTGTTTCTCTCATAAATAGGACGACCAGAGCCACGTTCGCCGATGCAAGGATGCCGGTGATGAATTCGGTCCATCTCCAGCCAAGACTTGAGTTAGCCACGATAAAACCTCCAATGAACGGAGCCAGTAATGGGCCAACAAACACAGCCATCGAAAACACCACCATTGCTGTACCTCTCGTGCGGTTGCCAAACATGTCTGCAAAACCAGCCGGAGCAACCACCATTGGTGCCGCTCCCAAACAGCCAGCGAAGAACCTGCAAATCAAAATCGACTCTAGTCTATCGGAACATGCGACTGCGAAATTGAAGGCAGCAAATGCAACCGAGGAAATAAGCATCACAGGCCTTCTACCGTACAATTCGGACAGAGGAGCCCAGACCACAGGTCCTGTTGCAAAACCAAGAACATACAGGGTGATACCCAGCGTGGCAACGACAGGGGCCACGTGATATTGGGCAGCGATCTCAGGGACTCCTTCAGAGAAAACGGCTGAGCCAAACGCAATACAGAATGTATCTGCGCCAATGATTGCGCACTGGATAACTTTTGTCTTTAATGGCCAGTTATGTGGATGGAAAGGATCGTTTTCACCGTCGAAAGCGACCACATAAGGCTCCTTATCGGGCAGCATAGGTGGATAATCCTTGCCACCACCCATCGGAGGAATAGGCACACCCGCCTCTTCCTGTTTCTTTATCCTGTCCTCAATGGACCTGGCGTTCGTGAGCACTCTAGACAACTCCCTGGAAACCTCAGTAATCGACTCTCTACGAGAATTAGGTTCTAGGTCAGGAGGAAAATTGTCCTCGTTGAGTGCATGAGGTTCATATTTGGCAGGCTGGGCAGCATAGGCGTCATGGCCGAGAGGGTCTTGATCTAACGTCGAGGCACTGGATTTGGCCTCCGAGTCCTGGGAGATGGTGTTATCTCCAGGCAGATTTTCGGCCTGAGACGAGCCATCGGCATCGCTCGTGGACTCTGCGGTGTAGAACGATTCAGTGTTATTATAAGACGAGCTCAAAGAGTGCGTACGGGAAGAACTCATATTGGAAAAACAACTAAAGACGTAATTCTCCACCTGTGCTGAGCCTTAATTAGAAGTATGCGGAAAAAAAAAGAGAATTAATAATGCGAGAAATAAACAAACTGGTGTAAAAAAAAATTTGACGGCAGAAACAGAACCACGCCGTGCCGACAAGCAGCAATCCCGGAGGACAATAACTAACTCCGAACTGATCGGTGTTGCGGACTTAACATTATACAGTTTGGGAGAAGAGATTTCTGTTTCGGGTGGATAACTATGCAGCAGGGGAAAAGAAGTTGCCGGCGCAAAATTTTTTTCCGAACCGGCTATAGCCGGACACTAGCGCTCTTGGCAGGGCTCCTCTTTATTCAAAGCCTTAGCACTGCCCGAAGTGCCCACGTTGACGAAAAACGAGATGATCAGTGCTGCCCCACTGAACCCAATTGCTAGATAGAAGACGTTTCGTATGCCGTAAAACAGGAGCTCTGGATATAAATTTTGTTCCGACTTTCCATAATACGGATCTCGGGCCGAAATTAAAACTGAGCCCAAACTGAGCCCCACCACAGTGACTAATTGAAGAATTGTGTTGAACACTCCTGCTGCCGACCCTTGATCTTTCACATCCACGGCAGACATGGTCACCATCGTACACACGTTATACGTGATGTCGCACGCAACGGCTGACAGAATGTACCCCCAAAACGGGCCCAGCCAGTAATTTCTGTGGTAGCCCATGGTAGCCCAGATAATGCTAGCACCCAGAATGCAAAGATTCCCGCCTATAAGCATAATTTTACCCGAGATCACGTGGAACGACACCGCAACAAATAGGTTTGTAAAGATGCCGCTCACCCCCATCGGCATGGCTGCAAGTGCCGTGTGCAGCGCTCCCCAATTTTTTATATCCTGGAAATAAAGCATAGGGTAGTAACCCAGACACCCGATAAACGTGACCCATGTGAGCGATGCCACCACCATGGACAGGACGAAATTGTTGTTTCTCCAGAGCTGCATCGGCATGATCGGATCGTGCGCCACGTACAGCTCCACCAGGATGAAAACTCCTAGCAAAAAAATTCCAACGATTAAGAGAGAGTAGATGTAAGGTGTGTGCCATCTACGTTTTGCTGCGTCGACCTGGGTTAGCGAAAACGAGATCAGTGCAAATGCGGAGAGAATCAAAAAAGACCCAAGATAGTCCAGCTTCAGCAACGTTTGCTTGACCGTAATCTTGTCCAATGGCTTGTCTTTGGGGACCACAAAATATGCCACTATAGTCACTGCCCCAAAAAATATAGCAGTGAAAAATTGAACTGCCCTCCAGCTGAACGCCGTCACAGACACGCCTCCGATCAGAAGACCAGCTATGTATCCGATGGCACCACCACTGGAGAACACGGCAAACGCAACGTTCCGCCGTCGCGACTCTTTATACAACGATCCTATCAGACCGGCACCCGCAGGAATCAAAGGCGCAAAAAACAGACCCTCAACGGCCCTGAGAATGACCAGACCGATGAAGTTCTTCATGAATCCTGCAACCAGCGATGCCAGCGTGAAGCCTGAGAAGCAAAAGAGCATCACGCGACGTCGGCCGAAACAGTCGGTCAACTTACCACCAATGAGTAGAAAGCTTCCACTGGAGAGCACAATTGATGAAACGCTCCACACCAGCTGGCCCCCGTTGACTTCAAAGCTGTTGGCCAGATTCGTAAGGCTTGTCTGGAAACTGCCCTCGGGAATTGAACTGGTTGCCACCGCAAGGCAAACAACAATTACGCAAAGAACCTCCTGAAAGGTAGATTTGAAAGCCTCAGGACGGGCATTAGGATCCCTTACCTGATGAACTTGAGTATCATACTCTGGATCTTTGAGCTGGGCTTCAACATTCGCGGCCATGCCCTATAAATCAAAGGAATCTCAAAATCAAACCGCGGCTATAGGCATGAATTTACGGATATATATTTCTTCGTCAAAAATAAAATATTTTTGGAGATGTGGATTGCGCGCGGCGCTATTGTTTTACCAACGGAAGAAACCCTTTGGGGCGAAAGATAGCGATAATTGCATCTGTTCACAAATTACTCACCAGAAGCCGTCGGTCATTGAGAAAATCGCAAACCTTCTGTCGAGCTGAGGCTAGGTTCTCCATATAGTCATGATAAAAGTGAATACCTTGCTTCAAGTTTTCGACCACCTCTAAATAGCCGCTCATCGTGTCTTGCAACACCCGCAAAGCCGTCTCCCGCTCCCGGCCTCCCTGCAGTTGTCGTTTTCCTGACTTGAAGATGTCGTATAGGTCGTATATCAGCGATGTGTCGCTGTCCTGGATCGTGGCTGTGCTTGTCAAAAATCCGAGCTCTGCGTCGAACTTACGCAGGCTCTCATCTAAAATGAATTGCATTGAGTTCTCGTCCACAGCGATATTTTGCGAAACGAGTTTTTTGTACTGTTCTGTTACCTGCATCAAGATCTGGTTCTCGCTCATCTTGACTTTCAAATTCTCCAGGAATTCATGGCGCTCGTTTTTCAGGTTTTTCAGTTGTTTCACCTTATCATCCAACTTGAACACTACGTCTTTAAAATCCGGGTTTAGATCCAAGATCTGGCTTTTGGGAATAAATTCCTCCAAGCTCTCGGCCGACTCGTAAACCTTCAAATACGGCTTGAGGTCTTTGATCTGCTGAAAAATGACGCGGTCACCCTTGGCTGACTGATCTAAATACGTCTCCAACTTATTTAGCAGATCGTAGCATTCGGCTGCAGACTCGTCAAAATCCGGGAGTTGCCACTTCGAAGCGTGCAATCTGCGCTGCTGGTAGTCGTTCTCCCGGGCCAGCCGCACTTCTTCCCAGAGCTTGTCCAACTGAGGCCGTGCATCACGCCGCGCCTCGCGCAACTCTGTCTCCAGCTCTCTCAATGTGCTTTTCCACCTCAATTGTTCCAACTTCTCTTTGTATTCCCAAACCCAATTAGGTATGCTCTGTGGCTTCAAGATTGCTTCAATTTGGGCAGTCACGCCCGTCTCACTAATAAGCGTATCAATTTTTTTGTTGAGCTCTTGCAACGGTTCCTTAAAGTTGACCACGTAGTAGTTTTCTACACGGTCTTTGTAGGACATTGCAACCTGGATCACGCTGTAAGGCACCAGTCCTTCAAACAGCGGTCTTCCGTATTCGCCGCTATTAATGGCTTTGTGCAAATCTACCAGTTCCTCGGGCAACATGCTTTTCACCATTGAGACTTTGGTCAGAGGTGCCACTTTGGGTATATCCTGTAAATATATCAGGTCATTTTCGCGTTCAGCTTTCCGCAATCTATCATGAACTGTCTGTCGGAGCATCTTGAAGTCCTCCAGAGCTAACTGGCCGTCCAGTTTCGGCAATTTTGTGTTAAAAACTTGCTCTGCCTCGCGTAAATACGCTATTTCTTCACCGTATTTTTCCTGCTCCCCACTGTGAATTGAACATCGGTAGTATGCCGCGGCCTTGAAATGCAAAGTCTTAACTTGTATGTGCTCAATCCAGTCTTTTTTAAAACAAACAGTTTTCTTAGCCAGCGCAAGCGAATCGGTGTAGAATTGCGACACTTGAGCAGAGAGCTTTGATATGACTGTGTTTTTCAAATCGCTCTTGAGGGCAAAAAACCAAAATTTCTCCTGTGCCTGTGCAAGCATCAGTAGCTGTAACGTCTCGAGAACCTCTGATCGCAGCTCAAGCGGTACATTTGTCAGCTGAGGTATGATACGAGTTCGTAAGAGCTCAAAGTAGCCAGCAGAGTGCTGCAAATAGATACACGACTGCTTGATTCCATCCAGACTGTGCTTATCGTCAACGTTCAGCGCCAAAAGAGAATACGCCGCTGCTATTTGGTAAAGCACGTTTGCTCGTTCGTAGGTTATTGATCTGTAAGAAAAGGGGCCATCCACACGAATCCCCAAAGTGCCATACCATGGGAATTCAATCGAATCTTCAGGGAACTTAATTTGTAAAGACGCTAACTGGACGTAGTACCGTTTAAGAAGAGCTATCGATTCTAGCGAGCAGGATGGAGCCTCGGCCGCCTTGCGCAACTGGTCGATCTCCTGCAGGCTCTTGTCAAAATTCGCAGAAGACTGGTAAAACTCAGAATCAATCACACCCTTCAGACTCGTATATAAACTCACACGATCTGTCTTCCGAAAGGGAACACTCAACAGCTTTGTTTCCATGCGTGTGTTTGGTAAATAATAAAGGTGTCAGTCTGAAGTCGCGAATGCAGTGTTATTTTTCGACTGGTGGTAGGTGTGCCCATATCAGTTCACACCGCAGACCCCTCAATAATCCCCCTCTGGTCATCACACTGGGTAATGAGCGTTGGCTCAAGTAGATGCGCCATTGTAGCTGACACCACATCAACATTACTAGCGAGATATGCCACTGTAGGCCTCCAAAGAAAGAAGGATTTATCGGCATCTAGCATTTGGAAGCTGTAATCACGTATCTGCTGTTACCATTGATAAATGAACTAGTTTTCAAAAGGAGCAGTCGCTCCACCACTGAGCTCTTAGTGGAGTCGGAGACATATGGCTTAAGGAGTTACTGTACGTTCTTGTGGAACTTAGTTCAAGAATCCAGGTGTGCGTCGCAAATCTCTGTGCTACCTAATTCGAATTTCTCCGGCCGAAGCAGCCGGCTTTGAGGTCTCTCTACGGCAGACGGGTTCGTTAGCACGTGCGCCTAGAGTGGAAAAGTCACAATTGTCAAGATTAAAAATGCGCGACCGACTGCTGCAGAGAAGATGCGACACGTCGTTTAGGGTGTTGCATACTATTCTAAGCCCTGTCCCGGCTATATTTGGTCCCAAGTCGAGTGTTTTCTTGCGGATTTTGACACACCAGGGGTTTCAGCGAGAATAGTTGTGCCTCAGCGGTACAGTTCCTCGCTTTATCAGCAGAGATCTAAAATATACGTGGGGTAGAATGCACAAAACCGATGGCCATTAACTTTTGCTCCGGACAAGATATGAGGCCAATATTTGCACCCAAAAAGCACAGGCAGAGCACATCAGGCAGCAATCATCGCCTTGATAATTGAAAACGGAGGAGGAGTGCTGATTTGCTGATTTATCACAAATCGAAAAATTGAGACCAGTCGCACTGCAACGTGCCTACATGCGTTTGGCAAATGATATTCTTACAGGAGATGAAGCTATTGGCCTTGAGGACCTCATAACGTGATATACGTGACGTGTTGACGAGCTGTGCATTGTAAAGGAGAGAAAATACTGTAGTTTGGCTACACGTAAATAAACTCCTGTGCAAAGATGTGATTAGTCATATGTGAAAGGTGTGCCGCGTGTTGTGTTTTCCGTTTGCGATCTTTATTTACTCTTCAATAATTCCTATAAGGGAAAACTGTGAAAAAATTTCGCTTATAGTTGGATCACGCATGAGAATAATATATTTCGACGTCAGATACAATGTAACTTGATGTGTCGTGCACGTAATTTATCGTTCTAGACTTATATCGACAGGGGGAGACAAGGGAAATAGAATGAAAACTGTCAGTGGTACGGTGGACGGGACAAGTCTCCAAGACCCGTGGCCATGTGTAACAGTTTGTCTGTTCAAACTTTATCCACCCTGCGTTCATCCGTGATACTCGTCAACCAGGCTCAGCATACCAGGCACCTCCACAAAAGAAAAGAGCTTGCTACCGGTGTATATTTTTTTTTCCTATACATTCAGACGCATCCGCCTCCGGATCAGGCAGCTGCATTGATTCCCGATTCCCACCTTATAAATCCTCGACTCCCCCTTATGTTTCAAGATTTGTCTTGAACCGCTACATTCATTTACTAGCTAGTTGATCCTGTCTTTTGACTAAGTCGTTCCTTACCACTCAACTGCTGTCATTCTTTTAACTAAAATGAAGGTTTCCACTGTTTTGGCCTCCATGGCTCTTATTTCCTCCTCATTGGCTGCTCCTATGGCGCACGAGCACCACCACCACAAGAGAGAGGCTGCTGTCGTCTACGTGACCCACACCGTAGTTGTTGATTCGAACGGCCAGTTGTCCACTTTGAATGCCCAGGCTGCCGTTCCAACCACCGACAGCTCGGACGCTTCCTCTGCTACGTCCACCTCTGAGGCAACCTCGACCTCCTCTTCTTCGGAGGCTAGCGCTACCTCCAGCTCCAGCTCCAGCTCTGACTCCGGCTCCGGTTCCAGCTCTGGATCCAGCTCTGGCTCCTCTTCCATCAGCGGTGACCTTAGCGACTTTTCTGACCCAACCGAGGAGTTTAAGGATGGCACCATCAAATGTTCCGACTTCCCATCTGGTCAGGGTGTCGTTGCCGTCGACTGGCTTGGATTCGGTGGATGGGCTTCCATCATGAAGGAGGATGGTACCACCTCTTCTTCTTGTGAGGACGGATTCTACTGTTCTTACGCTTGTCAGGCAGGTATGTCTAAAACTCAGTACCCATCCACCCAACCATCCGACGGTAAGTCGATCGGTGGTCTCTACTGCAAAGACGGATACCTCTACAAATCGAACTCCAACTCCAACTACTTGTGTGAGTGGGGTCACGACAGTGGCTACGTCGAGTCCAGCATCGACCAGGATATTGCTCTCTGCAGAACCGACTACCCAGGTTCCGAGAACATGGTTGTTCCAACCTTGTTGGAGGCCGGTGGAAAGGCTCCATTGAGTGTTGTCGATGAGGACGACTACTACCACTGGAAGGGAGGCAAGACTTCTGCTCAGTACTACGTTAACAATGCCGGTGTCTCGGTCGAGGACGGATGTGTCTGGGGTGACTCTTCGTCTGGTGTTGGTAACTGGGCTCCTTTGGTTATTGGATCTGGCTACACCAACGGCAACACCTACCTGTCGTTGATTCCAAACCCTAACAACAAGGATGCTCCA